TTCAGCTATCATATGCAGAGTTGAACGCCCGCGCCAATCGCGTTGCTCATTACCTGACCAAAAAGGGAGTGCGCGTCGGAGACGCCATCCCTCTGATGTTGGAGAAATCTATCAACACCATCGTCGCGATACTCGGTGTGATGAAAGCTGGGGCCGCATATGTGCCTCTGAGCCCGGATAATCCGGTGGACCGCAACACATTCATCATCGACAATGTTAAGGCACGAACTATACTGACTGAAGCCGATTATGCCGATATGTTCTCTTTTATCTCGAATCTGGATATCGTTCGGATTGATACGCCAGAGATCGATCAGTTCCCTGCCTCCCCTACTACGGTTCACATTGTTCCTGACAATACCGCCTATATCATCTACACGTCCGGCAGCACGGGCATGCCAAAGGGTGTACAGGTGCCCCACCGTGCTGCAGCGGCGGCGGTCATCAGCATGGCGGTTGCCGAAAGCAGATATTCTGGCGAATGGAAAACGGTCCAGTTTGCCAACTACGTTTTCGATGCCTCGGTGCAGGATATCTTCAACACTCTCAGCACCGGTGGAACTCTGTGCATGGCGCCTTCGGACAAGATGCAATCGGACCTGCCAGGAGTCATCAACGCAATGTCAGCCAGACAGGCGATCCTCACTCCAACGGTCGCAAAGCTTCTTGATCCTAGCGAGGTTCCCTCTTTCGAAACATTGATCGTGGGTGGTGAGCCTCTTACGTCAGATGTCATTGCACGCTGGAGTCCGGGCCACCGTATCCTCAACGTTTACGGCCCTACGGAGACATCGATGGTAATCACGACGAAAGAGGTTGATCCTAGCGGTCGTCCGAGCAACATCGGCGCACCATTCCCAACAGTGATGGCCTTCATCCTGCACCCTGATGGTACTACCATGGTACCCTATGGTTCAGTTGGTGAGCTTTGTGTGGCTGGGCCCCAGGTAACCGACGGGTATGTCAACCGCGAGGACCTTACCAAGGCTGCGTTCATGGAGAATACATTGGGCACCGATCGCATGTACCGAACCGGAGATCTGGCGCGATGGCTCCCTGGTGGCGAGCTGGAATGCTTGGGCAGAAAGGATAACCAGGTCAAGATCCACGGCCATCGCATCGAGTTGACGGAAATCGAACAGGCGATCCTGAAGACAGGACTGGTTCAAGGAGCGGTCGTCCTGGCAGTCAACCACAATGGTAAGAAGCAACTCGTTGCCTTCTGCATCTTTGCCGTCGGTTCCTGTGAAATCCAGGAACCTGGTGACCATCAGGCTCATGTTCAAGACCTGCGAGCGGGGCTCAATACCCTATCCCACTACATGGTTCCCAAGTATATTCTCCCCGTTGGAGACTTCCCCAAGATGCCCTCTCGCAAGACCGATCGGAAACTTCTCGCCAAGTGGGTTGAGCAGTTGGACACACATACCATCAGCCAATATTCCTTTGAGGGTGACAGGAGCCAACATGAGGTTGTTCCCGTGGAGACTGAGGAAGAGTCCAGACTGCAAGACATGTGGTCTAAGGTTCTTGGTCTCCCCTCATCTGGTATTGGAAAGAAAGCCCACTTCCTATCTCTGGGTGGCGACTCCATTGCCGCTATTGGCCTGGCTAGCGTTGCCCGCAGTGCTGGATACCTCCTCAGTGTTAAGGATATACTGAAGAATCCGGTCTTGGAGAATCTCACGCCAATGATGCGCCTTGACACAAGAGGTACTCAAGTACTGAGGCCGAGCTACAAGGCGCCGGCCAGTGTGCTAGATTCCATTCACGAGCATGGTTTGACGATCGGTGGTAATGTTGAATATAGTAAGCAACGACCTGCTGTGTTTTGAGATCTCATACCTAGATGATTGTGGCTGACTATTTCAAGTTTATCCATCTCCCCCAGGACAAGCCCAGTTTCTCGAAGAGGGTGACCGCCCCGAACAGATGTGGGTGCTCATGGCTGTTCGTAAAATGCCCGAATCCGCCAGTTACCAGGACTGGATCCACAACACCAGTCGCCTGACGGAGATCAACGACATTCTGCGCACCTCTTGGCTTCGTACTTCGGAGGCCCAGTGGGTGGGTGTTGTCATGAAGCACTCGGGCTTGGACGTACCCATCATTCCTTGCGACAGCGAGGAGGAGCAGTCGAAGATCGTCGAGGAGTTCTGGAATGAGCGCTTCCAATTTGGGAAGCCTTTCATCAAATATGCCATCCTCCTGCACTCCGACAATAGCTGGGATGTGGCCATCAAAATGAACCATGCTGCATACGATGGAACCTTGCTTCGCACATTTGATGACCACTTTGCCGCTATCCGTCGAGGCACGCCAATCCCCAGCCATGGTGAGTTCAAGGACTTTGCCGATTTCATATTTCAGTCAGACAAGCACGAATCGCTGCGCTTCTGGGCCGAGACAATGAAAGACAAGCATTACAGCTGGCCCCAGGTAGAGAACCCGAAGATAACCGCTGCCGTTCGGGAGACTTTCCCCCGGAACCTGGAATCTGTGGCTCGCGCACAGGGAGTAACCATCCCGATTCTCTTTCAAGCCGCCTATCAACTCTGGCTTTGCCGCGCAAGTGGCCAGAACGACGTCAGCTTTGATTATCTTCTTAGTGGTCGCAACGTGGACATGGCCGATGTCGATCCCCAGACCATCAATGGCACCTTGGCCAACTTCCTCCCAGTCCGTGCCCAAATCGATCCTCAGAGCGCTCTCGGCGACTACCTGGAGACCGTCCAGGATATATTCTGGGGAATTACCGAGCATGGTGATGTCGGCCTGCATGAAATTTTCAATGCAAGTGGTCTATCGCGGACTACCTCAAGCAATCGTTGCCTTTTTCTCTACCAACCATTTGAACCTGCTGCGAACAGTGATGAATCCGAGTCCGATCGGTGGCTGGTCATGGCAAAATCGAACGTCCGCATGTACCAGCCGTACGCTCTGGTGGTGGAGGTCGCCAAGGCACTTAACAACTGCAACCGACTCACTGTCATGTATGACACGGATGTCTTCAACGAGGAGAGTGCACACCAGATTGCCTCTGAGATTGCAGCCCTGGTGGACCAGATTGCGGATCTCAGCGGGCAAAACGTATCCCTGCAGCAGTTCCTCCAGTGACTCAGCATCAATGACCCTTCCTGAGTTGCTGCTCCAAACAGCAAGCATAAATATAGACCTTTCTTTCTCTCGTGCCGCCCTCCTTTACTTTCTTTCTGCAGTATTGCTGTCAATGTTTCCTTTGTTGCTTTCTTTACACCTGTTTCCTGTCCTTCTTGTCTTTTCTGTCTGTTTATGTGAAAGTACATACTCCATATGTTGAATAAAAATTGCCTTGGTCAAAACCTTTGAGTAAAAGTAATGAAACCATACAAATCTGATAAGGAGCCCTGCTATTTTGTATGAGTTTGAACCTCTCTAGGCAAAGGTTAACCACCTTTCTTTCAGATATATGTAAAGTTAGGACACTTGCTAGATTAGTAGGTGGGATGTGAGATATAGTGTAGTAAAAGGTGATAGAACCATTGAAGGTCAGAAGCTGCGTTTAATAGGAAGTATCCCAAATTCTAGTAATGACTAGGTCTAAGGGACCATTTGATCTTTTCGTTCACCCCAAGGAGGGCAAAGATATACGCAGGGGCGGCCATCTGTTTACCGTTTTGACTCTGTTAGAGTCAGGGGAAGAATGATAGAAAAGGAAATTATTGCCAGTCGGTTTTTTAGGGGGTCCAGTAGAATACAGATCACGTGACACAGGACCCCCTTATGATATGGGTGCTTCGCTAACGATCAGCAATAATACACCTGGTACCTTAAAATATTTCCGCACAAAGGTGGAAGTCATAACTCCTAATAAAATCAATGCATAGCGCTAAGAGTAATAATACACGAAGTCGTGCCCCTTCCACCAGGCACCGGCCGGTACTTGTACAAGGAAATCTCCCAAAATCTGCTTAAGGTCCCAAAAACAATGACTCCAAAGTAGTATGTTCAGCTTAGAAACCCCCAGGACCCTCCATACGTGCCCGCATTTCGGATGCGAGGATTTCGGGGTGTCGGTGAACACTAGGCATAAGACCCATGCCGATGGCTCTCCGGAGTGCTTTGGCAATTTTGCGTTGGTTGACAGGTCGAAGACCGGTGACAGATCGGGGTTTGATACGGCCCATGCTGGTCATATATTCGGACATGACGGAGAAGTTCTGTAACAACAAAAGAGCGAACAGTTAGTGGCTGTCCATCATGGTATATACTCCATACAAACAATGGCTCCATCGGCTTTGGGACTCCGTACCTTGTACAAATCCATAGGATTCAGGTTCAATGCATCGAAAGCATCTGTCTGAGGGTTCTGGCGCTTTCCCCATTTCTTCATCTCGGCCGGGCTAAGGTCGTGAGGGGAGTAGATATCTCCAGCCTTGAAGTCACGGGTTTGGTATTTCTCAAGGGCTCGGCTTTCGCCTTGCGCCTTCTGGTCCTCGAGGAACTTGAGGCGACTCGGTAAACGGCGTCTTTGGACCACTTGGGAGGCTATCGCAACACGTCAGTCGCTAATTACACTCAAATGAATGTACTCCCATATCATATATCGGGACAACAAATAAATCATCTAGGTGTATCGGGTCTATCACATACTCTGTGAGCTTGTGCCGCGCTGGGAAGTGAAAGCGCTCATGGCAGCGGTTGAGCTCCAGCGACAGAGCGACAGGCCAACATTGGCTGTGGTCGCGGCATTGCGGAGCAATGACGGCGAAGAAAATAGGTTCAAAGACATCTTGACCTTTCAATTCCCGATTAGTCGTAGACGTTGGAGACGGTGATAGGGAGACCGGGCAACGCGGAGATGAGATCTTTTTTCGCCAAGACTTCTTCCGCCTCCAGATCTCTCCGCGTCGCGAACCCCCATTTTTCATGATTCCATGCAAGTCAACCTGGAACTACACACTTTTGTCCAATTCGTCTTTTCTCACCTGAGCTTATAAGCTCCACCCATATTATCCATAATGCAGTCCCATCTCACTAGACGGGTCTTCCGGGCAATCATCAACAATGAACCACTTCGGTTCTCCCAATGCCACCGAAATCGCCTATTGCACACAATCACGCCTGCCCGAGTACGACCTGCGATGCACAGCCTCCCTTATACATCGCGACGCAACATATTTGTCTTCAGCTCTGACCCCGAGCGGTCACAATCTACTTTGCCCTCTGAAAAGGGCCTGAAACCAATGGCTGACTTGATGAGGGCACTCAAAGATAGAAGCAGAACTCCTCCGAGTGATATTCTCGCAAAGGCTTTCCAAACCTTTTTCACAATGCGGCTTGAAACACCAATGCTCATCAGCCATTTCCAAGCCCGCGCGCTGATCGTCACCTTCAAACATCTAAGGGCCCAGCAGGCCGAAATGGAAGAAGAAGACTGGCAGAATGTTTTCTCGACTGAGAACCTTGAAAAAGTGTTGGACGTACTCTCGGAGTGTGATTGTGCTCCACAGGCTCGCGAGGTTGTGATGAACCTTGCCCGATACGCATATCAAGAATTAAACCTCGATCATGGATTCGGTCCGGGGAAGATCAGCCGGCCGGCCCTTGCTCTCTATATCAATATCCTGGCTATGAATGGAAACCCCGAGGATGCTAGACATACCTTATTGAAGTTTTGGGGTCAAATGAGCAAGGCTGTGCCGTCGCCCTGGCTCACAATTTTGAAAGGATTTGCCATGAAGGACGATCTGCGACAAGTGCGGAAGATTGTTGATGAGTGGGGAAACCATGGCAACAAGTTTGACCAGGCCACCCATGGAGAGATAGTTAGATTCCTCGTCGACCACGGTCAGTGGAAAGCGGCCCAAACTGTCTACGACTCTCCAATCGCCGATGGCTCGGAACCCTCTATGGCTGCGAGAGAGGCTCTCATTAAATATTATCTCTTGAATTCGCGTGCAGAATCGGCGGAGGAGATCTTCAAGTCTCTTCCCAATGAGCCCAACGAAGACACCGCTGGCATCATTTTGCTCTGGGAAGCAGCAAAGGGGAGCAATGCTTCTACTCTTGCGCAAAAGGTTCATGCATGGACTGCAAAGAACTCTCAGCTCAAGGGCTCCATCAACATTGACATTGTTAATAACCTTATCCAGTATGCAAACGCGGCGCAGAACCCGCAGCTGGCTTCGGATTTCATGACGCTCGCAGGCCAGTGGGGTCTTGTCCCAGATAGCCAGACTCACGTCTTAGAATTAGAGTCTCGCGTCCAGGCCGGCGATGTCGGCGAGACTTTGAAGATCCTCGAAGAAAAGGTTGACCCGACTTACCTCACGAGTCACAACCTGCCAATTGCAAACAAGCTCATCGCGATGCTCTGTCGATCCGAGGAAAAGGACGCCTTGTTCGACCAAATCTCCTCCCTGCTAGACCCTCTTTTCCAAGAGAATGTGCACCTAGAACCTGCGACCATTGCCGCATTGACACACATGCTCCTTTACCGCCACGACCTCGATGCTGTTTCAGAGTTGCTACGTCCACGACTAGGTAGCTACAGCGACGAACAGAAGATGCCGATACGTGACGCTCTCGCAGAGTACATCATGGACAAAAGCCAGTCTGATACAGACGTGTGGAATGCATATGAGCTTCTGAAGATTGCGTTCCCGGAAACGTGGGTCCCAGTTCGCACCAAAATCATGACCTCCTTCTTCAACCGGAAGCGCAGTGATCTCGCCGTCTTGGTATTTGGACATATGCGCCAAGCCGACGAACCCGGTCGGCGCCCTGAGGCCAGACACTTACGCCCGCTGTTTCCAGGGCCTGGCTCGCACGGCAGATGCAACCAATCTGGAGCTTGTGCACAATATGTTGAAGTTGGATCTTGAAGTGGATCTCAACACGAGAATCCTAAACGGTCTGATGATGGCGTATGCGGCGTGCGAGATGCCAGAAAAGAGCATGGAAATTTTCCGACAAATTCTGAAGTCGGAGGAAGGCCCTTGTCACAAGACTATCACGATTTTCTTCAAGGTCTGCCAGAAGCATCACAATGGTGTCCAGGAGGCCATCAAGATGATGACTAAAGTGAAGAAACTGGAGATCACTGCGAATCGCCCGCTCTATTCGGCATATATGGAGGCCTTGGCAGCGCAATGCGAGTTTGATCTGGCCGTTGAGGCTATCGATAACATGGAAGCTGAGATCGGCATCCCTCCTACAAGCAATACGTGAGTACATTCCTCTGTTCTCTGTGCTATAATCGCTAATATAGATCCTAGCATCGGGCTGTTCTACAACGCTATCCCGTACCAATACTGGAAAGATGAGGTGGAGAAATGGGCCAGTCAGAAGTATCCCGAGCATTGGGAACATCTGATGACGATAAACCGCACTGACCAAGAGCAAGGGTTGGAGTTTGACGGCATCTCAAATGAGGTGTCGGTGTAATATTTTTTGTGTCAAAGTAGCAAGCCAATGTATCATAATTCCCGTAAAGGGGGCACCGAGAAATAACTTGCTTGAAAGTCCATTCCCCTACCGGTAGTTTCTGTAGGTAATGGGCGTGTTCGCCGCGGATATACGGGCATGTTGCTCATAGTATTGAGGTAAGACAGACTCTGGAATTCGGCCCAGGCTATCGTAAAACTAGACTCAGTATAGAGAGCACTTGAGAGAAGAAATTGAAAAAGTAGAATCCTAGAAAACGAGAAACAAAAATCGACCATTCTCTTCCCTCACCATAGCTCCGTCAGTAATTTGAACGCAACTGTCTTGCCTACCAACTATCCTTCAGTAAACCGCGAAAACACATCCGCAGTCGCAGTGGCATATTCTCTTTCAATGGTAGCCCGAATGGTCTCATTGCGGACTACAGGTCGACAAGGATAATCTTTGGCACAGTAAAGGAAGCCGTTATGGTACCCAGTCACCGGATCACTATCAATGGGGCCCTCTCCCGGCTGGAAATCAAACGCCCACAGCAGCTTAGCAATGGCCAGGAACATGTTGCGCTCGGCCAGGTGGATGCCAGGGCAGATCTGGCGCCCAACACCGTACCCGTAGTGGTCGCGACGCTCCCATGTCCCCGGGACATAATCGGGAGCCAATTGAGGATGATTGGCAAAGCGCTCGGGGATGAAAGCAGCTGGGTCATCGGGTTGCGATGGATCCATGTGCATCCCCCAGGTGTTGATCACGACTATGGTATCTTTGGGGAGCAATTTGCCATCAACCCAGTCGTCTGTAAGTATTGGTATGGTTAGAAGACACTCATAACTTGGAAGAAGGGACGGCAAATAACAGAAATGAAAAGAAAGAAGAAACAGATGGCCTTACCCTCTCCTAGTGCATGGGGAAAACAGAGTGGAAGTATAGGCCTCCACCGGTGGCCTTCCTTGACGATCATGTTGATATAAGGAAGTCGCTCAAAGTCCTCCCATACAGGCGACCGATTGTGGCCGACCACGGCATCAATCTCAGCATGTGCTTTTCGCTGGACATCGGGGTTTTGGATCAACGCTTGCACAATAGCCAAAGTGAGACTGGAGCTAGTGTCTGAGCCGCCTTTCATCAGAACACCGCCGATAAAGGCTAACTGGTGCCATGGGAGATTATGTTTCTCCTGGCTATCCAGGACCTTGTCCATAAAGGTGCCCTTATTGTGGCCACCTTCTCGCCGCTTAATGACCTTGTTTAGGATGTCGACGTAGAGAGTCTCCATCTGCACGCCGATGGCCTTCGCCCGGGTGATGTAGTTATTGAATAGCCACTGTGGCAGCAGTTTCAGCCAGGGGAACATGTCTACCGGTGGTGTTGCGCCGGTCTCCATCATCTCCGACCATTCCTCCATAAGCTTGTAAAGCCGTCGCATGTTTGATCCCTTACAATTGGCTGTGCGGATTCCGAAAACTGTGATAGGACTTTAGGGAGTTCCAGGAGCGAATCTATTATGGAAGACTTACCGATCGAGTTGGTGATACTGTTACTGTATCGTTTTGGATGGGCCATATGGTGCTCCGGGTCGAGCATATAGTCGCGCACCAGCTGTATAGCCTCGGCGTTGACGATCTGGGTGTGATGGTTTTCCACCATCGTCTCCATCAGGTGTTGGTGAACCAGTCGTCGGAAGGTGCGCCACTGGCCGCCATAATGCATGACCAGTAGATGATTTCCCTTGGTGATGAGATCGTGCGAGACAAAGGAATGGGGCCGATGGCTGTAGATGCCACTCTTGCGATCGAGGACTTCTTTCACCAGTCGGCGATCGGTGATGACGGCCATGTTGCCATTACCGATCTTGAGCATGTACAGCCCGCCATATCGGGCGGCCCATTCGGTGAACCTGAAGTCCGCAAAACAGTGGCGGTGAGAATTTCTTGCGTATTTCAAAGGATAATGGGGAGGTTATCGAACATACTTGATATGGGTGTACTTCTTGGTGATCTGGTGAATGTTTCCAATGAAGGGTAGGGTAGGTGGACCTATACCAGATGAGAAACCCCTCTCTCAGTCAACTTTGGGGACGATAACTCACCATCAGGCATGGTACTTATCCGATGGCCATACATGAAGGCATATCGTACGAGCACGATAGCCGGCAACAAAACCAGGAGTAGCAGCAATAATGGCTCCATAGTTGATAGGAACGATTGATACTGAAACAGTTCCACAGGGCTTTATTTCTTCAGCATCGAGATGATAGTGAGGTATGCTGACTTATAGATTGACAGACGAGGGGGTGATGCAGGTGCATCATGCACGGGATTGGTTGCAACCAACAAAGAAACCCCAATTACCCAATGGAGGATGTATGCTGGCTAAGATTCCCCTTGGAGAAACACTCTTCCTGTGGAGTTGAGCGTCGGGTTATGGAGTCAGCTGACCATAAAAGCGAAAAAGATACGATATCCCAAGTAGGGCACCTGATCATCCCAAAACAACGAGGGCAATCTCATGGTAACCTGATAGCGAGTATCGGATGCCACGAAGAGGGAAAACGACGATCTGGATGATCTGTGCTCTCCTTGGAACATGAGGCTGTTGAGACAAGCTATGGTTGTCCTAAGTGAGACCAACAAAGCCCCAAATTTTACACATTGTCCGTCGATAGGATGGTGCGTTGGAAGCCAATCCTTTACTATTATCCATGAATATCCATATTATGTGTATAAATAGTCATTAGATCAATCGCAACGTTGTCTCATCATGCTTGACTCCAATTCTCTTCCAGTAGCTTCTTATTTAAAGCTAGCATTGAGCCTAGTTTCAGAGCCTCGCTTTATCTGGGATCTCCTTAAGCCGCGGAAATAACTCCAATGCCGCCCCGCTATATACTTGTCCCTTGGTCTCCCCCGGCAGCTCATACGCCCCGAGAAAGTCAGTGAAGCGTTGGATCGCGTCGTGCGGGGCATTGGGGAAATCACTGCCGAAGAGCACATGGCCAGGCGCAGCGAACTCGAACAGCGCCTTCAACGTGACAGGGTTTGAGGAGATCGCTGTGTCGAAATAAAAGGTCCGGGCAGCCTCCACCAGCTCTTCAGTTTAGACCGAGCGTGCGTGGCATAAAAGGCAGCATGGTAGCCGCCCGATGGATGAGATATGGCAAGGTGCCGCCTGCGTGAGAGAGGATGATCTTGCATCCCGGGTAGTCTTGCAGAATCCCACTCGTCAGAAGATCCATAGCGGCCCGGCCAGTCTCATGCGGATAGTCAAACATGGGCTGCGGTAGCCATTGGTTGACGAGCTGCGTATCGACCGGATGGGTCGGGTGGATGAACACCACAGCACCGCGGCGGCTCAGATCAGCCCATACGGGTCGAAAGGCTGCATGCCCCAGGTAATTGGGACCATCGCCATAGCGGGTAAACAACGTGACCCCATCAGCACGCAGACTGGTGCAGGCGTAGTCGATTTCTTTCAAAACGGCCGCTGTATCGAACAAGGAGGGTACCGATGCGAAGAAGCCATACTGGAGCGGCTGAGCGTTCCGAATGGCGGCGGCAGATTCGTTGCAGCTGCGCGCTAAAGCGGCGGCTTTAGCAGCATCACGCTCGATGCCTGGCCCCGGGGCAGTGATGGAGAGAATGGTAGTGGTCACCTTCATTCGTCGAGCCATGTCCTGGTCCAGCTCCAACGTCCAGGGTGGAGTGTACCAGCCCGAGGATCGCCTCCGGCACGATCAAGGGCTATCTAAGGTTAGCCAACGGAGCTCTCACTCCAATACGAGTGGGACTAACCATGGCGCATGGCCGGAGGGTAAAAATGATGATGCACATCGATTTTCGCCATGATGGTCATTTGGGGAGCACTTCTAGGTAGTGCTGATCATTTTGCAAACAAGCACTTGATGATGGGATTTCATTTCTCAAATACAGACCTCTGGCAACAATGTCATTTCCGACTGACTGACTGCCGGTCTTCCTACCTTGCATATGGCGGCCACACCTCCCTAATTAGATACCTGCAGGACCTCCGGAGGTGAGTTGACAGTGTCAAGTGAGGCTTGCAGGGATTGCGGAGCACCCCCGAAGAGCGAGCGCGCGAGCGCGAGAGAGGAGTTCCACGACGTAGAGGATGTCTGCAGGACTGCTGCGGGGTATGTTTGCGGAATCTGCACGCATATGCCTGCAGATGTGTGCTTGCCGAATGGTGGATTCATTTGTAGGCGCTTATTCTTCTCATCACATCAAACCCTGGCGTGGTGCTTCCGAAAGAGGAGATCTCTCCGAATCTCCTTAAGGATGATCGTCGTCCATGCAGAAATATTGTGTCCTTCTGCTATAATGCTGGATGTTGATCAAGCATCGGCTGTGCTTCCCTGGTATTGGGATAAAAGTCTAGAAGACTTTGGTACTGTAATATTCGCCGACTTGAAGAATGAACGTTTGTAAATGTGTCCTTCATTCACTGGAATCCAAAGATCTGGTTGGCCAAGCTCACCTGCGCCAGAGCAGCTCTGGTCGAAATATAAATGCCTTCTCAAGAATGCACGAGACGCCCAGGGCAAGACCCCATGGAGGTTGGGACTGTGGAACAGCCGCGAGACGTAGCTACAGTCATAAATGACCAGCTCCATCAAGCAGCCGAGAAAAAACCATTTCGTATCAAATATGGCGTAAGTTTTGTCCAGCAGAAGAATAAAAGCCACCGATCCCAAGGTGAAGCCCACCCGGAGCCAAGCGAGCCGATTGTACTCGTCAAAGTCACCGGCAATGGGACCCTGGATGTCTGCCACAGTGGTATTGCCCAAGCCATAGAGCAGGTTGCAGAGAAAACGGCAGTGCGGACGAGCAGGGACCGCATGCCGACAATTTCTCGGCGCGGGCCTGCATCCTTCTCGGCATCTTCGGTTTTGATGATCAGTTCATCCACTTGATCTGGGGTTTGGCATTCGAGAACGGTCTCACCTGGCATGGGGAGCGAGCCGAACTGCATTTATTCAGCGGCTTGGAGAATCTTATCAGCTCTCTGGGTACTACTGCCCAATGTGGTCGTAATAAACCGAGAATGGAAGGCAAAAATGTACGTTATCCACTGGAGCTTGCCGAAAGTACCGATGTCCATATTGATTAAGCGTACCTGGATATTCAAAATGCGAGCGGCGCTGGAAGGAGACATTTTGATGACAATGCATTATGCTTTTGGGGCACTTATCTTTGTCAGTTTGACAATTACCCATGGACAGTTCACTATTTGTCCGACCAACTCCGAATCCCCTTCCGGTCTGGGAGCGGGAGTTCCCGAGTTAACCTAATCTTAATCACCAAGTGGGTCTGGCCCTGCATACATGCACAGGTGGGATCTGCTGAGGGAAATAGTGCAATATATGAAACATTCGAAAGAATTCATTTTCCATAATCTATCCCCAATATAAATTATCGACTAGGCCTGTCAACCAAGTCGCCATTACAAATTCTCTAATATCTGTTTGTTGCCGTCCATCAACGAGACCCCAATCACCGCCAGGAAATATTCTGCAGGAGCGAATCCGTGGCTAGAAATACTGGGTTACTTTGGCACTGTGCTCCTACCGACGTAGACCAAATTCCGTCGAAAAGCAATCCAAGTAGCGTCTGTCGTGTGCCGCTTCGGATAAGGAAAAACCCATAGTCCGGCAGTTTGGCCGAGTGGTTAAGGCGCTCGCCTGCTAAGCGAGTCTCTTCGGAGGCCAGAGTTCGAATCTCTGAGCTGTCGATTCATTTTTTTTCCCCTCTTGCAGATAGGTTATATTATATAATCGGACTCGATACCTCCCGAGGTCGACATAGGTCAATACATAATGCATCAATGAGTTATGAATATTTCCGGCTGGTCAGGTTACAACTTGTCAAACTAGTCGTTGATCGGCTGGCCGCCAATCAGGCTGGCCCTGGAAGTTCCGTAATCCTATCACCGCGGTGTGTTCTTTGTGGACTGCTCTTGTAAAAGACGGTGGCCAATTGACCTGTTGGCGTTTTCAGCATTTAAATGGCTGTGTGGGTTGTGAACGTCCTCCATCGCTGACTTAAATATAGGGCCTGTGCCTCGTCAGCATGATTTGTCTAAACCGAACAGTACGGTCTGTGCTGACGTATATATATATATCGCAGTCAACCGAGCAATGCTTGCATCTGTGGTGTAGGGCAGGTGTAAAGCCCTATATAGAGGACGCATATATTAAAGAAAAGGCCCTCAGCTTGTGGAACCTTGTTATATCAAAAGAAGATCATCACTTTGGCCTAAACTCAATAATTTTCTGCACGCCGATAAGGTGGTTGTACCATTTGGTGCTCATCTGCCTCGTGGATGTGAGGATCGGATCTTTCCAGGTGGGCGAATGCGACTGTGGCGATATGATTTCCATCTGACGCCAGATCCGAAGTAGCGAGTTCTTGATCGTACGATAATTTCCTGGACTTGTTCACTACATTCAAGTAGTGGCATTCCCTTTTGGGAATCTCGCAGTTTCCACAGGAGGGCCGCAGCTCGTCACACTTGATATGCTGTTTCTTGCATACGAGGCATCCATTGCGAGATTTCCGGTGGGGTCCACGAGTTCGACGTGGATGTGTCGTGTCCAAATTAACCAGATGTCCAAGTGGAAAAGGGGGCTGATAGTTTAGCATACATCAATGGGGTGTAAATGAAATTGGTGAGGGATCATCTATTCCTAGATTACTATATGCGGCCTTTGAAGGGCAACTATCCACTCTCCACCTCCATATATACGGATACAACCGCACAACGATCAAATGGCTATACACTTCATTTCAGCTTTATCGAGTATAATTAATCCAATTTTAGCTCTCCAGTAGCCGATGCGAGAAGAGTGCCATGTCTCCCCCGAAAAACAATAAGTAGTATGCATATCACCAAGTAGTCAAAAAGCAGAGGTAAAAATATGCATGTAATTGGAATAAATACATCAGTGAGACGTCGATATGTATTATAAATCAGTTATAAACCCAGTTCGTATCCTTTCTACTTCTCTCCACCTAGCAGGGCCCGCTGCTTGGTTAGTGACTATGTATCAAGGCAACCCAAGACGGGCAAAATATAAAAACAGAAAGGCTAGAAATGAAAACAGAGAAAACACACGGCTAATCACGAGTTTGTGGTCCAAGAATCCATGATCATCGTACTAGCGTGCAGCCACTGAGCTTCAGTGCCAATGACCATGTCTGCAGACGTAGCCGGCATCGACAGAGAATCCGTCGTCCCCAAAGTCGGGGATAGCTCGGCTAGTGACCCAATAGGCATCATATCCATTAATTGCATACGCTCCTCAAAGTTGGGCATTAGCTGATGGGACTCCTCCAGGGTAGTCGGTGGCAGCGCTCGCTTAAGGGAGTTGGACCGGGCCTCCGATCGTCCGGGCTCGACGAATGAGGTCTGGTTCGACGGCCTTTGATTCTGGACTTTGGTGGACAAGGACTGGCTGGCACGCGGCGCTGGTCGCCCGGTCAGAGCTTGTTGGACGCTGTTGATGAGTCGATCCGCCTGACAACAGACTTCGCGGACGACCTGCGCCGCATTTTTGGCTGCCAAAATGTGATCGCTCACGAGTTCTAGCGTGCTAATCGCCGTCTGCAGTGATTTACGGGCAGAAGGAGTCGGGGGACAAACCGAATTGGAGAGCACAAAGCCTAAGGTACACAGGATGGCATCCCACTGGAATTGAAAGACGCACGACCAGCCGCGAAGGAGATCCGTCCCGGAGAGCACTTGGTTTAGGATACTGGTGATCGTCATGGCGTGGTTCAAACAGGAGATATTGTAACCGTCGGTCCGTGGGGTCGTGGAAGACCTTACGGGAGGGAATCGGATGAAGGGGCGCAGTGTCGAGATCACAAGATGGTGATAGTGGAGCTCCAGCAGGACGCGTTGGCGCTGCAGCCAGAGCGGACTATATGGACACAGGTTCAGAGCGTCCCGATTGGTGGAGAAGGGGGCCCCCGTCCCCTTACGAGCACTACATAGGTTCTGCGGCACATTTTGAACCCAATTATGGATGGCCGTCATCTCCTGTCCGAGAAACTCAGCCAAGGTCTCAAGGACGCGCGGGTCCTCATATAGATCCTTGGCCTTCTCCCCATTCAGCAACTGGGAACATTTTCGGTGTAATGCTGTCTGCACGCCCTGGACGAGAAATACGAGCTTGGTGCACTGCACATGGAAGCTAAGCCAGCTGATGTCCTCATGATCGGAGAGGAGGACTGTGCCAGATAGTTGGGCGTGCTCACGACCATCTCCGGGCAACCCACAGCTGACATGGGACAGATGAATGAGTGGCGGCCGACCAAGGGTCATCGAAACCTGGTTGTCGAGTCGATAGAGTGTCCACCAAATGCGACGCTGTAGCTCCTGCTGCTCGGGGGAGGTCCCGTCCAGCGGGCGCATATGCAGCCGCAGCGCTTGGGCGATTCGAACCGTGGCACCTAGATTAACATACGCAGTATTCAACAGGGAAGTGTTGTACAAGTAGACAATCGAAAAGATGTGACTCTGCACGGCCTTGATGGTTGGACTTTCGAGCTCACTCTGCAGAAGTCTCTGGGCCCTCTGGTAGTAAGTTCGACTGACTAGATTTGCGTTTTTGGCCTGCCACCCAGACTCCATATCTCCCTGCTGATTGTCCGCACTGACGAAAAACGTACTGCCGTACTGCATACAGATTGCCAATAGCGCATCGACTAAGGCGGATGGCTTCCTGGTTGACATATTATCGGCCGAGCTGGACCATAATGAGTCATAATATTGCCGAAACTCGCGTTCGTCGAGGACAGGATAGACACAATGAAAGGACTGCCAGAACAGTGCGAGAAAGTGTTCCTCTTGTAACCGTGTCAGATCCTCGACCTCTTCGTTTTCGTCCGGATGTTGATCCGTCTGGCTGGCCGGGCTTGCATCCCATCGAGAGGGTTGATGAGTCGGCGCAATATAATGAAAGCGTGCCATGCATGCCTCCAACTTCGCATCTTCCAATGGCTGGTCAAGTGCTTGAGAGAGATGGCGACTGATTCGGGATACAAAATATGAGGACGACAAGGGCCCGTAGTAAATCTGGCCCGTCTGCTGAACTCCTTGCCATCCTTCCGTAGTATTTGTGAGCTCCGCAAAATCGAATGAGGTGTGGGCAGCATCCGACAGTGGGGGCGTCGCGAAACCCGTGTCTGTTTGGATTTCCGGTCCTTCTTTGAGTTTCGCGATTTGATCCTGCAGGTCCTTGATTTTATTCCGTAACCGTTGCATCTCTCTATCCATATGGATCAGTAGGCCATTTACAACCATCACTGCGAACCTGAGGGAAGTGGATATTGGTTTCCTACCGGTTTGCAGCCGGGAGCGAGGTGGCCTCCTGTGGCTTTGTGTTGCTGCAGGTACCTCCTCGGTTCAAGCAGTTCTGACATGGTTGCTTGTCATCGCATCTAATGCGATTGAGCCGACACCAGTCACACGCCCGAGCGACCTGGCTGCGCTTGGGTCGTGGAGCTGTGATAGGCGTGGCCGATCTGTCACGGGAGGCGTCGATCGTGGTATTGAAGTTGGCGGAGAAAGTGGAGTACATGACGGAGCGGTGGAGTGGAGGACAAAACAATTCAGATATTCATTCAGACCAGGTTCATGCGACTCCAAACGGCGGTCGGAGTCTTAAAAGGAATTTCCAGATTCCTCAAGACTAGATGAGGAGGGGGTGAGGGGGTCGATCGCGCAAAAGCAAAGTAAGTTGGAGTTGGCGTTGGCGTTGGCGTTGGGTGCCTGAGGTTGCATATATTGGCCTGAGGACAAAAGTACATGCAGGAAGTCTGAGAAGATCGGCTTTCCCTGCAGAGCACGAGACATTTGCATAAGAACTAACGAAGGAATAAGAAATGCCAAAAGACCTGGATCCTACCTAGGTGCATGCAATTTCCACTAGTCTTGTCTATTATCTGCTATGAGCGCCAAGGACGCATTCGCCACTTCCCCGGGTTCTCATTGTTTGAATCTTAAGCGTGTGAGATGGTGCTATTGGTCCAAGTGAGATAGATAAGGTAATAGACCTTGAGACCCTTCGACCGTTATAACCTTCCAGGGATTCAAATCCTGCTATAGATAGTCTTAGATTGCCTATAGTACTAATGAAAAAGCTTAGCCCTATATTGGTAGGATATATATGTGGGACATCTATAGTAGAGAATACACTAGTAACTATAGATGATATATCATTCCCATTGCAGATCGAAACAGGCGAAATCGAAATTGTTTGTGCATAGGCGTGAAGAAAAAGAAGACTAGTACAAAATCAGATTAAATTAAATCCTACCATAAGTCCTTACCTAGGTACACCCCCACGTCCTATCCAAACAACTCCATAAACTCCAAAGCCTAAGGCGTGCTAGGGCCATCACCTTATCTCAAATGTTGCTTCCAATCTGTGGAATCGGAGTGAGTCTGTTGTTCCGCTGCTCCTCTGGGTGACATGCGTCACCTGCAGAAACTGACATGCCAATATTCCGTTTGCCATGCTATAATACGAAGTGCATCATCATGTACGTGCAGGGATCAGAATCCTATTTTTGGGCAAGGGTCCCAATTGCCTATTCGGGAGAGGACATCGTAGCCATACGGTAATACTAATCCGCGCAAGTCCTTGCTTTCTCGGCCCTCTGAACTAATACTCGAACGAATATCCTGTGCGATTAGAAGCAAAGTAGCCAATCGATTGAAGCACGGGAAGTAAGACAGATGTCAGACAAAAGGATGCCACACCAATCGGGAGCTACAGTTAAATTGAATGCATCCACACCGAAACATTGTGCATTGACTACACCGGTGATCGGCACAAAAAATAGGGTTTGATGCCGAGCTGACATACATAGCAGCGTAGATGCCTTCACCAGAACGGTCGCAAACAAACACGCAATCGAGAGGGGAAGGGGGTGATAATCACATTCTAGTGCATATCCTCTAATCTAGCTAATCAAATTGAGCAAAAACCTCTTGTGCCTCGGCAAATTCCCGCATAATGGTCTCCCGCTTTTCCGGTGCCCGGAGACGGATGGCGCAGCCATAGTCCTTGGGACAATGAAGAAACCATTTACTAGCACCGGAGTGGGCTGAAATGTCACTGTCGCTACCAGGTGGCTCAACGAACTCAAAGGCCCAGAGCAATTTGGCAACGCCGATAATCAAGTTGTTGCGTTCAGCCAAGTGGATGCCTGGGCAGATCCGCCGGCCCGCCCCGTAACCAAGGTGATCTCGCCGTTCGGAGGCGGCGTAGGCCGAAGCTAAGGCTGGGAAATCGGCGAAGCGTTCGGGTTGGAAATGCTCGGGTTCTTGCCATCGCTCACTGTCGTGATGCATGCCCCAGACATTGAGAACGATACTTGATCCTTGCGGGATGAGTTTCCCATCAATGTGGTCATCTTGAAGGATCGTTAGCCATTTTCCTTTTCTGGGGTTGGTTTTGCTTTTTCGCTGGCAGAGGGATCAGATGGGACAAACAGACCTTCTGCGACGGCATGGGGAACGCCCAAGGGACTGACGGGACGCCACCGGTGGGACTCTTTAATAATCATGTTGATATACGGCAGCTTGGACCAGTCAGACCAAGCCGGGGACCGGTCATGGCCGATAATGGAGTCAATTTCTGCATGGGCCCTGCAATACCACTGCATTAGTTATGTGCTTGAACACATTGGGATAAAGGACCTGATTGGCATACTTTGCCTGCACTTCCGGATACTTAGTCATGGCCTGAATGATGGTCAATATAAGCGAGGACGAGGTATCGGAGCCTCCTTCCATCAGAACTCCTCCTAGGAATCGAAGTTCATTCTCGGAGAGTGGTGTCTGCTTCAGTGTATCTAGAACCCGGTCCATAAACGAGTCTCGCTGGACACCACGTTGACGGCGCTCCTTCACCTGATCTAGAACGGTCTTGTAAAGGGACTGCATAAGATCGCCCACTTCGATCGCCCGATTCCGCCAGTTTCCCAACAGCCACTGGGGCACGTAGCGCAGCAGAGCAAACGAGTCAACAGGCGGGGTAGCGCCCAGCTCCTGCACCAAGGACCATTTGTCCATTAGATAGAAGAGCTTCTTCATGTACTCATCGTGGACGGTTTTTGTGCGAATACCGAATACAAGCGAGTTGGTGATACTGTTACTGTACCGCTTGGGATGCAGCATGTGATCCTCCGGCATGGTCAAATAATCATGCAGCATCTGTTTGGCCTCGGCCTCTTGAACTTTCCAGTGGTCGCGCTCGCACCGAGGCTCCATGAAGTATTGGTGGATGGTTTTACGCAACATGCGCCATCGGTCCCCCATACTGCATAACCAGAAGATGGTCACTCTGCGTGATCAAGTGTGATACCAGTGATGCCGGTCGGTGGGAATATATGTTGCTCTTTTTGTCAAGTAGTGTCTTGACCAGCTTCTGATCGTTGATGACGATGGTGGTGTTGTTATATCGTTTCAGTGTAAAAAAACCGCCGTATTCCTTAGCCCACCGAGAGAACCTATGCGAATTACTTAGCATATTGCCCAGATACATCGCGGTGAAACTGGGTCTCTACTGAAAATGCGCATCAGACTTCGGTACCTGCAGTTCATTTCCAAATAGTGGAACGGTTGGAGGGCCTGGGTAGACGTTAGATACAAAGCCAAAGTCTCGTGTTATCATTGCCCTTATATACCGTTCGGGAGCTCTGGGGGTCGATGACCTGCACGTAGGAGATATGTAACGAGGATCAATGCGCTAGTACTGCTAAATAGTATTGCCAGAAGGTGCGTTGGTGCGAACTGTAGGATGTCCATAGTGTTGACAGATGGCCAGAAAGTGCTCCTCAGGACAGAGCTATTGTCTATGCTTAAGGTTTTCATCAACGCGGTGAACGGGGACCATACCTATTCTGATCGCAACTCAGCTGGGTGATGGTTTTGGATTCCTAAAGGAGAATCGGAGTCTGCTCGTATAGAACTCTAACGGCTGCATATGTTGTCTATGGGTGCATCCAATTTTACCTGCATAGCTACTATCGATCAGGTCTTCGTAATGCTCTCTGAAGTACGATTGGAACATTGCCTGGTGGATAGTTTGGCGTCAAGTGTATGCTATAGCGTTGGATGATACTAAGAGGGGTCCATTGGTGCCCTATAGCCCCTGGAGCACTAGGGTCAGTCCTCCTGTCCTGTCCCTCTATGTTTGATAGTCTAGGTAGAAAGAGGAATTAGTGGGGAGCAGGACCTAAGTATATTCTTTTGTACCCATCTATGACAGGTGGCACCACGTGAGGCCCTCGCCTTTGTCGCGACGTCTCCTTTTACTGTCCACAGTGTCTTTCTGAACGTATCTTAGACTAGACGGTTAGCCAAGAGCTCGTTCCTTACTCGCCGTACACAAGAAGCAAGAAGTGAAAATAACGATTGAATTCAAACGAACTGAGGTACGCAGATTAGCAGGTGTTGCGCAGGATATATCTACTTCTCCGCATCATCAATAACTGCCTGCCGCTGCTTCCAAGAGCTCAACTGCTCAATTTGCTCTCCACGCCAGTCGAGTGACCGTTGGATCCATTCGCCGACCCAGGCTGTAAGCCGTTGATCAGCCCCTGCTGATACGCAACTGCGTCCAGGGCCAATGGAGTGGGGGACATATCCTCCGTCCACGGCTCAAACTCTGCATTTTCAGGCTTAGCCTTTGGTTCCAGCTCTTCCTGTTTTGCCCATGGCTTCTCCTCCTCAAATGCGGAATGCACTAGATGGCGCTGGAAGAAAGAACCCTTCATTTTGGCGACAGCAAAATCCCAATCGGTAGTATATTCCCGGAAGAACGGCTTATACCCCAAGAGTCCACCAATCCACCGGCCGACAATCACACAGGTCCAGTATCCGACCTGCCGGCGGAAAGGCACCCATGCGGGAGCGGGTGTGTAGGCATCCCCGCCGTCTTGAATCTACAACCGTGTCAGCCGATGACAAAGGGAAGTTTGCACCAAGAATGGATCATTACCGCGAGAAACTGGATCCAATCGATCCCTCCATCGTGCAACAACGCATCGTGCCAATAGCCGTACCAGTTTTCGAAGAAGACCCGATCGAGCTGGTAATCGTTCCCCGAGTCCGACGCACTCAGGTAGACAGTCATGCTCTCGGGAGTATCTGGATGAATGAAGAAATTATGCACACTGCCCGCCTTGACCGAGATCTCGCCATCTTCTGGAGTGATGCGGCGGACGACCCCGTCCACTGAAATACCGAGCACTCCATTCTCGACGCGGAAGTACTCGGTTTGAAATTGGTGAAAATGCGGGGGCGGACCCTTTGGTCTATCAGGGCTGTTGATGAGCTTCCGCAGGTTTTCCGGGATTGAGCCTTCAATGGTGTGGCGGTATGTCTGACGGAAGAGAAAACAACGGGAAGAGAAAACAACGGCCTGGTGGAGGTTCGAGAAATTCGGTGGTGAGGAGACCGCCAAATCTGGATGATGGGACTATGTTAGCTACCAAAGGACATCTTGTTCTATAAGCAAAAAGGCGTAGGAGCCAATTACATACTTGACAATAGTAGACTGGCCGGCTGAGTAGTGGTAGGGCACGAATGGGGCCATTGTTATGCTTGCAAAGGTTGGCCAACTGGTAGATGTCGGATTCCACAATTGAATCACGAATATTTGGTCCCTTCCTAAGTAATACATAGAAACAATCCTGTACGTCTGTTGTCGCCCTCTATATACTTGCTATGCAATTCGACTATCTTCTCGCATGCAGAGCTCCCCAAGGGTTGCCTATCGTAGCATGTTAAAACGGCCTGATAAAAAACTTGGTGTGGAGATGCACCTTCTCCTCTGGAGTATCTGCACGAAGTTCCGATAAATGCGTAAAAGGTGAGACAACTCGTCAAGCACCTGTTGAAGAAATCATTCCGGACACTCCTTTGGGCTAATAAGCATGCATCTCGTTCAGGCTTAGGGCTGACGGAGGCTTGGCCTCAGGGTGTCGAAGATCCCTGACAACACGCTGAAGATCGCCATTGCCGCTGCTTACAGACGGAAGGCTAACTCCTGGTTCCTGTCGAAACATCCCCGTTATCCGTCAGTGAGACTGATTCTTGCGAACCTTGGCCGCATAATGACGGAAGCCGGAACAACACATCCGAATGGACGAATGGAAGAATTGACTAATGGGTGGAGATAAAGATGTCCCGATTCGGAAGCTGGAGGGCAGCCTACTATCTCCGTACATACTGTTCGCTTTCCTTGTGAATGGTCTGGATCTCAGTCTCACCGGACGACAAGAAACGGCCGTAGAGGGGGATAGGGAAGGATGCCCAGATATTGTACCGGCGAACGAAACATATAAAAGAACATCAATAGCCGGCATCTGGTGGACATTTTTAGGAACAAGCTTGACGTTGCTAAGGGGACTGAGTCTCCGAACTGCTACTGAAAGACATGGATTCTGGTTCACCCTCTACATACCCTTCCGGGGGAACATCCCCAGCCCCGGTTGATACTCCTAAGACTGAGTACAGCGAATATGTGTGTCACCCCAATCTGCAAAGTTTGCGGTCGTCGTGTCCCAAAAGAGTACCTCCAGACTGACAGTGAATAGAAATTCTCCAATGACGTGGCCGTGGTGGGAATGGCCTGCCGCGTGGCGGGAGGCAACCACAACACCGAGCTTCTCTGGCAATCGCTCCTCAGTCAGAAAAGTGCAGTGAGTGAGATCCCAGAGATACGCTGGGAGCCTTACTATCGTCGTGACCCGCGCAATGCAAAAGAGCTCGAGAAGACCACCTCATATGGTTATTTCCTGGATCACCTGGAGGACTTTGACTGTCAGTTCTTTGGCATCTCCCCTAAGGAGGCCGAGCAGATGGATCCACAACAGCGAGTCTCCCTAGAGGTGGCCTCGGAAGCACTGGAGAATGCCGGTATTCCTGCCAAGAGTCTGTCTGGAAGCGACACTGCGGTCTTTTGGGGTGTGAACTCAGATGACTACTCCAAGCTAGTGATGGAGGACTTGCCAAATGTCGAGGCCTGGATGGGCATCGGCACCGCGTACTGTGGTGTGCCCAATCGCATTTCCTACCACCTCAACCTGATGGGACCCAGCACCGCCGTGGATGCGGCATGTGCGTCGTCCCTCGTCGCCATCCACCATGGAGTTCAAGCCATCCGGCTGGGCGAATCCCAGGTGGCTATTGTTGGAGGCGTCAATGCTCTCTGTGGACCAGGCCTGACCCGGGTCCTCGACAAAGCCGGGGCCATCTCGTCTGACGGATCTTGCAAGTCCTTCGATGATGACGCCCATGGGTACGCTAGAGGTGAAGGCGCCGGCGCCCTCATCCTCAAAAGCCTGCACCGTGCGTTGCTCGACCATGACAACGTGTTGGCCGTCATCAAAGGAAGTGCAGTAGCGCAGGATGGCAAGACGAACGGTATCATGGCCCCTAATGCCAAAGCGCAACAGTTAGCTGCGCACACTGCTCTCAATGTTGCGGGTGTCGACCCTCGCACCGTTCGCTATGTGGAAGCCCATGCCACATCTACGCCCCTGGGTGACCCAACTGAAATATCTGCTATTGCAGAGATCTACGGCATCAACCGCCCCGCCGACGACCCGTGCTACATCGGGTCCATCAAGCCAAACATTGGTCACCTGGAAGCTGGTGCCGGTGTCATGGGCTTCATCAAAGCAGTCCTGGCCATCCAAAAGGGCGTCCTGCCACCCCAGGCCAACTTGACAAAGCTCAATAGCCGCATCGACTGGGAAAATGCCGGCGTGAAGGTCGTCCAGGAGGCTACCCCGTGGCCCTCCTCAGACCCCATCCGTCGAGCAGGTGTGTGCTCGTATGGGTACGGAGGTACTGTTTCTCACGCAGTCATCGAGGAGTTCAGTGATATCCTGCGGGCAGACCCGCTGGATGAGGGCGCAGCCACCGGACCAAGTCTTTTGTTATTGTCGGGTCCCCAGGAGAAACGGTTAGCTCTGCAGGCTGAAGCTCTGCGCGAGTGGATGACTGGTGATGGAAAGGATCACAATCTGAGCGAAATTCTCACGAATTTGGCTACACGACGAGATCACCATGACTACCGAGCAGCGCTTGTGGTTGACGACCGTCTTGATGCTACCCAGGTCCTGCAATCACTGGCCAATGGAGTCGATCATCCGCTCACGACCCAGAGCCGAGTATTTGGCGCAGATATCAACAAGGACGTTGTCTGGGTGTTTTCCGGACATGGCGCGCAGTGGCCAGACATGGGAAAGCAATTAATTCACAACCCTGTATTCTTCCGAGCCATCCAGCCACTCGATGAGCTGATCCAAGCCGAGATTGGCCTGTCTCCCATAGAGCTGCTCCAGACGGGCGACTTTGAATCGTCTGATCGAGTCCAGATCCTGACCTATCTTATGCAAATTGGCCTAAGCGCTATGCTTCAGAGCAATGGCACCACTCCACAGGCCGTGATTGGCCACTCAGTGGGCGAAATCGCGGCCAGTGTTGTGGCTGGGGCTTTATCCCCAGAAGAGGGCGCGCTTATTGTGACCCGCAGAGCGTTGCTATACCGACAGGTCATGGGCAAGGGCGGGATGATTCTTGTCAACCTTCCTAGCGCCGAGGCCGAAGAGATCCTGGGTCCCCGGCAGGACCTGGTCGTGGCCATCGATTCGTCCCCCTCTTCCTGTGTGGTGGCTGGAGACAAGGAGATAGTGGCCGAGACAGCAGAAGTCTTCAAGGCTCGGGGTGTGAAGACATTCACCGTTAATAGCGACATTGCCTTCCATAGTCCATCACTGAATGGCCTCATGGATCCTCTGCGAGACGCCCTCGGACAGGCTCTGTCCCCAACGAGTCCCACCATCAAGCTGTATTCTACCGCGCTGGTGGACCCTCGCGGCCAGGACCTGCGCGATGTGGAATACTGGGCCGGCAACATGGTCAACCGCGTGCGTCTCACCTCGGCGGTCCAGGCGGCTGTTGAAGACGGATATCGTCTCTTCCTTGAAGTCTCGACTCACCCAGTGGTGTCTCACTCCATCAACGAGACGCTTATGGACGCAGGCATGGAGGACTTCGTGGTAATCCCAACTCTCCTTCGTCACAAGCCGACTGAGAAGTATATTTTGCACAGCATTGCCCAGCTTCACTGCCGCGGCGCGGAAGTGAACTTGACGATGCAGATGCCTGGACGATGGGCCATCGGAATGCCCACCACGACCTGGATGCATAAGCCAATCTGGCGCAAAATAGAGACAGCCCCTCTCCATACTGGCCTCACACATGATGTCGAGAAGCACACGCTACTGGGACAGCGCATCCCGGTACCGGGCACCGACACCGTCGTCTACACTACTCGGCTGGACAACGAAACGAAGCCATTCCCCGGCAGTCATCCCTTGCACGGTACAGAGATCGTTCCGGGAGCAGGTCTGATTAATACTTTCTTGAAGGGTACCGGCGGACAGATGCTCCAGAACGTGGTGCTCCGCGTTCCTGTTGCCATCAACGCGCCACGATCGGTTCAGATCGTGGTGCAGCAGGATCAGGTCAAGATTGTTTCCCGGCTGATTTCAAGTGATCCCTCGGTGGCGGATGATGAAGCGTCTTGGGTCACTCACACCGATGCATATTGGTATCGAAAGGTTCTGGGTTCCGAAGATCGGATCGACCTCGCCGCCGTCAAAGCACGACTGGACACGAAACTACCAGGCAACTTTTCAATTGACTACTTGGACAAGGTGGGTGTCTCAGCTATGGGATTCCCATGGGCGGTAACAGAGCACTACCGCAATACCAAGGAAATGCTGGCACGCGTTGATGTCAATCCCGCTGTTTCGGGGGATGCCCCCTTACCCTGGGATTCTTCCTCCTGGGCCCCGATTCTCGACGCTGCCACTTCCGTCGGCTCTACCATCTTCCAAACAGCTGCGCTGCGGATGCCGGCCCAGATCGAGCGCGTGGAGATCTTCACCTCGGAGGACCCACCCAAGGTCGGCTGGCTCTTCGTCGAGAAGACCTCCGATGCAGTTCCTACCTCTCACGTTAGCGTGCTGAGCGAGTCGGGTGAAGTCGTTGCTAAGTTTACGGCCATGCGCTTCTCCGAGATTGGAGGCACCCCCGGCGTTAGTGGCAGCATGGAGAGTCTCGTGCATCAGATCGCCTGGCCACCGGCCACCCCGGCCGAAGAACCCTTATCCATCACGACGGTGATTCTAGTCTCGCCAGATGCTACCACCCGGGCCCAGCATGCCGCGACTCTGCCGACCAAGGTTCAATCCTTCCAGTTCTCTACCACACAGGATTTATTCAGCAACGCTTCATCCCTCCCACTCCAGAAGGGAACTGTTGTGGCCTACATCCCCGGTGAGGTGGCCTCACTGGCAGAGGTTCCCGCCGCATCCGAGTCATTCACTTGGAACCTGCTCGAGCTGATCAAATTCATCGTTAACGGCTCACTGCCTATCAAAGTCTTCAGCCTCACTGCGAATGTGGGCGATGGCCAAACAGCTACCGCCCTGGCCCAATCCCCATTGTTCGGGCTGGCGCGAATCATCGCCAGTGAGCATCCCGATCTGGGATCCCTCATCGACATTGAAGAGCCCGTTATACCCTTGTCGGTGATGCGATACATCCAGGGAGCCGAGATCATCCGAATCAGCGATGGAATCGCCCGCACCTCCCGGTTCCGCAGCCTACCGCGGAATAAGCTGCGCCCTGTTAGCGACGGTCCTCGCCTGCTTCCCCGGCCTGAGGGAACATACCTGATCACCGGCGGTCTCAGGAATTCTCGGACTTGAGGTCGCTGACTTCCTGGTCGAGAAGGGGGCCAGACGTCTGCTACTCATCTCGCGGCGTGCCCTTCCACCTCGCCGAACCTGGGACCAGGCCAGCACAGCTCTCCAGCCAACCATCGCCAATATCCGCCTCCTAGAGAGTCGCGGCGCCTCGGTCCATGTCCTCTCCCTCGACACCACGAAGCCGGATGCGGTGGAGCAGCTGTCGACGGCCCTAGACCGTCTCGCCCTCCCTGCGGTCCAGGGTGTTGTCCATGCTGCCGGTGTCCTGGATAACCAACTGGTGCTGCAAACCACGCGCGATGCCTTCAACCAGGTTCTCGCGCCCAAGATTGCGGGCGCGTTGGCCCTTCACGAAGTCTTCCCCCCCAAGAGCGTTGATTTCTTTATCATGTTTTCCTCTTGCGGAAACCTAGTCGGGTTCACCGGCCAAGCCTCTTATGGCAGCGGCAACGCGTTCTTGGATACACTAGCCACGCACCGGGCGAGCCTGGGAGACACGGCCGTGTCCTTCCAATGGACGTCGTGGCGTGGCCTGGGTATGGGCGCCAGCACGGACTTCATCAACGCAGAGCTGGCATCCAAAGGAATCACAGACGTGACGCGCGATGAGGCCTTTGCTGCCTGGCAGCATCTCGCCAAGTATGATATGGACCACGGGGTTGTTTTGCGAAGTCGTGCCTTTGAGGACGGGGAGCCAGTCCCTGTGTCTATCCTTAATGATATTGCGGTTCGGCACGTGGGCGCGCTGTCCAACACCACGCAGGGGGCTACAAGTTCCAATGGTAGCGATGCGGTGCCTGCGTCAGGACCGGAGCTGAAGGCATATCTGGATGAGAAGATTCGGGGCTGTGTGGCCAAGGTCTTACAGATGACAGCTGAGGATGTGGATTCGAAGGCAGCCTTGGCTGATATGGGTGTGGATTCAGTCATGACGGTCACTTTGCGTCGCCAGCTGCAGCAGACGCTGAAGATCGCGGTACCCCCGACGTTGACGTGGAGTCATCCGACTGTCAGTCATCTGGTGGTGTGGTTTGCTGAGAAGATTGGCAAATGATCTCAGATTGAATGGGACAGGGAGTGTTGTTTCCCGAGGTGATTGGGACGGTGTACAGTGAAATTTTGTGTTGTCAACAAACGAGCTATCCGTCTCATCCCCTTTTTACTAGGAAAACATCCATGGATGGGACCGATTTTGTATGTAGCTTCTTAATTTGTCCGCACCAGATTGTCAAAACCGGACTATTGTTGTTTTTAGGGAATTAGAGAATTTTACCGTGAATTTTACTAGTACGCTTGCCATGATTTCTGTCTCCGATTATTTACAAATGGACTGACTATGCTATCCATGGTATTCACCAGCACAATACATAATATCCTTCCCAGTGACATCTTCTCGAGCATATTCAATATATAGGGTTTTTTCTAAGCCCAAAGCTTCTTAAGAACTAGTACATGTCTGGGAATTTCTGACCTACGTAGAGAAATGTATCTTGACATTAGTGTTAAAAAAAGTTATACGTTCATTGAAAATGTGATATTTTCCACTCAGCCACTTCTGACAAGGGATAGTATAAGTATAGGCTTAAATCCGAGAATGCTCCCACACTTCTGTACGCTCAGTTAAAGAGAACCTACGGGCTGCTATCTGCTATCATTTTCGGTTCATTGATCACACGCTAATGGTAAAGGTTGAGTGTAAGCTAGCTGAATCGCTACAATATATAGAGAAAAGAAAGGAAAAGGGGGAAGCCGTCGTTGATAATAAAAGTGAACTAGAGCAAATTCTCCCCACAGATGATATTGTTCAATAGAAGATAATTTTTAAAGGTTATTAAACCGCCGGTAAGAGACTCATATAGGCTAGTGCCGGACGGGCTACTGTCCGGAAGGTATCTATCTCAAGGTAGACTGTATTATTCGGAGGTTGGGTGCATCCTGGATCTGTCGAGCGGAAAGGACCGAATACTTCTTGGCGAGTCAATGCAAGTCTCTGAGGTGCGGTGGTTCTAGGAGGTGCGGGAAAGATCTGCTAAACGCCATTAGTAAATTGACCGATAAAGCTTGAGTGCCTCAACATACCTCCCTCTGTCTCTGTACTGGCATGCCTTGTCGGTCCCAAGGCATCTATGTAGGATGAGATAATCTCATCACCTCCCAAGGTACCAGCGTTATGCTCTCCCGAGAAGGCTGAGTTTCCCAGGAGGAACTCGATGTCTGTAAAAGCAGGAGGGATGTTGACGTAAGTCGATACGTCAGGTGGGCTTGGAGCTGATGCCAGTTTGCATTTGTTGATGGTATAACACCAACAACAAGGGCTGGCTGCGCGGAATAGGAATCCCCTGCCAACATTGAATGGACAAACCAGTTGCCATTTGGTTCTAAGAGTCTCTCGGAGTTTGCTGATTTCCACCAGATGGCTCCGGAGCAACCCTTGATGGGTATGTAGTAGGGCATCTCTTCCATTCAGTTCCTGCTTCAGATGCTTGAGCTTCTTAACCATTTTCTCAATGTCCTGTTCAGTGTATTTTTCCCCAGTCCCAGTGTTTGGGGCTGCTAGGTTAGGTGAGTTTGGTTCAATCACTGATTCTGAGGACCGGATTCTCCGGTTTTGACTCTGGTTTGGAGGATGGGTTCTCTCTTTGTCCTTTTTCTGACCGATTCCCAAGATATATCCTAGATAGGATTCAACAAACGTTGGATTGATTGAGTGCAGAGCCAGGGCTGGTAGTAAGAACTTCCCATCCCGGGCCAAGTAAAGTTGTGAATGGAACTTGCTTCTAAGGTATCCATCCTGTCGAAAGACCTCAGTAAAAGCTCCCCGGACGGTTGGTCCGCAGCGCAGTAAAAAATGGAGTTCGGGAGCGGTCACTAATGACTTTTCCTTGGCCTGGAGGAATGGTGGTACATCTGCTTTCGTCTTCCATCCTAGGTAGCGTGTTTTCCTGTTTGGATCGGACATCTCCTTGATGAACTCTGCCAAGGGCTTTCCCGCCTCAGTAGGTTCCAGCTCTTCCATGAGATGTTTCTCCTTACAGATCTCAGTTACCTTATACTTCAAGTCAAGAAGCCGGACGGTCTCATCCTTGAGATGGTGAAACGTAATGCAAGCTCGGCTGTTGAGTGGATAGGGAATAAAGTAGGGACATAGAAGTGGTCGCCGTTGAGAGATTTGCTTGGCTGGCTCGATGCGTTTAGGATCCATAGAGTGGCTGAGTTTTATCTTGTTGCTTGTTGAATCCCTAGTCGTCGAATTGTAGGCCCATAGGCCAGATGACGGAATCCAGTATGCATATCTGAGAGCTGGGCATAGGTAAAAGCATCTGTTCACTCCATGCTTGCCTTTGCTGCAGTAGGTGCACTTTTTTTTGGCGAACAAGAACAAGAAGCAGAGTAGAGACTGCATTGAAAGACTAACAAAGACTGGGGGAGGAGAGAGAGAAAGAGAGAGAAGCTGAGGGAAGAGGAAGGAGACAGACATCACTAGCCTGACAAACCAGGCAGGCACATCACCGAAGCTCCAACAAATTCCCACTATCACTCCTCTCTGGTTTGTGAGCCAACCACTACCTGACATAGAGACACCCTTTAGAGGCTCGTTAGTGCGTCGTTTAGGGTTTGGATTGTTGTTAGAATTAGGGTTCGAGTTCGAATTAGCAATTGATTTGCCAGATTAGTTGGTAGGTGGAATGCGCCTCTTGTTTAATACAGAGAGCGCTAGAGAGTCCACGTTGCTAGACTTGATAAAGTCTAACAGCTCCCAATATGAGATACTAAACAAAGCGAGAGATAGTACTTAACGTGAGATACCCCTTCAAAAGTGATAAACAAGTGAGAGATATAGCACTCAATACTATTCTCAAAGCAAAGTGAGAGACATAGTACTCCGTAACTAGGAGATACTATTCTTGAAAAGTAAATGATAGGGTATAGTACCTCCAGTACTATTCTAAAGTAAGGTGAGAGAGTGCTCCAACACGGGAGAGATACTCAAAAAGCAAGATCTAGCACAGCGCTATTACTGATAAAAAAGACTAGATCTAGATAGACTTTGATGAAACCTGACGAATCAATAGGTCATCGATAAAGCAAAGGGGAAAACCGAGGGCCTCGTAACCTGTTGAGGCTACGATGAAGATGCAGATGCTGGGAATACCAGAATGAAGAGACTGATATTCAGTCTATGAAATGAAGGCTGTTTATAAGCCCTGATTTAACAAAGGAATAGCAAACAAGCAAAGGCTCAGTCTGCACAAAGAGGCATCCGATCTATGCAATTTTCCAACAGATTTTATGCTTGTCTGCCCCGAATATATAGAATTGTCATCAGCGGTAGCAATATCTTAGCAGGTCTTGTGAGTTCCGCTAGAAATGCTCTCCACAGGCTAATAAAAAGTCACCAAAATCAAGTTGGCGGGCTCCGGTAGGATTTAAAGGCTCACAAGGCCCAAGAGCCCATTCCTTCTTCAACAGATTCAACCAAGTCTTAAACTCCATCTCCTCGCCGTCGACCAAGACCTTACCGCCATTGACCTTCTCCAGGCGGCGTGGAATGGTGATAAAGTACTTAGCATGCTGGGAATTGCATCTCTTCTTGGGCTTTACGCCCTCCGCCAGTTGGACGCAGTCCGGACACAGCTCCTCCAAACAAATGGGGCAAATCGAGAACCCATCCGGTACGGGTACCTTTCGCCGGCATGGGCCGCAACATGTATACCAGGGGTCGCTACTGTCCTGTTCCGACCTATGCGCAATTGCAACAGCATTCTTAAAGTCTCCCGCCCTAATAAAAATGGTGCGCAGATCAGAGATTTCCCAGTCTGTGGGATGGTCGTCGTCCAGGGCTCGAACGCTTTGTTGCAGGGAGGGTCGGAAGAGAGCACGCGCCCGCTCATCTTGCCCTCGGAGGCGGCAGTAGACGCCCAAGTAGACACCTGGTAAACAGGACCAGCTTTCTGATGGATCAGGCGTGTTTTGGTGAACGAGATTCTCAAGTTTGGCCACTGATTCTTCCGCCTCTGGAGTGCCAACTCCAACTTCGACTGCATTAGAGAGAAATGCCTTAGCCAGGTTCGAGGAGGCAAGCTGTCTGATAGTCCCAATCAATGTCCCGGAAGAGGAGGAAGAGTATGTATCAATGATCTTCTCCCAGCACCTGATTGCCTTCGAGTGGTCAAAAATCGACTGATCATAGATTCGAGCGATAGCCATATCCACCTCTGCGGCGATCAAGGTCCTCGAGTCTGCTCGAGCCACCCTGGCCGCCGTTTGCAAGCTATCCAGCACAAAGTCCAGATCACCAGTAGCCAATGCGGCATCGGCAGCAAGCCTTGACTTGCTGTCCACCCCAAATACGCTGTACAGTAAGAAACGAGTCAATTCCGAGGAATCCCCTTTAGGGGCCGGTTTGTCGGCTAACTTCTTCAGCAAGTCCATGGTTACTTCGTAAGCGCGGTTGTCGTTATGGTATCGCAGAACGACCTCGAGACAATCCCAGCAACAGGGTGCGTATTGATATGCCTCTTGAGTCACCTCGAATCGTTTCTCTCGATCTTCCTGTTCTTCATAAATCCAACCCATACGCTCCAGACATTCATGAAGATGGCCTTTCAGTGTCCCGTCCTCTGGTGACACCGCAATCATGGTCAACAAACTTAGTCGAGCCCGTTGCCAGAGCTCAATGCATTTCTGCCAATCCTCTTGCCAATCATATGTTTGTGCCAGCTCACGCAGGGTCCTCCAATTCTCCGGATCTAGCTCTAATGCCTTTCCAAAATACTGCAGCGCCTCCGATTGGCACCCCGATTCGCGCAGAGCCATCGCACATCGTTGAAACCACTGACTGGTTTTCTCAAAGCCACCAAACTCAGCGGCCTCAATCACCTCGTCTGTCGTAAGGCTTCTATCGTCATCGGGGATCTCTTCGCCCTTAGCTAGCATTTGGTAGCGCCAGACGATAGAAACCATGTGACCAGGACCAGGGAAGTCTTCCTGCAGAAACCTCTTTATGCAGAACATAGCCATTGGTCTGAATAAATGGACTGGGTTCTCCTCCGTGAGCGAGATGAATTCTTTCTCTTCCGGCGATAAACACTCGCGGACGTCTTGCTCCTGCCACCATTGTTGGACAGCTTTAATGGTAGCAGTAGAGATAGTCCACTTATCTCCCCGAAGCCAGTTCGACATTGATTCTTCCGACCTGAAGGCCATCAATAGCATCTTTGCAATTTCTCGTCTATCTTCAAACGAGCTCTTGGATGCGGAAGTGGTGAGTAGCTGGTTGCGCCAATCCCACGCAGCATGTGCAAACATCTCCCCTGAATCGTCGGCTTTCGACGCAAAGTCGGGATTTGTAATTAGCCTCAAGTAAGTCCGGAGGATGTGAGCTTTCGCTTCTTGGTAATTGACACCGACACCAATGTTATCCCCCGTAGCGGACACCTTGCCCTCCGACTCATCGCGGAGGAAGTCGCCAATGGATGCATGACAGAAGGTGACGGCAGTTGTACTCTTTTTTGAGTTGTACTCCATGAAATAGTCCTCCTCGGAATTCTCGTGTCCATCATGTTTCTCATCGTCGGCGCCCCAATCGAACGCGTCTAGATGTGCTAATCCATTATCTAGCTCAGCTGTGGTAAGCCCATCCTCTCGGTCCAGAGAGAAGAATGACGCCCACTGGCGCCGCATAGCTCCTTCGAGGTCAATCATGCCATCTCCTTCTGGTGACTTCAATCTGAGAATGGCTTCCAAATCGGCCAGTTTCCATGGTTGGTCGGCGCAGGTGACCCAAAGCAATGTTTCATTGAGGTACTCGAGCTCCTCCTCGTGGGATCTTTCAGAGAATGTGACCAAGACATGTCGGAGCATCTCCCTAAGTCCCCGGGGAGCCTGCTCCAGTGTTTTCCGCATACTGCTCTCATTTCGTTTCTTGGCTAACTCCTGCAGCATGAGGTTTACCCAAAGAAACATGCCTTCCGCCCCAGCCGAGAGTTTAGCGATCATTTCATTCCGGAGCTTTGTCGACACCCTTCGCAAAATCAGAGACTTCTTGATGCTGGCGTGAATATACTGGGTAATATCGCTGGAGTTCTTATGTTTAGTGACATGAAGGGTTGGTACCTTAACCTCCAGGCCTTCGAGCAGTTGGTCGCTGATATAAGGTCGGCCAACAATGGCTAGTCGCAAACACGACTGGTTGTCATACAACTGCTTTGCGAGGTCGATGAAGACCTCCCACTCTTCATCCAGAGTTTCGTCCACTGCATCCAGGAGGATATACACGGTACTCTCCATATCGGGCTTTTTGAGAAAGTATTCAACAAAGAGGAGACGCCATGCACTTTCAAGGGTGCTAATCTGTTCGTATTCCTCGATAGACCCGAGGTATCTTCGGTACCCTGCGTCGTTCTTACTGATTTGAAAGGCCACGTCTCGCAAAGCCTGATGAAAGGATCTTGTATGGGGGTTGTCACCCTTGAAGAAGAAGTAGCCGATCGAAATCGTCGGGCTGTCCCGAAGGCCCCTGGGGAACTGCTCAAGAAGGAAACTGATCATATTTGCCGCCAGAAATGACTTGCCTGAACCTGGATTTCCAGACACAAAAATTACCGGCGATTGCTTATTGATCCAGGACTGGAAAACATCATCCTTATGGACCCAGTCTCCCGTGCCCGGTACACGGGCCTTGTGGATCTTGTCGAACCATTCCTGCGCTGAATCAACCATCGATGGCATAAGGGCCTGCTTGACAATTGCTTGCAGGGCTTGTTCATCCTCGAAGGTATTCTGCCTTTGCCCATTTGCGGAAACCATCAGTTTCTCGACCATCTCCTGCACCTCGAGTACCTGTTCGCTCATCTGATCCACCGTAGCCTTGGTCTCCAGCACATTCGCGTTGGTGGCGTCGACGGTCACAGAAATACCATCAACTACACGACCGGCTCTCTTTGATTCGGTCAAGGTCTCAGCTCCCACTAGGTTCGCTTCGACCTGGGTGAGTTTGTCAAGCCTGACCACCGCAGCCTGGATAGCATCGTCATTGCCAAATATAATATTCCGGGTGTACTTAAGCAGTCGGCCTCGTCGGATGGTCTTAGATGACAAGGCAAAAATCTCAATAAGTGTGACAATGACATCGCTCAGCTTGTCGCTTAAAGCCTCGGAAATGGCTTCTTGTGTGTATGCTTTGAGTCGGATAGTGAAATCCTGCTTGTTTCAGAGTTTTGTTTTCATCGGCATGCAGCCAGACCATACCTGTAGCATTTGCATCAAGTCCTGAATCGCGTCATACGAGGCCGACACCCCCTTTGCAGCATCCACCAAGTGCATCACCGCCCCGAAGACGAGACAGCTGGGAGGGAATGCCATCGATACGCCCCCAGCCGCGAGGTTGGTGAAAAATTGCACGGAAATCAGGGCCGACTCGAGAACATCGAATATAGCACCTCGTTTTTCGCGGAAGTCGCGAAAGGTGTTGTTCCTCTGTTCGATTTCTTTGGTGAGATCGCTGACATTTTGAATCTTGAGGAAGTCAACCCCGAGAGTCTCCCCCGTGATCTCGTGGTACTTTCGGATCGCCTTCTCGCAAATGGCGGAGGACTGGTCCTTGTGAGCGACCATTTTTGACGAAAACCAATGTCGTTTTCATACGGGGATAGGGTTGGACTGGAGCTGTCAGGTAATTGTCCAGGGAGAGCACTGCGGGGTAATTCCAAGACTTTTACGCTACGCTACGCCTTAATAGCGCGGGGCGCGCTCATGTACAGCTGCCACTTTTGCTGTCGTGGTGTTGTTGCGTTCCTTGAGGATATAACCACAGCTCTGCTCTTCTACGAGGCCTGTGTCTTATCCCACGGCAAGCAAGCTAGACAACACATCTATCATTGAGCTTCTACGCTGACTGGAACATAATTCTGTTTTTTCCGTGGTGGATTTTGTTGAGGTTCAGTTGCTGCCCATTGTTATGCAATCGTTGATTACTCTTAGATCGCTGATCGGTGCTGTGATGCCTTAGACCTATATCAATCGCATCGAGCAACTGAACTCTAGAGTCCGGGCTGTGACTCAGATTAATCCGGATGCTCTCTTAATAGCTCATGCTAAATACGCAGAAAGAGAGAAAGCCGCTGGGAGAACTTCATGGGGTTCCTATCCTGTTGAAGGACCTCTTTTTGACGACCGACCGGCTGATGTCAACCAGTAAGACCCCCGAGCGCTGACATGGAACTGATGAGCTTCAACTGCTGAAAAGTATATTCGCAGTTGACTGCTCTGGCCTGACTTCGGCAATTCCTAAATATGAAGCAACTGTGATTCGACGACTTCGGGACGAAGGAACCTTTCTTCTAGGAAAACCAGTATCTAATGTCTGGAGAATTGGTACAGCTCCTTCTGACCTGGGTCACACATCCAGCGGACAACACAATTGCATACATACATGTATGCATGTAACTGATAGTTAGGGTTGTGTATATGTAGCCGTATTGTATTCAACCCCGTCAATAGCCATAGACTTGGAGTTATTCGGAAGCGTTACTTACTTGAAAGCCCTCCCGCCGCAAGCGCTGTTCCCTACGGACATTGGCAGACTGCAGATAGACTGCAGGTAGATCTCCACTCATGTCGGCGCTTTTACCGATACGAACGCTTCCTGCACGGAGACTGATCCCTCAAATCGGATGTGCCCAGCTGTGGTTGGAAGGTTCCACAGTTCTTTTTTTTTTTTTGGATTGAGATGCTAGGTCCTCTGCTTATGCTCCTTTTTTAAACTCCCTTAACCATACCTAGGTAGCCTTTAAGCACAGTATTATCTGATAGATTGTTTGGAGTAGGAGTGATTTCCACTCCCTGCATGGACGTATCGTAACTTGATATAACAAGCAAGCGACTACACTACTACCCTTGATTGGGGGGACATATTAAAGACGTGTTGAGGTTACAACGACTCTGGCTACACGGGGAGAATCAAGAAGGAAAATCTGCTCTATTCAGTCTAGGAATCGAAACCCCTTTTATAGAAGACCTGAAAAGCAAACAAACAAACAAATAAGCAGGCAAAAAGCCCAGTCTATCTAGGAATAAGGCATCTATCTAGGATGGGATGATCTTAACGGTGTCTTGGTTGAGATATAGATCCTGCACGAATAGACCAAAGCCATAACAAAAGAAAACAAAGCTAAAGCCAATGAGCCAAATCCGACGATGAAAAGGAATGATACTGATACCTAATGTCTGTATCTGCGGCCATGACCTGTGTGCCCATGACGAGTGTGCCCATGATCTGTGTGGTCATGGTCTGTGTGGCCATGATCCGGGATCTGTATGCCCAGCCCATGCCCTTCGTGGCCGTGAGCTGTGTGATCATGATCTGTGTGGCCATGACCTGTGTGCCTATGACGTCTATGCCTATGACCTGTATGCTCATGGCCTGCGTGGTCATGGCCTTCGTGGCCATGATCTGTGTGCCCATGATCTGTGTGACCATGACCTGCGTGTCTATGACGTCTATGCCTATGGCCTGTATGCTCATGGCCTGCGTGGTCATGGCCTGCGTGGTCATGATCTGTGTGTCCATGGTCTGCGTGTCCATGACCTGCATGCCCATGAACAGGGCATGAATCATCATCTCCCGGTCCATAATCTTCCTCACGTCTATGAGTATAACAATGCATATAATGATTGTACTGACCTTCTTTCAGCAGTCCCTTGCGCTCAAGTCTAAGAATCAAATAACAAGCCCAGAGCTGGCAGCTCTGTAGTGGAACCTTCTCAGCCTCCATCTCGACAGTGGTGCTCTCGCTGACACGAATCCGTCCGAGATAGTGTGTGGTCTCGACTTGATCACTATCGAATCGCTTGTCATGCTCAATGGACAAGGTACGATTGCCCATATAGCCGATGCTGTGCAACCGAGTGCAACGGTCAGCATCTGGATACTTCATAGCGATCATCCAATGAACGACGGTATCATGTGGCTTGCAAATCTGAACGTAGAGCTCAAGCTTGTCCGGACGATCTCGATGTCCGCCGTGCTGGGGACAGGATCCTACTGGACGTGGCATGGTTGCGATATGGAAGATGGCTGGTAATTGCTGGAAATTGCTGGAGATTGGTAATTGTAGAAAGGTGTGGATATAGAAGCTGTTTGGAGTGTGAAGATTGTTGTGATGATGGAGTTTATTTCAAGCGAGGACTCGATCATTCTTATAGACATCTCGAGTCCATTGCCTTGTGGTATGCACAATGGGTTAGTGAAAGCCCTTTATTGAGTCTAAGAACAAACCCTTTATTATGTAGACAAAGACATGGTCTTTGTTGTGGATGCCTTCACAAACACTTTCTGTAGTCTCTTTCACTAGCCTGGAATAGACGGCCATTATGTCTTCTTTGTTAAAACGTTTAGAAACCAAAAATTTCATCTGACATAGAACGAATTCAAACGTGGACAATCTATCCTATTCACCCAAATACCATGCACAGTCATGTTCTTTCACTCGTCACCTAGACTTACTCCATAGGTAGGTTGGTCTCCACATTGGAGTATCAACGTTCATAGTCTCTCAGCCCCGAGAGAAACAAACAAGGGAAGGCTTTGATGGTGCCAAATCGCATGCGCTTCTTTGTCTTCAACCACCTCCAAAGCGTATGGTGTACTAATACCTCGCTCGCTCCACAGGCATCAATGGCTGGTTTTATAGACTTCTGCTTTTGCTAGGTATCCTGTGGCACAGAAGCCGGAGAAAACCCAAGTTTTAGTAGACCACACTCCTTCCAATGGGCACGAAATATCTCGCGTAATCCTTTGAACGCGTCGCTTGAGTCGCCCAGACTTTTCCAACCCCGGCTCGAATATTTATATGTCGGGAAGTAATTCTTCGCAGTCTGAGAGCTGTTCTTTTGCCTGCAAATACATCATTTTGTCACCTTTTCTTTCTTCCTTAAAGCCGTTGAGAGTAAATCTCTAGCATTTGAAGAATCCCCTGTTATTCCCCCCGTATATATGCCGCGGTTCTCCATTGCTGATGGAACACGCCCATCCCTATATATTTACCTTCCATCATCGGAGTCATTGGAGTCGTCATTGGAGGAGTGGTGACCATCATCTGAATCGACATCGCTCGCGCAGCTTCAAGCAGGAGTTGAAGTGGTGGTATAATCCTGGCACAAGGGTCATGTTCCACTTCGTCTAAATAAAGTGCCAGTAATGCGCATCAACAGAGATACATCACATAAATAGTACAGGAGTGAACTGACGCAAAATGTGTATAAAAGCCCACATGTTGGAAGTCCAACTTCTCGCGTTAGACTGGTGGTGAAGAATTCCATCTGTGAATGAAGCCTGAAGCTGCACAAGAGCAATATCCAGAATACGGTCAGTAAATGAATTTCCAAGGCTGCAACAGCAGCTGAGCGACTCGATCAACTGGTTTGGGGAGCCCTTCTAACCCCATCCGCCACTGCGTTATTTCCGAGTACACCCAGACGAACCATCGGTGGCAGGTACATCCCCCATCTTCTCCTTGGATGGAGTTGCGGCGCGCAGGTTCTTTTCGTCGATTGTTGTGCCAGCCTTAGCATATCGGAGGCTAGGACTCGGCTGGCGCTAGTTGAGAGAGATAGGGGTTTTGTAGCAAGTAAGTGGGCAGCAACGAAAGTGATGCTGAAGTTTCTGGCTCATAAGCCTCAGCACACTTGTGGAGGACCTAGCTTCATCAGCGGGCGTTAGTTGCAAGTAGCCGAATAACGGTAATATGGGAATTCGGAAACAACCTAGGTGGTTTGAGATGCGGCTCGCACAGGAAAACCCTAGCTCCAGAGATACAGATGGGAGTCGACGATGGAACACGCTCAAGTCGTCAAATACCACGCGTAAAGCACAGTGCATGCACACCTCGCCGATCCCGAAGGCCGAAGGCGGTGGTTTGTAAGGCAGGGTTCAACAGAGCTGCTAGGAACTGCACTTGCAGGCAATCTAGTAGATAGAGGCTGTGTCCATTTGGATCTTGAGCGTATTTGGCAATATCATCCTCGACCGAAATCTATTGATAGACACATCGCTCGCTGTATGTCTGTGTCTGGATGCGGTCGCAGATTTTGCCTAAGATTGCCCAGTGGGTGATGGAGACGTAGCTCTTGAGATTGTCGCTTTGAAAATTCTTCATCCTACCCGGGGCATTTTGACGACGGAAACTGAGGTAAAGGTAGAAGTAACTGTCTGGAGAACGTCGCGCGGCTAAACAAACATTCTCTATCTCGCTTCTATCTCCCCCAACAGATATATCGTTAAATATATCGTCGAGATTGGCAGGCTGGCCTTCGTTATCCGGAGAACCATAGTGTTGGCCGTCCTTCAAGGGCTTCTCGACGTAAGGGAGGTGCACCTGGATGACAACGCTTACCACGCAAGAGTAGGAGAGACGAGACAGTAGGTGTAGTAGAGTCAGCATAACGCATAAAGACCCATCGCAAAAGTAAACGAGTCTCTTGTAAATATATTTTGGAATAGGGAGTCGGAGAATGCTGTTAGAAAACGCTAACGCTTCCTCTCGCGTGGTACAAGAGATGAAGTCAAGAAGGTTCGAAGGTCACTTCCACTAGCTCACTCCTATTGCTGGGAGGGATTAGCTAGGTCCCCTCATTTGAAATTTTATGTGGTATGCCGTGCTTTAGACTTACCTGATTAGGGTGGAGGATGAAAACCAAGCTAGGAGATTTCATTTAACTGGGTCATCGGAGTCACTCGTGGTCCCAAAAGTCGACCCTGAAGACTTGGGGAACCCTCCTCCTCTCCATCGTCTTGCTGGGACAGCCGCTGTGAGACTAAGGAACATGAGAGTTGGAAAAGCAAGGTGGTTAGTTGAGCCTCATAATTTTCATGGCTGATTCTGAAGTGAGAATGGTGGAGGATGTTGATAAGAACGGGCAGTGGAACATGATGCTGGAGATATATATAGAGCCGTAGAGATCATATATCGAAAGGTTGTTTGACTGTACATGGAAAACGAATTTGTGGTAAGAGGCCCTGCTTCAATGTTATGTTACGCAATGCACTTGGATCAATAGGCTCTACGCAGGGCTATCTATGTACCGAGTATGCATAGTCCCATCAGGTCTGGTTAACAATCCAAGACCCACAAACCACCTAAGGCCATGGGATTGGCCAAGCCATTCAGCCCCCAATATCCTAAGTCCTGGGGGCCAACTTGACAGTCAGATAATCACACTTATCCTCATCTACTCCCTACCTCTTAACTTAACCAAACTATCTCATCCAAAATGGCCTCAGGTCTAATCTTAAACCCCCACCTCCTCCTCCAAACACTTCCATTAGCAACAAGCACCGCAACCCTCGCGCACGCGCTACTAGAACTGACAACAAATACCGCCTTCCTCATCCCCTCCTGCAACCCACTTCGGATAAAGTCCTGCCGAAATGGTTCTCCCACGTCTTCAATCGCGCAGTATGGACAGTCCTCGGTCTAAACCTGGGCACGATAACCTCAGCCGCCGGGACTCTCTTCTTGAATCGCTATTACCCACAGAAGCCGCTGCAGACGACGGCATTTTACTGGGTCGGCCTGGCTGGCGCGGTCGGACATTTGGTTTTTGTGCCGTTTGTCGCCGGGCCCGTTAAGAGGATTGTGGATGATGTTGCTGTTAAAGAGGATCTTGGGGAGAGTGGGGTTGGCGCGTCAGTTGATATGCGCCGTTGGGTGGGGGTTCATCGGGTTCGAATGGTTGTTGCAGATTTTTCGGCTTGGGTTGCTTTCGTGGGGGCGGTTTTGACGCTGTGAATTTGATATTGGTATTGATATTGGAAGTAGAATTGGATTTGGTGTTGGTGATGTATGTGCGTATGTTATGCCACTGGCGAACATTTGACGACTGATTTGAACTGAGCATGGACTCTGACAAACCTGTCGTGTGGCCTTTAAGCCTTTCACGAGACGAGCTTGATCAGAGAATCCTAACATTACCGTTGTCAATCTGTATAATTTATTATTCCACTACTTGGAAAACAAAATAATGAATAAAACAAGGAAATAAAAAATAAAGGAAATAAGCAATCAGCGGACTAGCGGAACGACCAGTAAAAAGAGAACCCTCAACGCAAATAACAGCTAGTGAAGCATCTTCATCCTGATAGCAAGAATTGGGACTCGTGGGAGTAACTATAATAAGGCTTTAGCCCTTAGGAACCGCTGGAAGCTTAAGGAATATGTTGTACATGTATGCTCCTAATATAACTAACGCGCTTAAATGCCTAGAGTATCCACCATTAGCATATCCCTTATCAGGTATATGATCTTCAATTTCCTTTTTTTAAACCACAGTACTCCGTAGAAAACTCTAGTTATACTACTTCTCCTAACCGCTGAGATATGGATTCTACTACAAGAAGGGCCTTGGGATTGAAGATTTCAGCCAGAGATAGACCCGGCACGTATACCCAGCAGAGAGGAGATTTGCTAGATACTTCTAGGATTGAAAGAATCCAGCGCTTTCACCGATTTGAGGGATAGTTACTGACTCGAGTAATACACAGAGTTTTTCGCTCGCAACCTTATTGTTCCGGGCGAGTATATGTTGTATCTATGGAGTTTAGTGTGCGGTCAATGTCTTTCATTTTTTTCGCCATCACTGAAAAAGGGTGTCTGAGTGTGGTGCTAGACCTGTGAATACGAGTGCCGCTCAGTCTCGTCCTTCTAAAAGGGTTAAGTCCCTGAGACCAGGCCCAAACATGTGTTTTAGGCCAATGACACCTGTTTACCGGGTATAGAATTTACCAATTTCGCCAACCACGCAGGGAAAAAATTCAGTTCTTATTGGAAATTAGGTTAGCCCCCAGGCAGTTTTCCCGCTAAGTTCGTGTTTAGAGTGGATAGTGGGCCGGCTGTCGTATTTTGAGATTGGCCTTTGTCGATCCTTTCGATCGGAGCGTTGATCCATTAAAGATGCCAATTCTAAGTATTCCCCTTGGCAACATTTAATTTATTGAAAATAGTAGGAAATCCTTTCAAATCGTGAAAATTGGAAGTGATAGGTGCCAGGTTGGGAATTTTATAGGTGCTCTTTGCGAAGGGATCCTGACCATCATGCTTGAAGACGTTGAAATATGTATCAGGGGTTTTTTTTTATCTGAATACGAGATGGGCGGCCGAAATAGGGGGATCTGCTGCTTTTTAGCCTCAAGCGCCATCGAATGCCAACGGTAATAGGCTCACCATATTTACGCCCTATTTCTAAATTTCTATGTATCCATCACAACCGAGTCACGATGAGGCTGAGTGAGCCCAGGCGAAAATGCCTTAAGAAATACCGGACCCCGTCTGCGCTACTCTAACCAGTCATTCCTTTACTTTCACTCCTTTTGTTCATCAGAAAAATTCCTCGCTGAGGAATCCTCGCTCTCAAACATGCACTCAACTCCAGGAGCTCCACGGCCATCACGGCTCACCAAATGGTGGCCCATCGGCTTCTTCATTGGTGCCATTGTCTGCTTCATCATCGGCGGTGCTCTCGTGGGCACATGGACCTCCCACGCGTATGACGACTGCTCCTACAGCAGCTCATACGACAGCTCCAGCTCGTACTACAGCTCCTACTATTCCGACTACGACTACTCCTGCGCCACTACCAACATGGGCGAGTTCTATGGCGCTGTTGCTATGTTTGTCATCGGCGGCATCCTCAAGCTCGTCGCTTGGATCCTGCTCATCATCTTCTGCGTCAAGCGCAGCCGCAAAGTCAGCCACACCGTCACATACGTGAACTCCCCCTCCTGTCCAGGAAACACAGCCCTTGCAGACCTACGCCGCGCCTCAACCCTATGCCCCAGTGCCTCAGCCTGCCCCCTTCCCTCATTCCCCTGCCTCGATCTCTGGTCACCCTGAGGTCATGGGCTCATCTGTCCCTGGTACGCCTCCCCCCAATGAGGCCAATGCGACGGCAGGTGGTTTCAAGTACTGTACCCAGTGCGGAACCGCTGTGTCTGGCCGATTCTGCGCTCAATGTGGTACCCAGAGCTGAGGTCTGATTCAATCACTTTCATAATACACTTCGACTCTTGTCATAATGCTGCATGTTGGCGCATGGGGATGGTGGAGCAGGTTGTTGGTCAAAATTGCACCGTGGATGAGATGCCGTCTTGGAGACTTTTGGACAATGTTGGTTTTACTTTATCTTTTTATTTTTGTGATACACCGGGATGGATTACACCCTGTGTTATCCCCCATATATCTATTTTACCCTTCTTCCCCCTCCCTGCTTGGGGTTTTTAGTTTAGCACGACATTCGCTTTTATTCCTGCCAACATTTGAACACAATATACCAAAAATTCAATCATCAACCCAAGTCAAATGTTGCTGGCAGGGCTTTGCTTCTAGCTTAGTTGGGCGAGATGCTTCCACCCATTAATGAACTATAGTAACTGATCCAGCGCGACTGGAATCCATGGATATATAGTTCTACTATAATCCTTTCCCGCGAATTCAAAGAAAGGCCGTTTCCACGAGGTCTGCAATGAAGAGGAAAAATTATGCTGCATGAGCAGATGTATAAACATGTTCATTGCTATGAACTGGGCGGCTTGGCATTCGCCCCGGGCTCCTCGGGATATCAGTGCTTAAGTTGTAATAACTCGTAGGTAACCTCAGGGCCCGAGGTCTATGCATCACTTATGAAAGTTTTTATCGTCAATCGCTCTGTTCTTCAGTTCTGTGCTCCGTAGCCCTCTCACCAGCTGGCCTTGAAATCACCAAAAGGACGCGAACAGGAACTGAGACGTGGCCATAATTGAGCAGTCAAAAATAGACCACAGCGACTTCACCCCTGCAGTGCAATGCGGAGCAAGGCGAATCATACGCGACAAATAGACGCCCTTCGGGCGTGGCCCAATCGTTACAGAGGGCTCTCCCTAATCGAGCGTATCGCAATGGGTGATGGCGATACGCTGCATAAAAAAAGCGGGGCAGCAGTCAGGCGAGATATCTTCCCAGCGCGTCCTTCGGACTGGGTGTGATAAATTATAGAAGACCTGCTATAGACAGCCTTCAGTAAATAAGCAGAATGGGATATCTGTCGCGACGATTTCTACCGCGACAACAGGTTCCAGCTGGAAACCAAGATAATACCAAAGCTTTTTCATACGGCATCAAACTTCTCTACAGCCCAGATGATGGGAATATCGAGTATGTCCCTTCTCGGGTTCAAAAAAGAAGTCCCTAACATTCTCTTTTAGCATCATCTTCATCCACGGCCTTGGGGGTGACCGCGATGCGACCTGGACTGCCCGTGATGCGACCGATCCCTGGCCCAAAACACTCCTGCCACCTATAATTCCGACAGCCCGCATCTTTACATTCGGATACGCCGCAAATGTTGCCAACTGGAAAGGAGTTGTGTCGCAGAATCGTATCGCCAACCACGCCATGAATCTACTAACAGCTCTCTCGACGTATCGCGAGAACGACGGCACGGTAGGCCGGCAATTCTGCAGAAGTCGCAGCATACTGACGCCCACAGAATGAACGACCGATCATATTTGTGTGCCATGGCTTAGGAGGACTGGTCTGCGAGGATGCAAGGTTCCCCTTTTCATTGTGGGGGCTGTTCTAATACCCCACACAGGCCTTACTCGCATCGAACCAACGACCGGAGCCACACCTCCGCAAGATCCTCCATTATACCCGCGGTATTGTCTTTCTCGGTACACCGCACCATGGAGCTGGTCTCGCCCAATGGGCCGAGGCCTTGTCTCAATCCATCGGTCTCGTCAAAAGGACGAATTCCAAAATAGTCGGTGCCCTCAAACGCGATTCGGAGGTGCTTGCACGGATTCAAGACGGCTTTCACACGATGGTCAAGTCGCGAAACACACGAAGCCTGCCGCCTATTGAAATCACATGCTTCTACGAGGAGTTGCCATTACCGAGTGTTGGTTTAGTAAGTCAGACAAAGCCAAAATCTTCCCTGAATACTGACGTCGAGGCAATAGGTCGTGCCACAGGATTCAGCGATCCTGCCAGGGTATATCTCCATCGGAATCCACGGCAACCATATGGATATGACCAAGTTCGCCGGTCCGACCGACCCTGGATTCTTAGCTGTTTGTGGAGAGATGAGACGGTGGATTAAAAACGCAAATACAGGTAACAAATATCACGCGAATCAACCACCGGCCAACTCAGCTCTGAAAAGGCACCCCGGCTCTGCCAGCCAGTACGGCAGTAACCATCGGCAGTACAATAGCTTCGGGGACACGCAGAAAACCGTGGGCGGTTCTTATTATGAGATCAGCGGGGATCAGCATATCGGTACCGACCCCTGGAAAGAGTCTATGGAGGCAAACGCGGCGTATATACTCATGCCTGAGCGAAGACTAACGTGAAGAGTAGTACAATATATTTCGGGGGCCGAGAAGATTGAGAAGTGTCCGTCCTGTCTACGCCAGGGGATTCCCAGTATCTAACATTGCTCTTAAGCCTATCGCAGGATCCCCTTCCCACGAAACGATGATATTGTCGACCGCACCGCTATCGTCGCGGAGCTCAACGTCCTTTTCCAGTCCTCTAAATTCCACAGCGCTGCCCTCTGGGGCCTCGGGGGATCAGGGTAGGTCTCGCTTGTTATGCTCTCACAGATAACCTAGCTAATTGAAGAAGGAAAACGCAGGTAGCACTAGAATTCGCCTGGCTTCAAAGCGAGGACGGCAACTGCTCCGTCTTTTGGGTCCACGCCGATACCCAGGCGACATTCGTACAGGACTACAAGGCTATCGCTGGGAAGCTGGGCCTGCCAGACGACCTCACGGGCGAAAAGCTACTCACGGCAGTGCGCGACCGTATCGAGAGCCTTCCACGGTGGCTGCTGGTTCTCGATAATGCCGATGACCTAACAGTCTTTGGTGTCCGCCCGAATGGATCGGTGGGGAATGGCCAAACCTATACACATACGTACCACATGGAGGGAACGGGAAGGTGCTATGGACGAGCCGCGACAATCGGATCGTTGGTACCCTCGTCAGCGCGCGACGTGGTATCCAGGTTGGTCGTATGAGTACTGATGAGGCGTTCTGTCTCCTTGCGAAGGTGAAGAATAGTGAAGACGAGATTAGCAATGGGGAGGAGAGCGATGCAAGGAAACTGGTCGAAGAACTCCAATGGCTACCGCTAGCTATCTCGCAGGCCAGTGCATATATGAGGCAAACATCAATGCCAATACAGCAATACCTATCTCGCCTATTAACAGGACAAGAGCGATGGCGAGTCCTCAGAGCTGAACAGTTCGATCGGCACCGGCGGCCTGGTGTTCCGAACAGTGTTTTAGAGACTTGGAGCATATCCGTCGAGCGCATCCGGCAAGAGAACGAAATGGCCTATAAGATCCTCCAGGTCATTGCGTACGTCAACAACAAAAACATTCCGATTGAGATTATGGCGGCAGTGGACACCCTGGGCAATGAGTGTCAGGAGCGGAGCTCATTTGAGACCCAAGACCAGGTGATGAAAGCTATTACGCGGCTAAGGGAATTCTCATTCCTTGGCGTACGTGAGGAAAAAGGGCTAGGACAGCAGTACGAGATACATAAGCTTGTGCAAGAGGCTACGCGGTACGGACTCCGTGTGAGGAGTACAGAAGATGCAGCATACTTCTCGGATGCAGCGCTACAGATTGTGACAAAGCTCTTTCCAAAGTCCGAGCGAGAGACGTGGCGAGAATGCGAGAAGTACGTTACCCATGCGGTAGAGGTGGGCAAGTGGGCGGAGGTTTGCGAGAGGGGTAAAGAGGTATCATACCTGTTGGCCCGAGTTTCGCTCTATTTCTACCATCGTGGTAGGTGGATGGATCAGCAGCTCGTCGATGAGAGGATATACGAACTGCGGCAGCAACAGCTCGGCGAGAAACACCCCGACAGTATCCGGAGTTTAGCAAACCTCGCGGCCACCTATAGCACACAGGGCCAGTATAGTGAGGCTGAACGGATAGCGCTGAAGGCCTTGGAACTACGGCGGCAGGTGCTCGGCAAGAAACATCCCGATACGATCTTGAGTTTAGCGAACCTGGCGGCCATCTACAGCATACAGGGCCGGTTTAGTGAGGCTGAGCCGATATACTTGAAGGCTTTAGAGCTGCGGTGGCAGGTGCTCGGCAAGAAACATCCCGACACGGTCCGGAGTTTAGCAAACATAGCCGCCACCTACAGCTCACAGGGCCGGTATAGTGAGGCTGAACCGATAGCGGCGAAGGCCTTTGAGCTACTGCAGCAGGTGCTCGGCGAGAAACATCCCGATACGATCTTGAGTTTAGCAAACCTGGCGGCCATCTACAGCATACAGGGCCGATTTAGTGAGGCTGAGCCGATAGACTTGAAGGCTTTGGAGCTGCGGCGGCAGGTGCTCGGCGAGAAACATCCCGACACGGTCCGGAGTTTAGCAAACATTGCGGCCACCTACCACTCACAGTGCCGGTATAGCGAGGCTGAGCCGATAGACGTGAAAGTTTTAGAGCTGCGGCGGCAGGTGCTCGGCGAGAAACATCCCGACACGATCCAGAGTTTAGTAGACCTCGCGGCCACTTACCGGAGACTGGGCCGGCATAGGGAGGCTGAGGCGTTAGAGGTCAAGGCCTCTGAGCTACAGGAGCAGCTGGTTGATAAGAACCCCGATACAATTTGGAGTACATTTGCCACAGACCGCGTGGCATGTGATGCTCAAACGCCCGGAATTTGATGAGTTGAGGATAGACATCATCGACGAGATGGATGGACGTGGAGATGCGTGTGGTATTTCATTCTGAAAACTGGACTCCTAGCGAGTTTCAGCCAGTGGAGTCGGTCACCCCGGGCATGGAGGAGAGGGATGAAAATGCGAGTGCCAGTGAGATGATACGCAAACAAAACAACCAAATCATCAAACAGAGCACAGAGAAGTTGGGCGACAGAGGGAACACCGCTCGGGGCAGGAACACCAAGTCTATTCCATCCCCTGTTACAACCCAGGTACTGTTACGACCCAGGTACTTAAAGAAAAAGGACGCAGTTCAAATACAGAAGATGGGGAGAGAAGAGAAGCAAGATCTGGATCAGCTCTAGAGAGAGACATATGCCGATGCAAACAACAACCTCCTGGCAGCAGACAAACCTTGGAACAATCCGATCTAAGCATGTGATCTGGCATGTGCTCACTAGATCGTGACCTCCTCAACATCAGTATTGAGCTACGAAGCGACCAGAACTTCATACTATATCAACAGCGAGGAGCATGAAGTTCCATGATACGTGTGAGACCTGCATCTGTTCAGTCCCGGTTTTGGAAGCGATGTTGGCGCAAATACGTGCTGGGACTTCGGCGATGCGATAAAACTGGAGGGTATGGGTAGGGCTCGAGAATACATAGGCGACGGTGGTAAAGGAAGGTGAATTGCAAACGTTGATGCAGCAACGCAGAGAGGCAGTGGCCAAGTGCTTGCGTTGCCCACCAAGCCGAGCATTGCGAGTAATCCGGAAATAGAGGCCTTGAAATTCTCCGGGTCTTTTAAGCATTGTGACTTCGGTCTGCCTACGGTCTGCACATGTAATAACTGTGGCAATCCAACTGCAATCGGTTTTCGCCAGAACCTGTTGCACTCACCACCTGCTATCCTCCTACCTAGTGCCAATCTGATTAACTTCAAACTTAGCAAACAACAGCTTTGTTTTCTATAAAAGCGACAAACAGGATATTACAGAGATACTTCTATCACAACGTGATGGAGCGAGTGGGTAAGGTACTCAGCCAATTTGACGTAATAAGTGTCCAAATGCCGCAAGCCAGGGGACAAAACTAACATTGTACCCAGTGTGGAAATATAATACAGGTACCCAAATACCTTTCGTTCTGAGTAAATGCAACAAATCCGCCGATGTCAATTTTGTATAGTCGTTGGGCCCGGGCTCTACTATAAGTTGCGCGGGTTGGCATTTGCCCCGGGCCAGGTGCCCGGGCCAGTGCATCCGTGCATCCGTGCTTATTAACCAGTATGTAGCCCTAAGTAGCCCTGGAAGGCCCGGAGAATGTCACTTAACTCCCTTCCACCTCTCCCTCGGAATTTGCTCAGTAAACTTCGAAATATTCCTGGATTTTAACCATGGACACTCCTATAGTAGCCGTAGTTACTGGCTCCGTAAGTCTCCCCTCTACTATCGCGGGCGGCTATTGACCATGATTACAGAACCGTGGCATCGGGCGTGCCATCTGTGCTGCGCTGGTCCAGCAGTGCTCCGGCCCCTTGGTTCTATATGCAGCCTCTCGCGCCGGGACTTTTTTTGATTTTACAGGCCTGACTATTCCCCCAGCCGTGAAAATTTACCCTGCTCGGTTGTCACTCATCGACCAGACCAATATCACCGCCCTCAGCACGATGGTCAGCAAAGAGCACCAGGGCTGCGACATTCTCATCAACAATGCTGGACTCTACTATTTCCAGGAGAACATCACTGCTGCACAGCGTCAGGAAACTCTTGATGTGAACTATCGCGGCACTCTCAATGTAGATCACCGAATCCTCTTCTCCTTTCCGTCAACTAACCACCTCTAGGTCTGTCAAGCCTTCTTACCAATTATGCGAAGGAACGGCCGCATCGTGAACGTCTCCTCTCAATCTGGCCAACTCAAATACTTTGATCTTAGGTTGCAGAAGCGATTCCTGGACCCTGATCTCACCCTCACCAAGCTAGATGCTCTGGTCAACGAGTACAGCGTACGTGACTTCGACTTTCATTGCTCTCTTTGTCACTAACCACCCCACTCTAGCGCTCAGCAGATCAGCACACTGCGACCGCATCCGGCTGGCCCCCCTTGGCCTACTTTACCAGCAAGGCTGCCCTGAACGCCGCAACGCGGATTTTGGCCCGCAAAAACCCTCATCTACTGATCAATTGCTGCTGTCCTGGGTGGGTAGGCACGTCCCTTGGTGCCCAGGCGGGCCAGCCGCCCAAGTCTATTGGTAAGTGCGGGGTTTTCTCCTGAGGCCCGGAAGTATCGCTTACTCTTTCCTTAGACGAGGGGGCGAGGATCCCAGTGCGACTGGCGATTGGTGATATCGGGAATATTAGTGGGCGGTACTGGGCGAATGATTCGGTGGCTAGTACGGGCCATGGGAAGGTTCAGAATTTCTAGTATTCTCTCGTTCCCAGCAAGGCTACGCGTGGGCGATTTCAGTAAATGGGGTGGGTGCAATTATGAGCTTCAACGGTGGTTTTCTAATAAATGGGATTTGCGACAACCTTTTGGTTTCTTGGAAAGTCTTATAGAAACTATTAATTTTTTATCCTTCTAATTCTCCTTCCAAGACAGTGGACCGATTTTTTCCGATCGCAAAATTATAGATTAATCACCCTAGAAACCCTGGTGCAGCATAGTACGAGAAACAACGCATCGTACCACAAAGAAGAGAAAAAAGCCTTCCCCGAAAGAGACCCGGGGAAATGCAGATATCTCACGCACCACCCGCAGCGGCCGAGACGTTGCATTTTTTATGCTGTAAACACCAGTCAGTAAAAGGACCTGAATTCCAGCAATGGCCTCCACTTACCGACATAAAGACCGAGCATACCAAGCTTGCAGCAGCGGCGACATACACGCAGATAAAACTTTCCCCGAAAAGTCAGTATATATCATCCACTAGAAAATTACACAACACTTACATGTTGTGCCATGCGGACACGATGATGACAAGCGCCTGATCACGCAGCTTCTCAGACAGCGAGGAGAGCAGCTGGCCACTCGTTCCGGAGACAATCTGCCTGACTTGTGATTGCGGATACTCCGGGAGCAGGGCGAACAGGTCGTTCGATGCTAGGTTGACGAATATGGCGCCACTGATAGACAAGCCTAGCGTCATGCCGCTTAGTTGGGCTGCGGAGCCTGCGTTAGCTGGGCATACTGCAGAGAATTAAAGGAACAAACCGAGTAACATAAGAGTCAGCCCATTGGGTGCCTCGGCCGGGACCACGACAGCCTGGATGACGCCAAAGGCGGCCTGGGTGTAGGCGCCAGCTCCAAGCCCCAGCACAATCTCAAGTCCATAGATCACACCTGATGGGGTGTCGACATGAACAATGGTAGCTGTTAGTCGGCGGTATTAGCACTTGATCACTGGGAAAGCGCACTCCACGACTTACACATCAAAACAGCCGGGATCAGGGCAATTATACTGCCGCCCACGTACCACGGCTTGTAGTAGCCGACATGAGACATCATGACACCGCTAAGGGGAATGGTGGTAATTAGCAGGAAGATGAACGGGAGTAGACGGACGGCAGATTGGATCGCGTTGTCTCCTTGTGTGAACTGGAAATAAATAGGGACGTAGTAGACACTGACATAGGAAACAGCGCCTACCGCCGCACAAGAGATAAAAAGTAAGACTGGCTCCTTCTGGGCGAAGAGGTGGATTGGCAAAATGCGTCTATCGGTCGAGGTGGCAATGTTGAAACCCTGTTGGAGGCCGAAAATAATCCACAGAACGCCGGAAACAACGAACAGCGCGATCGTCTGCCCGCTGTTCCATGAGTAAAGAGTTCCACCGAAGTTGATGCCCATTACCAGAGTTGTAAATGCTCCAACACTGAGTACTGTGCCCGCCCAGTCGAAGGTGGCCAGTTTCTGCCATCGCGAGGTTCCAGGTAGGGGGTCGTTAGATGGGAGGACGAATAGATAGGTTGGCAGCAAGATGGCGCCGAACAGCAGGTTGATGTAGAATGCCCAGCGCCAAGTATACAGCTCAAACGCGCCGCCGACAACAGGACCCAGAACCGTCCCGAGACCCCAGACCAAGCCACTAGCAATGAACTGTCAGTGGACGATTCGTCGACTTTCGGAAAAAGTAGGCTCACCTCAAGCTTAGCCATTTTGGGCGTTCTTGGCTGGAGGTGTTCATGGAAATTAGAGCAAGCAGGCCAAAATACATTCCATTACCGCCTGCTCCAGCAAAGACTCGCCCGATGATCTCGGCGTCCATCGTGTGCGCCCCGCCACAAAGTGCAGAGGCTGCCATGAACACGATGGTGGATACAATGAACACCCACTTGGCATCAAAAAGTGTGTATATTTTACCAAATGGCAGGATCATTGCCATTCCCCCGATCATAAACCTATACAGTGGAGTTTGTCAGCCCGCGGCATCTCTCCAATGCTCACTCCTCCCATCCACGTACCCGACCGACAGCCATGGCAAATCTTCGACCGCGTTGAAATCGTTGACAATTTTCTATTGAGGCAAGACGGAAAATATTGGTAAGTATGCACCTCTCTCGTGACAGTTGAAATGGAGAGGTGGGGGGCGTACCGGAGCGATGTTGGCAACAATTGTATTGTCGAGCGAGTAGACGAAGATGGCCGTCAGGGTACTGAACAGAAATAAAAACCACTAACACAGTCATCGATCTCATTAGCCCGACCTTGGGAAGCAACCTTGGAGCCAAACTTACCTTGAAGCCGGTGATTTGCCGCTTTTCCTGTGAATCCAGCGACGAATCACCCTGGGTGAGCTTTTCTGCATCCTGAAGTGACTCAGGCCGAGAGGAGGTAGATGCTTTAGCCATCAGAATGAATTGAAGTGAGTAAATCCGTAGGAACAAACATTAATGCGATACAACCGTAAACGCTAGGTATATAACTCCGTATATGAAATCCCCGGAACATTTCAGGGGATGAATTTGTCACCCCGGGCCAATTTCTTTCCGCAATGAAGGATACATTATAGCACCTCGGCACCGTTTATCAGGCCAAGATCCAGCATTCCATCAAAAGTTGCCGACTGTACGTCGTTCCGCTTCGTGATTCGTCAATTCCCTCGTCCCTTGCCGAGGCGGAGACTTTTATAGATCTCCGGCAGATCTACACTCCGGGGACGACCCGCAGTGGAGAAACCTTGAAAAGTCTCCGCCTTTATGACTAAGAGCTCCAATTCCCGAGGCCTGAGTCTACATACTATTCAAAGCTCATAGAACTTCTTTGTCTCCACTGGTGAGCAGCAGTTTACGGCAGTGTATAGTCGCCAGTGCACCATATCGTAGTTTCCATATTAAATTTTGACCGCTTTGTACACCGCCAATTTACCATTACCTTACCATACGAATTCTACCTAGGTGCCTACCTAGGTAGGTAGGTATGGATATTAGCGGTGATTACTAAGTTTCTGTATGGCAGAAACCCTATTGTTAAATTTGGTCCATTCCGGCTGCTGTGGATTCGACTCTTCTCCCACTCGCACCTGCTGTGGACTCAACCTTTCCCTCCCTTCGCACCTGCTCCATTTCTTCCATCTCGGATCATATTGACTACCCATAATGGATGAAACTCAAGGCCCAAACGGCAGAGCACCCCAGAGTATGCACCTTGCCTCTTCGTCGTTTCTTTAACATATCCTTTCCTTCACGCTTCAACCGACTTTCCTCCTCAAGTACCGCAAGAATGACCTCTCTAAAAACTGATGGCTCTACAGGCTCGAATATCTCTCTTCCTGCGTCCGTTTCTCGTACCGTCCCTTCCTCATCCTCTCTCATGAGCAAACTTCCGGATGGATACGTTATCCACCATTTTTCCCGCCTTAAGTTGCTCCGTACCTGTGCCAAATTTCTTGTCGAGTCCCTTCAGGCATCAAAGTCAGAAAACCAGTGGCTTGTCATTCTCGGCTTGTCTAAATCAGCAATACAAAAGCTCGATGAAGACCACAGTTGCTTGGAGGGAATCGAGTACCGGTTTGCATGGGAAGGGAGTGCTGGGCTACTTAAGATAGTCCCTTCCTTCGAGCACGACTCGGTCACAGATGGGTTTACTAGGGTACTGGATCTTGCTCTTATCGCAATGGGACTTGTGTCAACAACTAGCAGGAAGTGGGTGGCTACCACGACGTATAAGCCAACGGCGAACAAAGGGAAGCAAGCTGATCAGGGATTTCTTCCGCCATCTCGCCGCCCATCTGCCCCCGGGCTCCCTCCCGGCTGGCCAACCCTCACCATTGAGACGGGGCTATCTGAATCGTTATCTCAGCTTAGGCAAGATGCTATATGGTGGCTGTCTAACTCTTCCGGCGAGGTTCGAATCGTCTTGGTCATCTCTATTTCGAAACGAAAAGATAGAGTCTTTATCGAAGTATGGCAACTGGCGCCACCGAACAGCCCGCGACCCCTCACAAGAGCATACATTCAAACCCTGTGCCAACAAAGTCCGAACGTCCCCCCACTAGTCCAACAGCCAGCAGTGTCGCAGCAAGCATACTGTGCACACGAGGTCGAGATTTCCGCTAATGGCGTGACTGGTGCCCCGCTTACACTACCATTTGTTGCAGTGTATGATAGACCACCGGCACAAGGAGAGGGAGACATTGTCCTAACAGGGCAGGATTTCCTGGATATTACTAGTGATCTGTTTTGATTGCCGGGCCACCCTGCTTCCCAATTTTCACGAACGGAATAAGAAAGACCGAAATCCCAGTCGTCACCGCGGCGAAGCGGAAGGTGAAGAGATAAGGAACTAGATCGGTGGTTGTGGCGTTCGCTTTTTCCTTGAAAGAAATGTATATTGCAGTTGAAATCCCCAGTGATAGATTCCCACATAGCCTGGTAATAGTATTGAATATCCCACCCGCAAGCGACTGCTGCTCCGGCAGCGAGTTCATAACGTACATCTGTGTAGCTGTTAACATCTCCAGATCTCATTTAATTAAAAGGCTACAGCCGCGTGGAGTAGCCACAATGCGCTGCAGACCGGTACAAACTCACATTTGTTACGTTGTACTGTATATCCATCCCAATGACCATCAATATCAGGCTTGGGAAGATGTACGCCCAGTACGGCGCCTCTTCTCTGAGAAAGCTCAGAATGAGGAAGGCTACCGTGTATGTCACAGTGCCGATTCCCATTAGAATCCGATTGCTTACTTTGTGGAGAACAAAAGCACAGACAACATTGACTGCTATGCCGCCAATGACCATGGGTAGCAGCTCAAGGGCGATCTTTATGGCGGAGTCTTTGCGGACATTCTGGAGCAATAGGGAGAGCCAAAATGTAGCGGCGGAGAACCCCATCTCCCCTAAGCATTGGACAGTGACCACCTGTGCGTAATGTGTTATGTCAGCAAATTGAGTTGACACTATTTCCCCCAGGACCAGCAATGGTGTACGCACCGCGGAAAATGTTCGGTCCTGCCATATACCGAGCGGCATTATCGGGAATTGCGCTCTTGACTCCCACCATACGAAACAAACAAGCAGCGCAGACCCAACACAAAGCAGTGCAATTACATATCCCGTACTCCAGCCATGTGGAGCACCAGCTGCCAGGCTTCAAATAGTCAGCAGCAGTACTCCGCGTGGAGTGAAACTAGTTATACTCACGACAAAGAAGCAGTCAGTGACGCAAAACCCACAATGATCAATACCGTCCCCGTGACATCGAACCGTCTCAGGGACTCGATAGACAGGGGCACATTATTACCCTCGTCCGGTGGGAAGGCCCAGGCGCCCACTATAGTGAATATAGCATAGAGAACTGCAAGGGCGCGGAACGACGTCTGCCACGTGGAAATATCTGCCGCGATGCCAGATATAACCATACCACCTACGTACCCAAGTGGATTTCCGGCACTGAAGCATGCAAAGGCGCGGTTTTTGCGGACAGAAGAACTCTCATACACAGCGCCAAGTTTGCCGATTGCAGGTGGAACCACGCTGGCGGAGAATAGCCCGATGACACCCGAGAAGACATTTAGGTAGATCGGGGAGGAGGCGAAACTGGCAGCTAAGACCGCAAAGGTGAATCCCACCATGCCAAAAAGGAACAGCTTTTTGCGGCCGCAATTGTCGGCGATTCGGCCGAACATGAGGAGGAAGGCGCCACTTGTGAGACTAGGCCATGAGCAAATATCAGTTCTGCTCCACCCTAGTAGGATAGCCTAGGTATTACTGACGAGCAGCCGGCACTTATCCAGGTGATTTCTGCAATGCTCATGTCCAGATCATGGCCAATAACGGCGGTCAGACCGACAGTGAGTCCCGTGAAAAAGGATTCCTGTGCAAATGCTATTGTTGTTGCTATCACGAATAGAAACTCTTGGGTGGTTGACTTTAGGCAAATTGGTCTGCTCCCTCTTTCGGGGTCGCCAGCAGAGGGCAGCTCGTCAAGATCATGTTGGTCTTTCTGTCTCATCATGTTGAATATATTGAGTAGGCTCATAGGCCAAACACGGTGATGCTTGCTCTTACCGAATGGGAACCCAGGAGGTTCGGCGGTGATAGAAATAGTAAAACCTTGCTGTTTCAACGGACTACGCGGATGAAAGAAGGCAAAAATGGATGCTCAAGTTGTCGCACGTAGTTTCGAATGACCTTGGCAATACAACTGTGACAGCTGTTTATATGTCGTACAGGTTTTTAACCCACAAGCAAGTCTGGAGGATATCGTGAAACTAGAGTGATCATGCGATGTGGGAACGCAGGAGACTTTCAATCGCACTCAGCAAGAGAAATAGTGAAAAGGACGGACACTCAAAAAGGTCCGGTGACAAAATGTCGATCGATCATGGACGAAAGTGTAGTTTGGGTGAATATTGACGGATAACAGCATTCTTGGCTAATTCATCAAGAATGGGGCTGAATAGGGGCATAATAAAGGCAAGGGGGTTGGGCAACGCAAGAAAAAACAGTTCTAGACCATAGTACTAGTGTTAGCGGTGAAGGCCAACTCATGGGAAGTGAAAAGGTCAACCTCCTATAAATTAAATTAAAACATTCCAATTTGGTCCAGGCATAGTATTGAGATATTGAGATATTGAGATATATCCTGTCCGGCGTCGGTCCGTCGAACCAAATTCTCCTCCGCAGCTGCCGAGATAAATACTCGACTCGTAGTACACAGCTAGTTACTAACCAGATTCCAGCTATTTAGCCGTATGCCCTATTTTTCTACAATACACACACTCTTGATCCATTGGTCTACGCTTTACGGAGTACTAGGCGTTACACTTCCCACTGCGTTCGACAACAGCCTTAGAAACCTGCATTGATAGATCTCATATTATCAAGCACAACCTTCCCCTGAAACCCCTGGATTGATTCCTTGTTTATTGCAGGTGTGTGCCTCATGTCCTCAAAATTCTGTCAATCAACCCTGCCATCGTACATAAAGTAGGACTCGCCTGTAGCTCGTGGAGGAAAACATGGGCACCAAAAACAAGCTTGATCTGCTGTAGGAGATATGCTCCCTGAAACTCACTGCGAATAAACGCAAAAAAATTATCTTCACTGGTAAACTCCATGGCTGGCATGGCTAGCACGCCAGCCCATATAGAAGCAAGCTTCTGCTCTGTTGTGTGAGCAGTATCATTGTCATTCCGCTGCATGTAGGAATCCCACGTTGCAATATATCTTCGAGAAAGAGCTTGACGATCGACTTTGAAGTGAACATTGAGGGGGAAGCGATCGATGACCTCGATGTGCGGCATAGCCTCCATGTATGGAAGATATGGTGCCAGGGCGCTCTCAATTCCATCCAAAATTTTATCCTTCGCGATATCCTCGGCAGGGATTACATACGCAACGAGTAGTTTACCCATTTCTTTGATCGGAGAGTCGATTGCCAGTGTCACAGCGTCCGCAAATCGACCGGTCCTCATGAGTGCCGCTTTCACCCCAGCTAGTTCAATGCGCATGGTAAAAACGGTAACCTGATGGTCCCGTCGGCCAAGATAGTAAACCTGTCCAGACGAAGAGTCGCGTCGAACGAAGTCTCCCGTCCGATAGAAACGAGTTGTTTCATCCAATCCTGGGAGATCTTTGATGTTGATGAATGAAGTCTTGTTCTTCTCTTCGTCGTTTATATATCCCAGTGATACTCCAGGCCCACCTATGAAAAGCTCTCCGACCTCTCCGTCGGCGACAGGCTGCAATGCGTCGTCGAGAATATAGGCAATAGTATCTCCGGTCGGTTTTCCAATGCTCATGGGCTCAGAATGGGTGTCGTTTATGGAAAGCTCGTGTGTAAGAGACCAGCAACATGTTTCAGTAGGGCCGTAGGCATTGATTAATCGAGTGGGGGCCGCGCCGCTTTCGAGCAGTCTGGCAACAGCCTTGGGACTAGCCGCATCGCCACCGAAAAGGACCATCCTCAACGTCGAAAAAGCCCCTGGCGTAGTGAAAGAGACGAGATTGAGTAAGGCAGTCACAATGATCATGACGGTGACCCCCTGCTTTCGGAGCGTTGCTTCCAGAGTACGCCCGTCAAAGGCATCAGCGTAGGGCAGAATAGCAATCTGCGCCCCCACAATCAGCGGCGCCCAGATTTCCACGAGTGTGTAGTCGAATGTCGTGGGGATATAGTGTGCCATGATATCAGAGGGCTTGAGTGGGCTGGTGGGGATGTGATGGATAATGTGGAACAGGGAGAGCGCTGATATTTGAACCCCTTTCGGTTCTCCTGTTGTGCCTGAAGTGAACAGGATGTGGGTTCGGTGGTCAAGGGCTGTAGTGACTGGGATTTGTTCTTCAAGCCCATCCATTTGCACTGAGGACAGGAGCGTACCCCGGTCACTTACCGGGATACATGTGAACATAGGCAGGCGCAACTTGTTTGGCTCGTCCACGATCAGATACTTCACCCCGACACCAGCCAGCTTGCACTGTATCTTCTCGTCGCTCTCATCTGGATAGACGGGAACTAGCGTCCCACCAGCATACATCACTGCTAACTGAATGATAACGTTCCATGATCCGGGGCTGACCAAGACTCCCGTTGGCTCTTCTAGGGCGTATGCGTTGCTGCGTAATTGGGAGGCCAGGGATAATGCGCTAATATGTAACTCTTCGTAGGTGATCACTGAGTCGATATCGGTAATAGCAGGAGACTTCGGTTGTCGACAGACATTATCAATGAATAGCTGCGCGATACTGGTGTTGGCCTTAACCCGTTGGTGGTAAACGCAGTGGGGAGAGACCTTGGTCACAACACTCATTTTCCAGATCTTTGGTTGAGATAGTTGTGTTCGCCTTGCTATCTGGTCCGATTCTATACACTATCAAGGCTAGATGAAAGCGTTATGGCCTGCCATTTTGCTCGCACTATACGTCACTTAAACCTTCTATACAGCTGCAATGATGCCCAAGGCTTACACAAAAGTTAAAAAATTATCACAGTTAGCCAAAATCGCGATAAAATTGTTTGTGTCAATATATTGCACACCGCTATTTCTCCTATGTGCTATTTGATGCAGGTCTTGCAGGATACATTCTATGGCCTACTCTAACATACCGTTGTCTTCCAATCCGGGCAGAAGTTCATGCAGAACGCTGACTTTAAATCAAGCCAAGATGCCTATCAAAACTCTATTTGTTGCTCCATTACAGGTGCTCTCGAATACTAGGGATAGATGTAAGGGTTGCACAGTAGGTGACCAAAACCGTAGTTCAAGCCACAAAGCAAGAGCTCGGTTTGTAAGACAAACATCTAATTCAATGATACAATTCACGCCAAGGACATTGATAGTAATGTGGGCAAGTAGCAACTTTTACAAATAAATAGGCCGTCTTTCTTTACAGCAAGTCGCTTTGCTGATGTGGTTAAAGAGGCTAAATCTGAACTTTGGTGGATAATAGAACTCAAATATAGACAGATAGGGTCGACAACTATTAATTTCTGTAGGAATATGTCTACCCAACATCTTGTCCCAGCTTTACGACTGTGTCGCTTATTACTGCCAGTTTTGTTTTTCGACTTGCGCTGCAGATAAGAAACCGGTATAATCATTCTGTATCCGATTTACACAATAAGCAGTATGATCAGCGCGTATGCAGGACTGTCATTTATATTTTGAGCACAGAAAATTGGTGAAAAAAGCCTCTAATTTACCCACATCTTCTAGATCTCCAACGAAAGCGACATGTTGGTCGGGCGTAGGAGTATCATGCAGCCCTCTGGGCCGATGCCATACCGCCGATGAGCATTACCAGACAGTTTGTAGCCTTGACTGTCCACAAAGACCTTTGTGTAGTCGTATCCAGTAACTGGGTTAAATGGTCTGAAGATGGCTGGGGTCTCTATCCACTCAACAGATTCTGATGCGTTGTGGACAAGGTAAACCCCGACAGTCCCAGCCAAACTCTCCTGAGCCCCTCGATTCAGGCGGTTAATTAATGACGATGGTTGGGAGAGTTTCGTGGAAAGTTGCTCCACACGAGCCATCTGGCCTTCGTTAGCAATATCGCCCCCAAAGACGACCAGATGCCATTGGCCTGTACTGAGGAGTTGCTCCTGTAGGTGCCAAGGGCGAGAATCACTTTGATTTAGCACAAGTTCACTGGGTATTCTGCGGCCAAGGATAATGTGTTGAGCAAGATAGGGTTTGCTATGAGGGGAGATATCTTGGTTTTCAAGGCAGAGTGTTCGATGAGCTGCATGGGTCCCTGCAGCGGCTACTAGGAGGCCGGGCGCATAAGTTACCCCTAGTCCAGATGCTGATGAGTTCTCTTCGGCAAGTGTTGATATCAGGTCTTTGAATTTTCCCTCCGATATATCCAGCGTGGTGATCTCAGGGATTGAGCATAGGCCCTGACACATTCGCCGATCAAAGGAAATCAATCGCTCTGCCACGGGGAGACGCTCTTCCTGGTATGTCTGTAGGACACGTGGGATTGCTCTGCCTTTCAAAACAAGAGCCAACTTCCACCCAAGATTGTACGAATCCTGAATGCTGACATTCATTCCTTGGCCGGCCTTTGGAGAATGCGTATGGAGGGAGTCGCCTGCAAGAAAGATTCTATCATGCATTGAGAAAGTACGACAAATTCCTCTTCCAACCTGAATTGGGAGTGTGAGCCCCTGAACGCATAATGACGCCGGGTGAAAGGGGAATCTGAGGACTAACATGGTAAATAGTGGACCATTCAATAAGGGACGAGGCGAAGGTATATGGGTGGAGGATCCCTCTCAGAAGGCCAACCAGCAGCGACGGGTTATGGTTTTCCTTCAACTTCGTAGCAACGGCAGCGGATAGCTGAATGTAAAAGCGAACGATCTTTCGCTCCCGAGGTATTATCATGATATTCCCTCCAAGGGATTTGATAATGCATCTCTTCCGGACATCGGCTGTGTATCGATTAGCAGGCTACTACCCAAGCAGTAGATATGAAGACAAACGAAAGTCCGTGATGGGTAAGCAGTCGATGACTCCCCAGTAGTCCTCATCTGACACCGTATCTCTTTCAAGCGCCAATCCTAGGCTTTTTCGAACCCAGCTATGAGCACCGTCGCAGCCTATCAAGTATTTTGCTCGGACCTGTGTTGAGATCGCCGACTCCTTCATTAATCAGAAACAGGCGCGTGAAAATCAGTATGTCAGTCTCGAGTCCCGTACCTCTACATCCGGCCTAGTATCTGTTTGGAGATGAACTTGGACAGGGTAAGCGCTCATATCGTCCGGCTTAACCGAGTCAACGTTCAAGGAGATTGGAGTCATGCCCCACTTGAGGTCGATGTTTCTATGACTTTGTAAAAACCCCAAAAACTGCTGTTCTACCTTCCCTTGTCCCAACGTAGCCTCTTGATATCTAGACAATCCCTGATTGTGATTGGTCGCGACGTTTATCCTGCGAATTTGGCCATCGAATTGGTCCTATGATTTGCTTGTCAGCGACAAGGCCTTGAAACGCCCTAGTGTATGCCTTACCCATATACAAACCTCAATGGTCCTATTGGCTTCCGCCCAAACAGCACCAATTCCAAAACTGTCCAATATTTCGAATGTCCTACTTTCCAGCCCGTCGGCATGCCCTACTTTGGTGTGCGAAAGCTTCTTCTCAACAACCAAGGTTTTGATTCCTGTCTGAGCCATCCAAGTGGCGGCCATCAGCCTGTCCGTACGTCAGTTAGAGCTTTATTGAACAGAATTTTATGCTTAGATAGTCACCCAGATGGGCCAGCTCCAACGATGATAACATCAAACGTCTCCGGGGAAGCCATAATAAAAGTTTGTAAGGGAGACAAGAGGTGTCCCTTTGCTGCCAGATTGATGCGGGCCTTTATAGTATTCCTTGGGGGAAACCTCTCGTCAAATTAGTAGAAATGGTTAGGCAATGTTATAAAAATACTGCATGGGTCTGCAAAGCGTCAGTTTATAGTAAGGGCCCTGGGATCACTACTAAACTTTCACAGTACATATAACTCCTGCGGCAAGAATTACCTTTAACTTCTGGTCTGTGAACGGACGTTCCAGATGAAATCAAGTCCCTTTGCAATTGGGTTAGACATGGCGATGTGCAGATGCCAAGAGACCTAGAATCCAGATGGAAGCCCAACTGAGGAAGTCAGTAGCGCGACGAGGGACTGATTTACATATGCATTGATTTACTCCGTAATCTGTGATGCTCGAACTAGTCCCGTGGGCGCTTCCTTGACTCACCGACTAGTTTCTCTCCAAATGGAAGGATAGATTTCTTGAATTCCAAGTCAGAGGTACTACTACTTTGAGAAGGCAATAAGCTTCTAATAAATAGTTTTCTATTATTTGATATTATCCATCTACATCTGGGCAATTACATTTACCTGCAGTCCAAATGTACTATCCTGCCCTGTATTCCTGGTCAGGGATGAGGATTTCGCTATATTCCGTATAGGAGGACGGTAGCCATGGGCTTTGTATTCCTCGCTCATTTAGCCAAGGAAGTTTTTGCGCTAGTGCGCGACAAACAAGGCCGTCAGGGTTTTGACAGATGCCGTCGAAAGATGGAAGGTATAGTGATCTACCGTGGCATGCGTCTGTTGAAGCAGTACATCCGTCACTGTCCCCAATGTTCACGCAATAACACGAGGAAACACCGACCATATGATTTGCTACAGCCTATCATCGGACCACCTATACCCTTCCATACCTTCCATACCGTCTGCATAGACTTCGCGGTTGCCTGCCGACTTCGAAGGCAGGTTATAATGCCATTGCCTCTATCACCTGCAAATTCACGAAGAGTAGGGCGTTAAACATAGACCGCCAGAAACCTCGGACGAATTTCGGATCCCTATCAGAGATCCATAGTGGGCAATCCCCCGTCGGCGGACTTTATATGGGCGAGGATGGCCACGGCCCAGTCTTTACTCGTCCATGTTGCTTTGCCAGGGATAGCGCCAATACGTTTCGTGAATTTGCATCCGCTCATGAACTCCTTCCCCCCCTTCTGCCTGTCTTGCAACGCATCATAAGCAGGCTCACGAACAAGGAGCCCATTTACCAGCAACACAGAAAGCATCGAGATATGCAAGTGAACCATCAGGCTTGTCCGTCCCGCACACTTTGCACCACGCCTTTCGCGTCAAAATTGAATCCATAATGGTAGAAAAGTCCAGCTATCCTCGCAGCACGGACCAAATACAAGTCAGCGTTAGAGAAATTATGAGCCTCCTCTCGAAATGTTTGCCAGAAGAGGCTCTCGAGTTCGCGGTAGCAATCATAGTAGTGCCACCCTTCTGAATCCATCCGGCCTAGGAGATTCTCAATCCCATATAGCGCAAAGCCGAATGGTAGGATCCTTGATTCGGCCCAGTCGACAATCCTGTGATATTTCCGGTTTGGGGATTGATAAGGAGATTCATCGTGTTAAGGTCACCGTGGCTAAGAACGAAAGGGAGGGCTTTTGAGAAGAGAGACGGGAGCTCCTTACGGATCCTTTCTAGGTTTGGTGTAAAACGAGATGGTAGGTCGCGAGCAAGAAGGTCAAAGTTTGATCGAAACTCTTTAAGCAAGGTCATGGTTGCATCTGAGGATAGCTGTAGATCGCTGTTCCATGACTGTGCGAAGAATCTGTTCTAAAATGTTAGTTGTCACAAATGAAGCAAAGGATTTGCTAGGCGTACCTTGCAAAGTCCTTGATAGTGTTACACTGTCTGGACATGTCGTCTGGAGGAATGCGCGCCATTATATGAGCAGCCCAGGAAGACAGTCCATCTCGTAGATATGGACTGGCCGCGAATCACCCAAGGTACCGAGATACTTGCAGCTAGCCACAAAGTCGGGATGGATAGCTTTGGCAAGGATAATGTTGTCCATGTCAATGGTATAGTTTTCATCTCGGAACTGGAAGAGCTTGGACTTGTTAGGCCCCGCTATCACGGTATAGCTGCACACTCCTTGCATCTGTAAAGCAGTGGACACACCACCAGCGCGAGAAATAGCGAATGCATCGCATTGCTGTCTTGTGACAGTAGTGCTCGAATTGAAGAATTCATCAATTGCGCTGTCAAGACTGTAAAGAACATAAGTCGTCATTGTGGTAAAGAAGTAGGACGAGGGAGGAACTGGGAGACAATGTAAAGAGAAGTGAGAACTAAGTTGATTGCTACAGCCTCGTATAAGACTCACCGCCATTTAATACTGTTATCCTACCCCCTGTTGTTGCACTACTAGACAAAGAAAGGTGGAATTACTCAATCGTCTATCAAACTGATCCCGGGTAGAGGATAATTGTAACGCTGGCATTACGTACCTCGACGTAATTATCCACTTGCGAAATTGAACTAAAGCGGTGTTATTCAGTAGTTTGACGCGTCCGGCCTGTGGTTAAATAGGTCTATTGATTTCGTGAAACGAGAAAAAGTGGGATGGATATTAAAGCTGTCATGATACAAGTATGTCGAGACATGTTGATAATAATGGAACGCTTTCTCCGCTGGGAAATCAAGACGCCAATGCAAATGATACAATATAAACAAACAACACCTGAAGATATATCGCGAGATGACACAAATACAAGCCCAACTCTACAAACTAAAGATCCCACTCCTCTTCTTCCCATGCGGGTAAACAATCAGAGCGGAGATAAACAGCCCAACCGAAATACCAATCGCTGTCTGGATCATACCATATCCCAGCGAGGTAAGCGAGCTATTAGAAGTCGCATTGGTACTAGAGACATTACCCGACGCCACAGCCTCAGCATACTCCAAGCCTGAAATGATAGACCCACTAGACGCAAGACCAGACGGAACGAGTGTAAAGATACCAGGGATAATAGCCGCAGCGGCATGGCCATGCCACAACCGACTATACAAATTAGCCAGAAGGCCGATGGTGAACGCGCCCACAGTATTAGCAACCTGATTCGAGCCGAGCTTCTTCGTGCTAAAGTAGTTCGTGACGTAGCCACAAACACCCATGAAGATAGTCACCGGCAACTGTTTCGGCTTGGACTGATTAATCAGCGCAGCGAAGAGACAGAACAGCGCGACGAAGGGGAAATGCTGGATATATTCATTTCCCCAGACCTCCGGCAGATTTGAACACGTCGATTCCCTCGTAGCATTACGGTCCATCAGTCCGTAGACCGTCGTACCGACGGTAACGCCGTAACCAAGGAAGAGCGAGTAGATAATCGTGAAGACAAGCCTGATCGAGCCGGCGTTCATCTGGTGCGACTGCAGCTCGAGACTACTGCTTAGCACGGCGAAGCCTGGTAGGATCATTGCGATGGAGGACTGCGCCATGGCCGAGAAGCAGAAGACGCGCTCGCCGTTGTGCTGGATGCTGCCGAACGCGCGCGCGATGAAGGAGGTGATGACGGCGGCGGTGACTTCCAGTACGTTTGAGTATGTTGCGGAGTTTGGCGCGACGACGTGCTGCATGAAGCCAACTAGACAGCCGAGGATGAAGATTATAGGGAGGTCGATGGGACGGGCGCTGAAGGCGTATGGGCCGACGGCGACGCTGGCGCAGCCGGTTAGGAAGATAAGGAGCCAGCGGTTGTAGCGGGGCTTGCGCTGCATGATCTCGTCTAGGTCGTGGGTTGCTTGTTCGACGCCGATGAGGTCGTGGACGACGTTTTTGTAGATGTTGTGTGTCTCTGCGAGACGGGAGAGATCCAGTCCCTGGACTACGCGGATAATCTTGACCTCGGCGGTGCGGGTTAGCGGGTCGTCGAAGGACATGAACATGCATCCCGGGATGTACATGAATTGGGCTTTGATGTCCAGGACGTTGGAGGTCATCATCATGTACTCTTCGAGGCGGTGGGTTGGGGCGCCGTATTTCATTAGAGCGCGGCACAGCTGCATGATGTACTGTTGACGCGCGAGGATGGCGGCAATGTGGACGGTGAGCTTGATGTTTTTCTTGCTCTTGCGCTTTTGCTTCTTTCGCTCTTTTGGATTTGCGGGTGGGGGACCCGTGGCTCCGGGGACCCCGATCCGGCCCAGATCCATGGATGCATTGATTAAGGAGGAAGTATAGCTGTGGGTTGGTTTGCTGGGGTGGTTGCCATTGTTGTACCATTTCAACTTCTCTTTCTTTCCACCCGGTGTCACTGTGCCGGATGCTGGAACGCTTTCTGTGTCCGGGTCTGTTTCTGAAGCCGTGGAGACGACACTCATCCGGCTCGCAGCTTGGAGGTTGTTGGCATATACACGGAGCAGTTGTGACAGAAGTCCTCCGGGTGGACCACCGGGTGTTGCCGTCCCATCTGGGGTTCCTGGGGTTGTCGAACCGGAACGTGGTTCTTCGATACGTGGACGCCGTGGCTCGCCCTGTGACCCCATTCGTTCCACCAAGAGCCGAGCTTGTGAATCATAGTCTGTTCCTGGGAGCCGGGCTTCTTCGTCGACTGCCCGGCGAGCCTCGAATCCTCGGATATCGTCTGTTGCTCCATAGTACTCTGGTAACATCGGCGCATCCAAGCCGTCGGCATCTCTTTCGTGGGGTCGTCCAAGCTTCTCGGCTATTGTGCCAGCGCGATTCCGAATCCGCCGGCTTGCTGTCCGCCATCTTTGGGAAGTAGAGATGCTAGGGTTCCGGCTGTCCTCGTCTGGATGGATGGTCTCTGTGTTGGTATCGAGATTGTGCTCCTTGTCTTCGGCTCGGTCCCCCTCGGCTATCTCCGCAGAAGGAGGGATCGACGGAAACATTTCCTGCGCGTCCGACATGGCGCGACACGGCAAAGTTGGATCCCTCGAGGAGTTGGCAAAAGTGTGTAACTTATGTCCTTTCTAGATGGGAATATTAGAGGAATCTTCTGTCGGCAAAGCTAATGCGGCAATGGTCTAGTGCCAGCCCCACAAACGGTCGCACTTTAGAAAGAAGAAAGAAAGTGAAATGAGGGGTGGGTTTCTTTTTTGTCCGAAATGAGGAGAACCTGGTTCAAGGCCCCACGTAATGCAATTGAAGTTCTGGCCATACGCGTTCAATTGGAATATCATCTGTTCCTGGCCTGACCCAATTGGGGAACAGAACATATCCGGAGATCCATATGGATATCTGATAGGCTGATCTTATTTCTGACACTTGGATGACATCTGACATCAGATATTTGACATAAAAACAAGCTTCTTAGCTACTAAGCTGCACTAATTTTGTTGATTTCTATACATTGTTCTTATATTAACATACCTAGATACATATCACACATACATAGCCGTGCTAACGATCTGAACAGATTTCTTTAAAAGTCTCAAATGTTTCCTAAAAAAAGCCGGCATTTGCCTCTGGACTGCGCCTCCATCGGCCATCGGCATTAATGTGGGCCGTGGCCCCACTTGAAGAATCGAGAATGTTCATGTTGGGATTCTAATTGGGCCTAGACATGTTGACGCTTATATTCTATTAAAAAAGACATTCTATAGTTAAGGCTAGATGGGTAACAGTCCTTGTATATACCTCGGTTGTAAATGTGGTATATCCGCTATATCCGCTATATCCGCTATATCCTTATAATGTATGTAGGTAAATAACCTTGGATTGTCTGAAATAATTACTTTAATCTTATTTGTATTCTACATAGATCAGGCATATGGAACTGACTATAAAGGGATCGTATAGTTCCTTGTTTATTCTACTGTGGCGTAGTCCTAATTGGTGACCCACAACATCCTCATCGTCATTATCATCACTATCATCATCACCACTACATGACCATCATCACCATCATCACCCTCTCTAACTCTTCCTATATCTCTACAATCTACAATCTACAATCTAGGACCAACCCCTATATAAACATTACCCACAAACCTATCATCCAAGCCTAATGCCAAATTCCAAATCCAAATCCAACCCCCTCACATCCCCCGCAACACCAATAGCCCTCCAACCCCACCACCTCCTCTCCCCACCCGCCGACCTCCTAACCAACACCGCAACAACCCTAACAATAACCCCAACCCAAGACACCAAATCCCCCTCACAAACCTTCACCATCCACCGCATCCGCGCACACGAAAACCCCCGACAGCCCAGACCGCACCGTCCCCCTCTACACCGTACACGGGAAACCATGGCCGAACACAAGTCGCGTACTCTGCGACACAGAGGGCGTCCCAGTACTCGTACTACGACGCGTCTGGTTATCGCGGAAATGGGTAGTCCGGGTTCCCGACCAACAGGGGGATTTATTAGTTGCTTCGATGCCGTGGGGTGAAGGGCCGGGGTCTATAATCGGGGTCGGGGGTGGGTTTGAGACTCGAAGTTCGGTTCGTGAATGCGCTTGCGGTCATGTCGGGGTCGGTTGTAGGAGAGGGAGCCGGGACTGTATATGGTTCTGTGGACGAGCCACCGCCTTATAGTGCTGTTTCTGGGGTTGGGGTTGGGCGTGAGGGGAATGCGGATACACATGCAGATGCAAATGCAAATGCGGGGGTGACGCAGAGAAATGAGAAAGAGGTACATTCACAACCCGCTGAATGTCTAATAACATCACCATCCGCCAGACATACGTTCCATCCTCCTTCTCCCTCCCTCCTCCCCTCTTACGACTCTGTTCGTCGAGACTCGCCGAATTCCCTGCGTGATCTGCTCGATGCCATCGAGTCGCCGCAGGAGCCGGTGCCGGCTGTCTTGTTTCGTTCGTCTACGTCTACATCTTCGTCGCAGAATGCCAGTGCTAGTACCAGTACTAGTTCCGATCCTGGAATAGGGTCGGCACATACGAATACAGAAGCCCCGCGGTCGGAGGTTGAGTTGAGAGTGATGCAGCTAGCTGCATCAGGTACGGGTGTCATGATGGGTAACCAGAAGATCATGCATATCACGCGACACAATGCGATGGATTACAGTAAATCCAAAGCGAGGTTGAGGCCGAGGTGGGAGGTTGAGGTTGCTGAGGGTGTTGATTTGCTGCTGGTAAGTTTGCTTGTTTCAATAAGGATGTAGAGGATGATACTCCGCATTTTGCAAGTGTCGGGATATTTGATATGATATACTGACATCCCGTGTAGGCAGTGAATATCGTGCTGATTATGTCCGAGTCATCTCAGAACAAATGGAGGTAAACAGTGTGAAAAGGAATTGATTGGTGTAATATAATGGAATTTGCATGAGTTATGTAGGACTAGACTGCCAGTTCCAATGGGTAAGGATTCTTGATTCTAAAGGATCATCTCGCCCTCTCTCTCTTCTCTCGCTCGCCAAGCTTTTTTTTTAAAACCATACATTCGTCAAGGGAACAGATCTTCTTTTGTTCCGTATTAAGTATTTCGTTGACCTGGGAAGTCTTTCTCGTCAAAAAAACAAAAACAATGTCAAAACAGTCAAACCGAGCATATTCGCATCAGGAATGTCTAATTCCAAAAGCTTATGACTGAAGCTTAGCCAGGCGCTTGGTCATGAAGTCAAAGAAGGAGAACTGGCTTGGCCGGTTGCCGTACTCGTACACGAAGCGGCTGGCCAGGTAGCTGCCGAAGATGGCACGGAGGTAGTTCTCAGGGACCTAAGAGTAATTAGCGAGAATTCAAAAACAATATTAGAGAGGGAAGGGTAGACATACACGTTCCAAGATGGTCTCCAGACCAATCTTGTCCAACAGACGACGGGGGAGAGCGTCGCCAAGCACAGAGCGACGGAGCGCAACATTGTCCCAGAGCTCGGTCATCTGGAGTTCCTCGTCAAGCTTGGTGATGGCCAAGCTGAGACGGTCACTGAGCACACTGCGCAGCACACCAGTCTGCTCGTGTTCGCGCCAGATGGCCTCGAACTCGAGAGCGGCGTTCGCCTGGATGACCTCCTGGACTTCACGGACGTAGGCCTTGTAGAATTCGGGGACACTGCCATCCTCGCGGATGCACATGTTCTCGACGAACTCGTCATCATTGAAAGACAGCGAGGCCAGAACTTCCAGGGAGGAGGATGTCACACCACCCTTGTTGGCGGAGGCATCCTTGTACAGGATGGCGCCGGCCTTTTCGAGGCGCAGCTTCGCATCCTGGGTGATGAACAGGTTGGCACCTTCGACGATGTAGGGAATGATGGTCTTGTTGTCCCGGAGGAGCTTGCCGACGGAGGCCAGGTCGATGGACTCGGGGCGGCCACCGCAGGGCACAAACAGATCGAACTTCTCCTGCGAGCGCAGGTGGTATGTGTTACGGAAGACCATGCCGTTGTGCACAACCTCGCCGCTGGGGAGCTTGACATTCTTCTCGTCCACCAGGACACGGTAGCCCTCGGGGGAGAGCTTGGTCAGATCAAACTGGGAGATCATCGCGCGCTTCTTGGCCAGGCGGATGAGCTCTTCGTGGTTCAGACCGTTGGGGTCGTAGATCACACCGGATCCATCAACAATGGCTCCGTACTTCTCGTTGGAGAGAAGAATCTCGTTGGATCCAAGATCACCGTCAGGACCACCAGTCTGCAGCTTGAGTAGCGTGGAGGGGTCGATGTTCAGCTTGCGCTGGATTCCGAGCACGTACTGGCGGACCGAGAGAGTGGTCATGCCGTAAGAATCGTGGGGAATACCACCCAGCTTGGGGCTCTTGCCAGTGAAGAACGACTTCCACCAGGGAGCGCCACGGCTGCGAGCGTGCTCGGTGGCCCAGTTGACAAGCTCAGCGGTGTTCTCGTCGGGACCCATGAAGAGGATCTCGTCCTTGCCGTGCAGATCAACAATCGGGTCCTTGATACCGGGGCTGACCGGGGGCAGGAGCAGGTCGAGGATACTGTCAATGTATTTCTCGAAGGCGACCCGCGCCTTGTCCTGGTGGTCCGCATCCAAGAGGATGACACCCTTGGCACCGCCTTCGGGGATATCCTTGTTCTTGCGCTGTTGCGTATTGGCCAGGTTGTAGTTTTCATCGAACAATGAACGAGCGTTGATGTTGTATGCTTCACCGTTTCGACTCTTGACGATACGGATACCGCCACGAGCGATATCACGGAACCGCAGGTGGAAGCCGCGGAACTCGGAGCTGATGATCAGGAACATGCCGTAGAGGGGCTGGGGGTATTCGTGCTCTGGCAAGAAGTCCGGCTTCAAGCGGAAGCTGAGAGCCACCTTGGTCGGGGTGAAGAAGTTGGTCTTGAGGATGGAGGAGTTGAACACGCGGAAGGAGGTCATAACCATCTCGTCGTGCTCATTGAGGGCGGTACCACGGATGAGCTGCTTCAACTTGGCGCCATCGAGGACCTCGTCGACCTGCAGACGCAGGTAACTGAGGGTGGGGAGGAAGTCATCACCGGATTCCTTGGTCTGAACGTAGTGGGTGTTGGCGAAGTCAAGGTAGAGCTTGTGGATCAGCTCGGGGTACTTGTTGATAATCTCGAAGATGTAATCAGCAGTGAAGGTCTCGGTACGCAGGCGCTTCTTGATCTTTGAGAGCAACTCTGCGTGGACACTGTTGTTGCCATCCAAAAGAGCAGCCAACGAAGTGTATTCTGAGCCCAGACGGTTAAGGAACTGCTGTACGAATACCCACGCGCAGTGAGCGTAGATTGTCTCCTGCAAGCTAAGACGACCAGAGGCGAAGTGGCCCTGGAAGCGGTTCTGAGGGATACAGTACAAAAGGGAGACCTCCTTCATGATCTGGTGGATAGCAGCCTCAATGGGAGGGAATTTGGCTGAGATCTCAGAGTTGTCAGAGGGACGCAGGTAGAGCGAAACCACAGTGATTCCGTTGGAGAAGTTTTCCAGGTACTTGCGGGAGCTGGTCAAGCGGTAGTAGTGGTACAAATCCGACAGGGCACTGAACAATCCCATGGCGGATCCCTGGCGGTAAGCAATCACCAGGCGCTTTTCCCGGCTTCCCTCGATCTCGAACATCTCAATGACGGGACCGGAGCGACCAACGGCCGTGGCGATAATTTCCTGGTAGATCGTCTTGGTGTTTGGGGTAGCCTTCTGTAAGAAGCGCTTCTCTCCAATAATCTCGATGTTGGTCTCATTCGGTGAGGGGTTGGGGTTGGCGAACTGGCACTTGTACACGAAGTAGCAGCGGAGCTGCTGGCCGTCGTCGCCGGGCAGAGCGCTAGGCGAGCGGAAAGTCTCCACACGGTAGCTGTTGGCACCCTTGGAGTGGTTGATGTACTTCTCATCGATGCGCTGTTCGTAGCGGGGACCATCGACAGAAACCATACCGGGCCTACTGGTATCGATGTAGACAGCATGGTCCTCGGCCTCTTTGTCCAGGCGAATCTCCAGCTGCTTATCATCGCGGGCATAGGCGGCGACTTTGGCAGCGTAGAGAGATAGGATCTGGGTCACGATGGCATCCACCGACTCGGTCTGGAAGTAGGTATCGTCGATGCCGAGCTTGTTGTAGAACCAGGTGGTTTCGGAAATGACAAAGTCACTGGGGAAGAAGCCCTTCTCCTCCAAAATGTCCATCACTGCTGGGAATTAGCTAATTGTAACATCTCGATATCACCAGTCAATTCCACTGACCTTGTTCCATTTGCTTCTGCTTGCCCTCGAATTTAGCCGCAATGTAGCCCGGGTCCTCCTCAGAGAGCACGCGGTGCGGGGTACCAGGAATGCCCAAGTGGGTGGGCTGCGGGGACGGTTGTCGCGTCGCACTTCCAACGGCATGGTCTAGGTGCTTGTTGTGTGGGGGAAAGCGCTGGAAACCGATGGGGGTGCCGGAGCCGGAGCTTCCATCCTGGCTCGCAAAGAGCTTAGGTTGAGGGCGATTAGGCAGGCTCGCGCCATTGCCATTGAGACTCTCCGACTGTGAGGTAGGTAGGGGAGACGACATGATGTAGTATGTAAGGTAAATCTCTTAACACGTAAGAGCGAGAAGATGAAAGAAGCTATATTAAGTCAATCAGCATGAGCATCCATGGATGAGCTGAGATGAATCATCGACTTGGCACGTGTGGGGATGAGATAAGGCAACACAAAGAATGTTCTTATCTTTTCCCGGGACAGGTCCCGAGGTGATAACAGGCAAGGAGAGACAAGAAGGAGAAGATCTTGGAAAAGTACTTACTGGCAAATACAATGATCACCGATCGTCGCCATGGACTGAAGGTGAGAAAAGGGGAAAGATGGTTTTTGGATCAGAACCAGAAAATCCGGGGAACCCTAGTCTTTTTATACAAGACTTGATTTTCGACTTTTAACAATAATATTCTCTATTAATCCCTATTTAATTCTCTATTATAATATATTAATATAGAATTGAATTTTATTTTCTATTATTATTACATACATCCACCCCCCCTTGACCAGTTATAACCGATGGTAGGCGGGAGGTTCAACCGTATAGAGGTCTCGAAGCCCATTGAGATCCGCAGTTCCACCCTGTTCCACCCCAAAACGCTCATTCTCTGTCCACTTTTGACTAAGAGCCGGCGATAAATTGTACGCTGATTGGACCTCATCGCCCCTCCTTCCGAGCTCAAGCCGATAGGAAAAATCCCGCTGCGTCATGCGGGCCGATATGAGAGGGAAAAATTGCCTCAAAGCCTGGAACGTGGCTGAGGCGGACTATTTTACAGGAACAGGGGCAAAAATATGTGAGCGGGTGACCTGAAAAAACACTGGCTGAACTGAAAAGAGAATAGTCAAGGTCACCTGAGATGTCTTACTAGAGTGCATGGACGATGTATACAGGGAAATACAGGGAATGATGCAATCTCTATCGAACATCGTGGAATGCAATGTGTCATGGAGAACCCACTCGACTGGGATAAGAAACCTCCGAACTTTTTTCAACTGATGCTAAATGCCTCATTCTCAACGTTCCAGCCTGGATGGCATACCACCAGATCGCATCGTGATCGACTGCCTTACTCATTCAGATCCACTGGTGGCTGTCTCGGTCCGGGGGATTTTCGCCATTGGGGGAGAGTTTGACGAGTTTGACGAGTTTTAGCCAAGGCCAATTGCAATTCGATGCAAGCTTTGCGAATGTCGCCGGGCCGGCTACCTAGCCGGTGACAAACAATAATATCAGATATCCCCATGTGTATGTCATATCTCCAACTGGAGGGGCTAGGGCTGGTACCTGGATGACTTGCGGGGTAAACATAGTCATCTTTCATACAACATAGTGCACACGCTCGTCAGTTTCATATTGTCATTCGTTAGAAATGGCGCATTGGGACCCTTTTACCCCAACAAATATATCGTATGCATTTCTTTTTTTACGCATCCCAAGAAATCAATGGCGGGGCCCTTACGTGATCGCGGGCTCTCGGCGGGCTTGCGATTGGAAGAGCCCGCCGGCCACCGAAGGATGAAGTAATTGCCGTCCTCTAGGGAAAATGATATTCCGTCCCCGTGACGTAAATTATACACTTCGCCTCAGGCATCAGGCATTCATCTGATTTTTCTCGTCTGGGGAGACCATTCCCGCTCGGATGGGGTTCCGACCCCCCAGGTTTTCTTCAATTCACTTGGGTTAGCCGGTTCCTCTGACACATAGAAAGGGTTCCCCATGTTTCCCAATGTTTGCGGGGGGCTGATTGGTGTGACCATCTTACACGAGCTCAGCTAGTTCACGGCTCTCTGGACATATTTCACTAGTGTTTGTAGTTAGGGAGGACCTTGTGCAGTCAAGTCCCAAGACACGATAAGGGTACCAGCAGGTCAGAAGATCATCTGAAGGATAATCAGGTCGCATCTTTGAAAGCATATTCTCTGCAAGGCTGGACGAAGTGGCGTAGAGTTCAGGGTCGCAGGTAAAGTAGGGCTCTCATTCCTGGAAGATATTGGGTACAAGCCTAAAGAATGTTATAGCAAAAATATAGATCATCGAAGACGACGTGCAAGGGCGAGAATAGAGCGTGATTCCAAATCCGAGATTCGTCAGTGCTAATCTGTAGATCGGGCTCCCATTCAAGCGGAGTGAAGAATCGATTATCTGGTCTCGATCTTTTCCGATCGAAGTATCCCCTGCGTATCGAGCACATCAGCCCTGCGTTTACCTTACTATCCTTGGCTGAAGGGATACGGGTACTTATTGTAGGTATGCCCAAGACTCTGCTTATCCTCCTACCATACAGTCTGGCACCTACAAGGATATCCCGTCCATCGATAAGGCATACGAGCTGAACTGACGTGTCGGGTAGACTAACATTGGCTTATGTATGTTCAAGTAGTCCGAATAGCTACCTATGTAGCTAGTAGTAGCCCATGATCACGTCAGCTCATAATCATGCATGGGATGTGTTGTACATATTGTACCTGACGAAATTTATCCCACAATTGGCACCACAAATATAGACGATGGTGAATCTAACAACACACTAGGCAGCCAACTCATCACTTCCCCTCTTTGACCTATCTCTACAATCTATTATTGAATGTACATAGTCAAACACATATCTAAACGAGCGGTGAAAAGGACAAGTCACCACGCCGAGAGCCTTACGTGGTCGCGGAAAGAATGCTGACTATCTACGACGCTTAACGAGGTACATGGTGCACCTCTATAGGCAAGTATACTAGACATAGCACAAATGTTGCTGGAACCACAACACGATTCCTCCGTACATTAGTGTCGCTATTATAAGCAGATACCCCGGGGAAGTCCATCCGCGATCGAAGGGGGTTCCAAAATTCCCGAGAGATACGCCCTAGATCACCGTCGGAGACCCGACACCCAGGAAATCAGGAAATCAGGAATGGACATACATTCTAGAGATTCTAGAGTAACACTCTTCATCCCTTTCCCCCAGATAACTTGCGAGTACGTATGTGATAGTGGAGTGGAGCGCATTGCATATTGAAAATAGTAGAACCACTACGCTGGCCCCTTGAATCCGGGGAGAGAAGAATTGTGGAGTCCCCTATTCAGACGTCGATCAACGGTCAAGGGGATTTATTTTGGTACTTTTGCAGCTCAACGGCTTGTGCCCCTGAATTGGTAACGGAGGTGACGATGAATCGTAGGAATTGAGAAAAGCTAACCCCGAGTCATGGACCGTATCCCTTGGGCATCTCCGTGTCCGATGTGAACACATCTCAAACAAAGGATTTGATATGCGCCCCAGACTGTTTCGGTCCCTGGCGTGGTCCACTCTTCTCCCTCGAGATTTGGGCAAAACACCAAAACTATTACAGGTTTATTTGTGGCGTCGTACAATATACTATCTCATACGGAGTACAAGTCTTATTAGTGATGGATTGGTGGAGGTATACTAAGGCGGATATACCGGTACTTGAGCCGCCCCTTTGATAAATATACAACCCAACCCAAGTACCTTCGGGCAATGTCTCAATTTTTGGAAGATCGTCCTAGTTAATGCACCTCGGGTATCGGTGAGCACGTCAAAAGAAAAAAAATCATCCTAATTTGGTAGCTTGAATAGACGGTGAAAATGGCTGTTGGGCGCCGCCTAAAAATCAGAAGATAACTTTTCCCCGGAATAGCATACCTATTGCAGATATCAAATAGAAGCTCCGATTCCTGTCGCCACCCTCAAGCCGATCTCCTACACCGCAACGGAAAATTCCCTTCCATAGCCCCGACAATCTGGTCGCTGGGCCCCAGTTTTCATTCTCGAAAGGATCGCCGTATCCGCTCTCGTGCCGAGGTCAAGAGCGAACTTTCTCCGGGTAACGCTAGAAGGCGTAGAATCTTAGAAAACAACCCTTAACTAGTCCTAATTCATTAGTTCTAAACAGAGCCTTGCCGATTCAACCGGTTTAATCGGCTTTCACTAGCTGTTCCCGCCTCCAAGCTAGTTGTTTCTATGGTAAATAATGCCAATAACACAATACATAATATCAATTGGTCGGTTCATTGATTCTCACCCCCTAGTCTTCTCCCCCACACTAACGCGTCAGGCCCCATCTCCTTTGTTTTTCTTTTCTCCCCGACAGGTTTTCGGGGTTGGGCTCCCGCTGTTCCGATGGGGAATGTCCCCATCCCTGCCTCGATAGCTGGGTTATTGGGCTGTTTAGAATGAGGCGGATAGGCTTGGCGGGCAGATCTCTAGGGGAGTAAGCATTGGGCCTGGCCAGGTATGCGTGTACTGGGTACTTTCGTGCTTCCCCAGGGATTGTACTCCTCCACACTTTTATGGGGATGACTTATTTTTTATTTTTTTTTAGTTTAATTATCTGTTTTGGGTGTCTCATCTTTTTTTTTTAGATTATTATTTATTGACAGGAAGAAAAAATATAAACGACCCATTCACCCTGAAATCGTCTGACTCTTTTTTCTAGTTCAGTTCATTCAAGTATACAATTATTTTCAATTACTACATACTCAGCACTGTCAACAGCTTTGCTATCACCCGTTCGCTCTGATCGTCTTCAAGTCTTCTACCAGAGCAATACTATCGCTGCAATAAGTTTAATTGAGCCTCCTCACAACCGTCACAACGACAATCTATCTTCTCAACAACTACAACTCACTTCTCACCTCCAACACTTGTTACTATTACATCTTCCAAATACCCGAATCCAATTCCTTTGATCCTTGTAAGTACTAACTCCCGTCACTACTTGCCACATCCCTCGCACCCTCCGATCCGATCCACCGAAACCGGGCCTCGGGCAACTTCGGAGCCACAAGCTCCATCTATACGGAGCATATGCCAAACCCAAGTACAAAGCACAAGCATCTGCACAAACAAAAAGCTGACATTCAATCTTGTGAATCCAGCTCAGCAATCCAGCCTTATACATTCCTCCCAGCCGAGGTTGCCGATCAACTGCATACTTTCCCCAAGTATAAAACCCAACAAACCAACAACTTCATTCTTCACTATATAAGCACTCCAACCTCGAGAGTCTACTTATCCTCTCGACATCTACGCCTCCAAGAAATCCAAACTACATCCACATCCACATCCAAACAATGGCCTCCGTCGCAACCAAAACCGCAACCCCCGTCATGCCTCCCTCCTTCTCAATGTCGCAGGATATCTCCCGCGCAATGACAGCTTCAACCCAAAAGACAGAGAAGACCCGCTCAGTCCTCATCGACGGCATGCCTCCCGCGCCTCCGCCATCCCCCGTTGCCTTCTCCAAGGGCAAGGCTGGCTACAATAATATCCCCAGCTTGAGCCTGGAGTGATTCAACCTCTTCTCCTCTTGGTTTCGGGTTCCGTCCTGGCGTTCTTTAATACGTTCTTCTTGGCCTTCTCAAGAAATTATTGTACCATCATCCAATATTCCCTGATAATGGTCTTTCACATGGACATATGGGACGGCAGATTTGCCTGTCCTGTCTGTTGTTCTCTTTTCTTTTTACTATTCGTCCTTGGCTTGATATCCGCGGTGCTTGTTAGCCTTATGTCTTTTTCTTTCGGTCTTTGTCTTTCTTTTTTTGCTTGTCGCCTGTTGGATTTAGCGTTGCATGGCGGCGCGGATATGTGATCTGGTTCAGGTTTGCGCAATGGGGCACTTTTAAAAGTCTGGGGGGATTGGTGTTCTTAATGGTTTTACCCTGGGCTTTTCCGAATCAGAAATTGAAATTGGATATTATATATATATATTATGCTTGTGTGACCTTAATAGTGATGGTCGACGCATTTTCTTGTTGATTATTGCCCGGTGTATATGTAAATACATATGTCGTGGCTCTGTATTGTACTACCCTCAATGGCTTTGCTGCCACAACTATCACTAACATATGTAGAATGTAGGCAACCTGGTATTTGGTGTCAACCTCCGGAAGTCGGATATACCCGTGGACGGTGTGACTGTGGCTCGCGTAATGGGTGCTAGAAGAGTATTTTCGTGCATCGGAGTGAGAAGTAGCAGATACATGCATGGTACAAGGTACACAGCTAGGAACCTGTAGTCCGACGCAAGCAGATCTGCCGATCACCGCGTCACCCGTATCGCATTGTGAAGTAGATGGGGTCGCACAACCTGTTTTGTACTCTACGCTGACGTTCTAGATGGCGAAATGGGAAGGCCAGATACAGGATACAGTTGGCTTGAACAGCAAAATCTGTGTATCATGGTTTCCATGATAAGTGATTTTCAAGATGAACAAGAATTTATGCTTGCATTGGGTTTGTGGATGACGTTACCCTCTAGATCTACCTATTTTAGCGTAGCTAGGATGGCTCCATTGATGGGCTGTTTGCTCAGTCCCGAGGTCAAATTGGGTGGGGCTTGTCATCTCTGGTGGTTGGTTGTTGGGATGTCCCGGGCTGTGATGCCATTCCTCCGATATCGTGAGAGAAAATCAGCTGTGTGTTTCCATCACAAAAGTAGCGTTTTTGCCTTCGGTAAGGGTATCGATATTTCTTCGCTGGTGCTACTCCTCGGTTCCCGGCTCCCGGCACTTCCACGTGACAGGACAGTCGGCTACGTACTACAACGTAGATCCAATGAGATGCCGACACCGGGTGGCTTGATCAGGCCCCGGAGGATCGACTCAAAGACACAGGGTCTAGACCCGAATTCTGTGTCGAGGTCAGCTCACTGTCGATCTGTACGTTCATGAAGTAAGATCATCGCTGTCAGACGTTAACTCCGAGTCGGACTCAGACTCAGCCTCTGCCTCATCAGGGTTGAGCTCTTGGTTGACCTCTTGAATCAGAAGCTCAAGAGTCGCCTTAGCCTCCAAGTCCCCTCTCGAAGCACGTTCGTTCAGCCTCTCGATCTCAGCCAGTTGCGCCTCAGTACGGGCCCAGCCTTGCTGTCTGTCCGTCATATTCACCTGCCGACGTGTACTCATGACCGTGCGAACGGTATCCTCCTCTCCCTTGCGGTTCTTGATCTGCTGCAACCTCTGGAGGAACTGCGCCTGGTGGGATGGGACTGCAGGACGACGGGGTGCTCCAAGGGGTTCGGCGCCCTGAGAAGACACGGACTCCGAGGGTCCTTCAGTAACGCCTTGAGCTGGCCCTGGCCCAGCGCTTGGGGCGAGCTGTGCCTTCCGACCAAGGATCTTCACACTGTTGGCGGCCACAAGCTCGTAGGAGGGTCCACGGTGTAGCGGTTGAGGGAAAGGGTTGTTTGGGTCAGTTTCTGTGCTTGGACTGACGAAAATAAGCTCGGTGCCAATTTGATCAGCCCAGGAGCAACTGAACATCTGGTTGTAGTATGAAATGATTGGGTTGCTGGTGTGGAGGTCGAGAATTTGGATTCGTTCGTTGGGGAGGTTGCCTGTCTCGGCGCTCTCGATCGGGGGATAAGCTTCGCCTGGAAATCCTTGGCCCATGTCTTCTGCTGGGTTCTGTGTATCATCCAGGGAACCGGCGTCCTTTGGGCGACGGCGTGGAGGGCGCACTGGGCCATGATGGGCGGTCAGGTCCAGGTTGAGATAAAAGCTCTATCAATTGATTAGCAACATTGAGAGAAGACAAGGTTAATTATTCTCACCTCAGTCTCTGTGCCATATTCATACTCATATTCTTCATCGGATTCGGAGTCAGCCATTGTATGATGAATTGTTAAGGTCTGATCTCCCTCAGGTGGAACCGGAGATAAGATCTGAGTCAGCTTTCTGCAAGTTCTGGAAGCGGTGAGCCCTGATGTTTCCCCCTCTTCCCGACCAGGACAAAATCAACAACCCTGGAAAATACGGGGGCCCTGGTGGCAAAAATGGACATAAACAGGTGCATACTTTTTTGAATGTTTCAGATGGAGGGGGATTTCCCTTGAACAATTGACTCTTTTTCCCCCTTAACACGATGAACTATTAAATATTATTTTGATGTACATCTACATCTGTATAATCCAAGGTTATATGATTTTGTCTAGAACCCAAGTAGAGTTGTGCCCAGCCCTCCTCCATCAGCCTTATGGAACATCCCACATTATCCTCACCGCAACAACTCAGACAACTTGGACAACAATGGGATCATCCCTTCGTAGGTTTCCCCGTCTCTTCCGCTCCGGCTTTGCACGGATAGGCCATGTACTCGGTATATGGCATCCGGCTTGGCTATGACTTCTATGCATTTCCGCAGGTTCCCGGTGCTAGTCCGAGATATTGGTCATCCTTGCCTGTCCCTTTTCTGATTTTTTTCCCTTTGAAAAATTCTATTCGGGCAATTCTAGCTGGACTCGGGAAATCGGGCTAACAAAGGCACTGTGTGTTCCTATATAGGTAACCCCGCGGTCCTGTTGTGCGCCCTCCTTGTCCCAACTCTCGTTATCTCTCGTCCCACCATAGTACCTGGGGAATGCCCGACCGCTGCAGCCCTACCACTTGACTCCCACTGCATTGAACCCCTAGCCTCGACTGGAATTCCCGAAATCACAGTCTATGAACATACTCCACATAGTTCTTCGGCCCTGACAGTCTATGTCGACTCACTCCAGCAGATGACCCGGAAGGCCAAGGCAACCATTGCCGTGCTCTCGACCCTGATCGCTTATGTATCCGTCAACAGCATAATCCACGTACTCCGGCCGGCTGCTTTTGTCTGGTCTGCGGAGGACCGGGAGGAGCGGGACTGGATTGCGAGCTCGCGCTCGTGGTTCGACCGCAAATCCTGCCGATGGCTCAGCATCTGTGGCGCAGCCCATTTACAGACCGTACACGGTGAATTCGGACATCGCGAGCCAGTGGAGAGGGTAAATGGGCAAGATGCCGAGCCAGAGGCTCCATGGCGGTCCTTTTGGATTAGCGGGGCTAATGAGTCCGAGTGGGATGCCGAAGAGCGGGCTCGGCGGCAGATCCCGGACTACGTTTTCCACTATGCCCCACTCGTTCACCTTTATTCTGGCGAGCAGTTCTGGCCTGGGGATATCGCAGAGCACTTGCATCATACCACTCCGACCCTGAATTACACCCCGATTCAGGCCCAATGGGACCATCCGACGCTGCGCGATCTGGATGAGTTGAACAATTGGGGGGCCAGGCACCTTTTCTTGACGAGCAATGATGATGTACAGACGCGTCCACCGTGGCTGGAGGGCGATAGGAATATCCCGCAAACAGATGGGAACAACAAAGAAGAATCCTGGGCGGATTGGGACGGTCGAGTCGATGGTGATATTCCCGGTGACACGGAGGAAGCCCGAGCCAAGTGGTATGATTTTCACCAATTGCAACAAGAGGCTGCCGCTGTACACGAAGCCAACACCGATGAACATTTTCAAGCCCAGCAAATACTCAAAGAGGAGCTTCGCAGACGTTATGGTGGGGAGGAGATCTACGACAATGGTGCCGGTGGTCGAAGCGATGCCCTGCAATCCTGGTGGTGATGGACAAAGGCAACGGAATCGTCGATGCATTCTGGTTCTACTTCTACAGCTTCAATCTCGGTAACACCGTTGTCAACGTGCGGTTTGGCAATCACGTCGGTGACTGGGAGCATTGTCTAGTGCGGTTTCACAATGGCAAACCGAAAGCGCTCTTCTTCAGCGCCCACCAAGGAGGAGAGGCTTATAGCTACGAAGCTGTTGAGAAGATCGGACAACGGGTAATGCTCCAATGGCGAAAGCAGGAAGTGTTATCTCACTAACTATACCTCACTAGCCCGTCATCTATTCCGCCGAGGGCAGCCATGCCATGTACGCCACAGCCGGGGTACACGAGTACCTTCTCCCCTGGGGACTGCTACACGACGTCACCGACCGCGGTCCACTATGGGACCCCCTTCTCAACACGAAGGCCTACACTTATGACTTCGACAACAAGCATCTGCGGGCGTCCACCTTCAGCCCCTCCGCCCCAACAGAATGGTTCCATTACAGGGGCCATTGGGGCGACAAGTTCTACCCACTAGGCGATTCTCGTCAGTATCGATTTGCAGGCCAGTACCACTTCGTGAACGGACCCCTTGGCCCGAAGTTCAAACATCTCAACCGCCACAAGGTGTGTCAGGGCCCAGACCGTTCTCCCTGTGTTATCAAGAACTATGTCGAGCAAGGGAAGCGACCTCAGCGGTGGGGCTCAAGCAGACAGGGAGAGTAGTTGATCGTGGCGATCTGTTCAATCTCTCCTATCGGTTACGGTTACGGATTATCTGCCCATGCCCCCCCTTCCCCTGTGGTCGGAGTCTTATGAAAACCCCCACATTATACCCCAGCCTAAATTTACCAAAGCACCCCGAGATGATTCTTGCTAACATATTTTCTTATTTTCTTTGCTCCATGCGCTTTTTCTTTGATGTTTGCCCCAGATACCCCCCTATGTTACTGAGAATCCTTGACCAAGGCCAACAGTATAGACCCCTCCCACGAACGAGATCATGACTCTTCATCTGATTTGACACGAATGCATGTGCTATGGCGTGTTTATGGCTTTGATTTCTACCCTACTCTTTCCCTTTGATCCGGGCGTTCTGCGTTTGTTTTCTCTTTGCTGGAAAGCTCCCAACAACCTCAAAAAAATGATTGGCCTATTACGAAGTACCATGGGTGTATATTTGGTTATACATTAGATATTATATTAGCTTCAAAGATTTCTTTTAATTTACTGCCGTAGAATGAGTTATTGGATGCCTTCCAAGGTTGGTAGATGATGCTAAGTGTCGAGCAGCCGCTGATATCAGGAACTCAGCCCCTAACTTTATACCAACAGACGACGTTGATTATAGCAGCGATACCACATTGATTTACTAGTGACTGTACAACAGAATGGAAAACATGTACCACTATATGGGTAGTAAATATATGACAAGAAAACATAAATATTTTATTCAGTATCGGACCTCTATCCCCAAATCTCCCAAAGTCGAATGGCACCTTGCTCATTACCAACAGCCAACTGCTCCGAGTTCGGTGAAATAGCCACCGAGGAAATGCGACCCAACGGTGTGTTAGAAGTAGGCCAGTTACGGTATACGGTGCAGGTAGGGAGATGAACTATAAAAGCAACACAGTTAGCAAAAAGCACACCAAGAAAAGCAAATCCAGAAAACATACCAAGACGCAAAGCATCACGCTTCCACCGACTCGCCATAACCAGCATCTGCCCATCAGGCGCAAACACCAAATGGCTAATGGGGGTAGTGAGCTGATCGAGCACACGCACAGGCTCAGGGTTACGCGGGATACCCGCCTGAGCCGGGGGATCCTTCTCAGCAGCAGAAGCATTGGCATACGCAGCCGCCCACTGGCGACGATCATAGACGTTAACAATACCACTCGAAGAACCAATCGCCACCCAACGATCACCACCAAGCTGAGTCCGGCCCGAGCGGCCTCCAAGGCTAAGAACCGTCGTGCCGACTGCACCGGCATCGACCCAGCGCGCCACAATACGGCCTACACGTCCGTCCCACTCAGAGACCTCACCGTTCTTCGACACAACTGTCATACCCTCGCCGTCAGACCACCAGGCGAAGTCTGCGACACCGCCGCGGCCGTCGACGCGCACCTGTGCGATCCACTGCGCGGTGTTCGCGTCCAGCACATTGATCAGACCGCCGCCCTTGCGGGCTGTGCCGACTGAGGCCGACGAAGCGGCCGCATGGAGAGAGCTTGAAGCGCTCCATGGACTTTTGCTCTTCCTTGCGGTCGGAGGAGCCGTTGACTTTGTCGACTTTGCCGGTGTCCATGTCCCAGATGTGGAAGTAGCGCCTGCGGCCGGAGGCGAAGATCTTGTTGCCTGTGGGTGGGGCGAAGGCGGACGTGTGGATTGGTGTGTGCTTGATGTGCAGGGAGGTGAGGAGGGGGTTGGGGGCGGGAGCGGAGGGAGAGATGTGGTGCAGGAAGAGGGTGGATGCTGGTCCGGAGGAGAGCAGGAGCGGGTAGTGCGGGTGGAAGGTCAGGGAGTCGACGGAGGAGGGTTGGGATTTGCCGATGTCCTTCAGTCTCTGGATGTCGATGACCTCCTGGCGCAGCTTGCGCTTTCCGCCGGAGCGCGCGTTGTCTTCTATGCGTGTCAGGTCGGAGGCGTTTTGGAGGAGCTTGGCTAGCGGCTGCATGGAGAGGTTCTCGTTCTCGTCGTCCGAGTCGACTTCCTCCTCTGCGTCCGAGTCCGAGTCGGTCTTGCGGCGCTTGAGCTCCGGTGTGGCCCACTCTGGTGTAGGGTGTAGGCGTGTGAACTGTCTGCGCAGTCGTCGGACGTATTCCTTGCCGCTGACTACATCTTCGGCCTCGGTGTTGCGCAGTTTGCGCAGCCTGGCTTGGCTTGCTAGCGACACTGCGAGGCGATCGTCGTCGCTATCGTACCATACTGCGGGTTCCTCCTCTTCTTCGTCCTCAGCCTCGGACGGGGTTTCCGGCGATGGGATATAATCAGTGGTGGGGGGTGCGCCGGAGTCTAGGAAGAAAAGCTAGATAAGGAAGAATTGTTAGATCGGAAGCCTGAGACCGGTGAACGCATAGGAGTGGAGTCGCATACATCTGAATCGGCTAGAGCAGCCAAATCCTGGCCCTCGCCCTCCTCTGCATCTTCGCTGACATCGCTCTCGTCATCACTGTGCAGAGTGAGAGCCATACCAGCCTCGCGGTCTTGCTGGGTCTTCAATGCGCCCATGAACCCCTCATCGTCGCCAAAAAGCATGCGCTCTAGCTTCTTCTCCGCCTCATCTTTTTCGGGCACATCGTCCTCATCCGAGCTAGTTTCGTCGTCCATCTCGACATCTGAGTCCTCCGGGCGGATGTTGGCCGTAGTGTTCTCGAACGGAGACCAGGTGGTCGTCCGCTTGGACTTTTCTTTCAGCCCTACGTTAGGCATGGTGGTTGGTGTGAGAAAATCTGCCAATCAAGCACAGCTGCTTGCAGACTTGGTCACCGAATTGATACTTGAATGCAATAATGCAATTGTAGGCTGCGAATGTTCCTCAGGCGGAGCTAGAATATTTTTCTTCTTTGATTTTTCCAGAATGGGCAGATCAGAGCGGTGTGGAAGGCGGCATATGTCATTGCCTTGGCTTTAAGGCAACAAATGAGATTCAACGCCATCCGAAAATGAGCATTAATACACTCGTCTGATATCCTTTTTTATCTTCTTGCTAGATGGAATTGGTGAGAAGAGCAATTGTTAGAGCCAAAGAGTTCTTTCTGTGCATGGAAAAGGCGGTAAGTAGGGGAAATGGAAAAGTAGACAAAATATATAACTACAACATAACTAGTTGCTTGGGAGCCCTGGAGGCATCCATGGATTAGTTGGTTGATCATAATTGTAATTGACGGTTCGATTCTGAGTTATACAACTAGTAGTTACCCAAATACAGAATATAGATGCATGCACTCCACATATGTATGTAAGTAGCAGGGAAAAGATGATAATCATACTGCATGTACTGCAAGAGCGAAATAATCATATTCACGGTAAAGACCACTATTAACACTAAAACAAAAGCCAATATGAGATTTCCGAAACCAAAACACAAAGCAATATTTAGTGATGTGTTGAAGTAGCTTTCTGGTCATGTTCGTCACCACTGCTACTCGAGCTCGGAGGCGCATAAGGAGGGACAGGATTGTGATCTTCAGGAAGTAAATGCTCGGATTCCTGGAGAGCATCTGCAGTAGCCTTTGGTTGCGAGGCGGTTGTCGGAGATTTCCCGGGTTCTTCATCATCAGAATCAGTTGCATACGACTCGTCCAGACCAGCAAGAAGAGCCTCCCGGCGGAGAGCATCATCACCTGTGACAGCATCTCCAATAGTGTCGTCCACCACGTATTGTGAGACCGGTTTCTTGATGAATATGTCGATGATATAATACTGCATCGCGTTCATGATGACTGGGAAAAGAAGCATGACAAAGAAGATTTGGACAGCAGCGTTGCCTTCTGTCCACCTTAGAGCCCAGTCCCCGACTTTGACAATGAAAGGTAAGAGCTCGATGAGGAAGAACACGCATATCTTCATGCCGAGTAATCCCATGAAATAAACAATGGACTGCTTGAGCCACCATGTTACGCGTGGAGGCTGACCATAATTTCCCGACTCTATCGATTCTGGGGGGTTTGCGAGAGGCGTGTAGGATGCGAAATAATTGAGAACGCGGAGAAGGAGGATCAGAATCGGGATACCGAGGGTAGTCTGTTCCATCAGTTAGCTAGCGGCTCCTCAAAAGAGATTAGAGCAAGATCAGCAGTGACGCACGTCGATTCCCAGGTTCAGTAAGTAGAACGAGCATGGGTTCGGCTTGTATGAGCTTCGAATCTCCAGTTGGCCCGCAGAGAACATCGACATGACCAGATTCAGCATGTGAAGCATGACAGATCCGAAGACTTGTTTTGAGACGTCAAAGGCCCAGATCTTCACCGGGCGCTGTGGTCGTTCTCTCCATCTCTTATAGACTAGAGATAATAATGCGAGGCTGCCAAGAGCAACCTGAACAAACACTGAGAATGGACCAAGCAGCTTGCATTCTCCTCCTTCATCATTTGGATCTTGCCCTGGACTTGAAGAATTTGTCCCATGATAGTATAGTGTGTGTGCCCCCGATGGGGTTGGAATGGTTCGGGCGCCGGTAGCAGCGATAAGTGTGCTTGTAGCTAACGAAGCCAACGAGCTAGTCGCGTCATCCATCGCTTCTTAGTCTGGTAAAACCAGAGACACAGTGAGAAAGCTCAGGTAGAACGCGACATATGCTGGAGACCAGATCGTAGTAACAGTGCCCAGTAAACTTCCAGGAAGGCTATCAAAGGCGGAGAGAGGGTCGAACGTCATACGTGACATCGAAACGAGTGGCAATAAACTACCTAGGTAGATGAGCGGATGAATAGGAACAAGCCTGAACCTGGAAAATGTAGTTCTTTCTGAACGGGGTTAGGAACAAATGAGGTTATAGGAAAAGAATAAGGGTGAAGTGAGTGAGTTTGCAGTGCTGCTGCGCCCCAGGCGGTGTCAGTATCCCCGCAGCGGGATCGACAAGGCCGATAGCATTTCCCTTCCAGGGTTTGGACGGCTGGCTATTTAAGGGTCTTGCGTCTTGGCATGATATTTTATTTTGCTATCTGCTTTGATCTGGATCCAAATATGTTGTGTGTACATCGTATAGGTCAATGTCAAGCTTAAAAATTTCCCTGCAGAAGAGTGGGTACTGATCGGTGATACGCCAGCGTTACGTAGATAGATAGACCCTAGTTTTAGCTTGACATTGTAGATCACGATGCCACAAAGCTCGAAAACAGGTCCAGACTCGACTAGTTGGTCACTTCGAGTAGTCTGGTACTCACAAGAACCTTCGCACCTAGTATCTAGCCATCACACAGAGAATGTTGGAGCAAAGTGGAAGGTCAATTTGACGAAGAGAGTAATAGTAGTAATGGGTAAATAGAATAAACATAAGAAGAAATAAGATCTCGCCGGCGTGCAGTTTCGCACGATCATTTCTGGGTCAATATATGACTAGAACCAGCCCTCGCCCACCATCAAGCCCTCTCAAAAAGAAACAAAAACCCAGGGAATAAAAACGCCGGAAACCCCCTCAACCAACCCGTGATTGAATAGTAGAGCCGTTGCAATACCATAGCGCAGCTAAATGCTAGCAGAGGGAAGAGAAAAAGAATTCGTCACATCATTCTATCCCGTGTTGCTGTTTGAGCCTTTCTAAATTCTCCTGCCGTTCCGTAATGTCCTCTTTCGTTCGGACCATCTTCTCTGGCTGATGATACAAGACTATAACACACAAAGTTAGTCATCTCCACATAATCCCCGATGCTCATTTGATCCATGTGATACATACCGACCAAGTATCTGTTCTGGAAGTTGAAACCATTGAGTTTATCGCATGCCTGTTTGGCGTCGTGAACGTCCTCGTAGACAACGAATGCGGTTCCTTTGGAGGTATTGGCGATACCCTGGCGAATTTGGCTGTAGATGAAATGGTATTAGATCGGGTTGTAACACGAGACCATAGGTGACTATTACCGAATGGGGCCAAATTTGCCGAACAGATCGAACAGTTGCTCTGCTGTTACGTTGTAGCTGTTGAGAAAGATGTCAGCGACCTAGTCGCGATTTCAAATGGCGAGTTGCAGGACTGATCCGCCGGGGAAGCGAGCCGGAGCAAAGCAGCGAAATGATCGAGTACATACTTAAGGTTCTTGACGAAGAGAATCCTGTGAAAGAAGAAGAAAAGAGGTTAGCGCTAGTCACTTGGAAATTTCAGGGATCTGCTAGACCCAAAGATCAAGCTGTTGATGGCAAAATGGCACTTGTGCTGAGAATCGGGGGAGGGGCATGGAAAAAGTATTCTCACGTACCGATTGGCTTCGGGGGCGAGCTTTCGGCTCATTCTCAGAGGTGAGAGAGTCCTAGAAGATGTTGAATGAAAGTGTTGACAAGAAAGATACGCAAGGTATCAGTTGCAGTGTTGGAATAGCGAAGAGGCAGAAGATCCGAGCAAGGCGCAAGGACAACCACGAGGTTTGTCTTGGCAGTGCGCTTACTTATCCGGGTTTAGTGGCAGTTGGTTCTTAAACCGTATGTGACCAGGTCATGTGATCTCTATGCGTGTAGTGATCTGCCAACCTCACCACGTGATTGTATCATCATGGTATCGGAGTGTATCATCAAGACGGACGCTCTCGGCGTCGCCAACTTCATTTGGACTACAGAGAATTAAGCACCGGGGGGAAACAACCAGGTAAACACAATCGCATGCTGTAATGAGAGCTTCTTGATCTTCATCTTTTATATATGCTATTCAGATCCCCTTTCTAGTAAAAGGGATAGCAGGACACAACGTAATATAGGAGCCCGCAGCTGTACCGTAACCTTCAGTTGCTACTACTACTCGACTCCCGCTTCCTCCTTCACCCCAACACCTCGCGCTCATCCGCTTTCCTCTCGCTTCCGGCGCTTCATCCATTCGAATAATTGTCACTTCCTATCCAGTTGGCAGGAAACGATTCCTGGCTACTGGACCTCATTCGATTCCCTTCCCTACCTGCCCGCAGGTTGCGGCGCGACTCTCGGCGCCTTTGTCCTCCCCGCCGCTCGATTCGAACCCCCTCAACTCTCCGCGAATACCGTCGACCACCTACTTCGCCCTCAATCTTTCATCAAATATCAATCAGATACTTGCGGTCCGCCGTGCGCATGCTCTTCTGCCAGGAATGACATTCCCTTCGCCTGCGCCGGCCTCTCGCTAGCCCGTGTGGTCCAGTATCCCCGCTTTGCATCCACCCACCGCAAGCGCATCTTTTCGCGCCTTCGACCCTCCATCTTAAATTTTCTTTAATATACTCTCTTATCGGGTTGCGAAAATGATGAGCGCGGCATCTTTCGCGAATCCCATCGGCGGCCGCCCGCCGCAGTACCGTACTCCGTCCCCTCCTCTACGCGCTGTCGAACCTATCACTCCATCCACAACCACCGATTTTCACACCTCTTGGGCCAGTCGCGGCCCTCCTCCTCGAGCTACCAGCCTTGATCGCGATCAGCGTCCTTCGAATCACAATCGACATGTCACCGCGGAAGGTGGTTCACACCAGCGATCGGGCCATGGCCGCTCAAGCTCGACTATCGACACACTTGCGACGATCGCCCTCGCGACAAGTCCTACCTTCGCATCGCTCCCTCCCAATCCTCCGTCCCCGGCCTTCGGTCCTCGATTCCCTTATTCCCCTCCGACTCCGCAGACTCTGAACGACCGGCGAAGCGGGCACGGTCGGCGAGGAATCCGTCACCCTACCGCCCGCGCCCAGGAATGCTGACAGAAAACCCACAGCCGGCTGCGCTTGAGAGCATGACAACCGATGCAGAGCTTTTACTCAATCTCGCGCGCCCTACTAATTTCCACCCGGGCAACCACACTAAACGAGTCAGCATCGACGAGACCTACCACCACTACGCTGGCGACGCGATTCGTCAATCTCGAGTTGGGTTTGCTGCCGTTGGACATCCGGACCAGGGCGATGTCAAGATGAATCACAATTCCGAAGATATACCTCATTCCCGCATGCGCTCTCGCTCTGACGGGTCAGCCTTCATATCCCGTCCTGCGATGCGTGGAATCCGCCCAACTACTAGCTCTGGCACTTTCCCACCAATTGTTTGGGAGGATGAACACGAAAGCAAAACCTGGCATCCACCAGCTGATATGCCTCATCATACTACTTATGGGATCCATCCTCCGGCCGATTCCCAGGAACCTCAGTTCCCGCAGAATTCCCTACCCGTTCCACCAAAAGTGGAAGAGGAAGAAGGTGACACCAATCAAGCAAGCTGTGGGGCATGTCATCTAGTTCGTATTCCAGTTGAGACCGAGGACCAGGACGAAGACACGTGGATCAGTTGCGATGGATGCAAACGATGGTTCCATATCGTTTGCGCTGGCTTCAAGAATGATCGGGAAGTTCGCACAGTTGACAAGTTTATCTGTCGGCATTGTCGATCAGTTTATGGCCAAACAACTTTTGTACGCAAGTCCTCGCGCGCCCGGACAGCCATCGACTACGCAGGCCTGAACCAAGGCCTCGTCAAGGCTGCCACTGACTCGTTGGAACATCACTACCTCGAGCCCATTCGACAAGGAAAAATCCGATTCCAACCTGAGAATTTTCCCCGAATGAAACCTGAGCTCGTCACAGCGGAATACTTCGAGCGAGGGAATGGGTGGACAGAGCCTATTGTGATACCTGCCTGCTGGAACTCGTGTGAGCCTGTCTCTTCGGAGAATCCAGACTTCGAATCTCTTGTACAGGAGGCTTCGTCTCAAGAGATGTTTGATGATCTTCTCGAGAACCACCCAGAACAAGAGACCCATATTGAAGACACAGTCGATTGTGGCCAAGACCTCTTAGGTATGGTCATCCCGCGGGGTCTCACTGTTCGTGCAGTGGCAGAGCTTTACGGACCCGAAGAAAGGGTTGAAGTGATCGATGTCAAGTCTCAGCAAGGAGAGGATAAGAGGTGGAACATGCAGAAATGGGCCGATTACTACGAAAGCAACGAGCCGGATAAGCCTGTCAGGAATGTTATCAGTTTGGAGGTATCGCAGAGCAAACTCGGCAGACTCATCCGGCGACCGAAGGTTGTGCGTGACTTGGATCTGCAAGATGCTGTGTGGCCAGAGGAACTGAAGGCAATCGGCGAATATCCCAAGGTTCAGTTCTATTGCCTGATGTCTGTCGCCGACTGCTATACCGACTTTCACATCGACTTTGGAGGATCTTCGGTGTACTATCATATCCTGAAGGGCAAGAAGACTTTCTTCTTCATTCCTCCCAAAGACAAGCACCTCAAGAAGTACGAGGAGTGGTGCAACTCTCCCGCCCAGGACTCGATTTTCCTTGGAAACCAGACGAAGGAGTGCTATCGTGTGGATCTATCCGAGGGAGACACCATGCTCATCCCGTCCGGCTGGATTCACGCAGTTTGGACTCCAGAAAATAGTTTGGTTATTGGTGGCAACTTCTTGACCAGACTGAACTACGGGATGCAAATCAAGATACTCAACATCGAAAAGGAGACCAAAGTCCCCAAGAAGTTCCGATACCCTTTCTTCCAAAAGATTCAGTGGTACACGGCTCAAAAGTATCTGGAGGATGACCCCGTCCCGCAAAATGTGATGGAGGCATTCATGCAGGATGAGAACTACCGGTTCCACCGTCAATATCCAATTTATTACGAGTTTGGAGAACGCGCCAACCAAGAACCTCCAGGTTCTCCCCACCACAATGCACGTTTCTATTCACAGGCGGAGTTGGAGGGCCTGCTCGAGTTAACCAAGTATTTGCTACGGACTGCACTCATTGCGGGTGGCTATACCGTTGATGGAGTCGTCTCCATGGACGTTCGAAACGCGGTCAGACGCTCCATTCCCAAAGGCACGGGAGATCCAGTGGACATGATCAGAAAATTCGGAATTTGGGTCGCCTGGAAGCGTGGTAACGAAAAGGCACCCCTCTGGACTCGACCTGGCGTCATCGAAAGCAATCCCAAGGTTTCTATTACAGACAAGAAGCCCGCAGGACGACCAAGCCGCCGATCCGAACGCAACGTTGATAACCAACGCACCTATGCCGAAAGACAAGCGGTCCAGTGGCCTTCAGAAGAGGCCCCTGAAACTCCGAATCCCCCAGCCAGCAGCCTTGTTTATGCGCAGTCTGACGGGAGTGCAACACCGGCGCCATTCAGTATTGCTCCGGAAACGAGCATCAAAGATATCACCACACCCAAGCCTCGGGCTGTCCAACGAACCTCAGGTCTTGGTCCGAAGCGCGTTGCATGTGATGCCTGTCGTAAGCGACGTATTCGATGCCGGCACAAAGATGAACCCGGTGATCTGGTGCTCAATGGGCAAGCTGCAGTCAGTGCCTTCACACCTGGCTCTGGGGTGAGCACGCCGTCCTCCCTGGCCCAGGATGCTGTCTCTGCTTTGAATTCTTTGGCAGCGATTGCATCACAATCTGGGTACCAAAACAATGGGCATCTTGTTGACTTGGATCGGTTCGAGAGCTCGGCGAGATTCCAATCCGCAGTCATGGGCAACTCGACAATAGCTGCCAATCGCCTCGTTGATGTCAGCCCCGATGGAGCCAATGGAGGGAAAAAGGGTCGCAGCAAGGCGTGCGATGATTGTCGGAAGAGCAAGGTTCGTAGTACCCTCCAAAGGCGCTTCTTTTGCTTGTTTTACTGTTACTGACCTGAAACCAGCGCCGTTGCATCCACGACGAGTACGGTCGGATAGATCCGATCAAGGCCCAGGAGCGCTCCAAACCTCGTGCAAATGCTTCTGCCAAACGAGCACGCCCTGCTGAGGAGGATGACATGCCTTCCACAGCCAAAAAAGCGAAGCAGGAGAGCACATCGCCCATGACACAACCTGCGGTATTTTTCGATCATGATGGCGATGAACTGATGGCGCAAGACGACGTGATGGATGCTTATGATCATGTGCCTTTCAGTCAAATTGACCCAGGTAAGCATTTGGCTGAGGCAGATCAGGCACCTCAAAAGCAAGTTCTGTACGCATCACCACCTGCACTCCAACCTGAGTCTGTGGATGCAAAAGAAATAAAAACAGTGTCTGTGTCTTCGTCGAAGCCAAACACCTCCTTGGTCTCACCGCCCACGTCGCTGGCCGACGAGATGGATGGGGTCCAAGAGGGAGATGCCGTACAGTCTGTGGAAGGGGAAGTGTCAACTGCTCTCCACACGCCCAACTCCAGTTCTCGACATTCGTCTCGCCAACCTCGACACGTCGATCGGTTCGCGCCCGATGCAACTACAGCCCGGGCCCCGAAGCAATCGGCACGAGCCACGTCTTCGACTATCGGGGCACGCAAGACCACTCCTGTTCCAGCGTCGACAAGAAAGCCTTCATCACGTCCCTCGTCTTCACACGTGAAGAAGAGCTCTCCGATGTATGAAAAGCACTTCCATCGTCACGCCCCTACATCGCTATCTCCGCGTCAGCACAAGCATAGTCAGCACGTCATTGGAGATGAAGATGCAGACGAGGAAAGTCTCCGTTTGATACGTGAGCTCCAGGAACAAGAATTTGGTCTGCGGAAACGATCAACAAGGGTTTAGTTTCGCAGAAGGCTTGGAGGCTTGGTCCGGTACAGATGAGAGATGTAGAATGGGTTCTGCTTTATGTTTTTGTTATTCGGGATATCAATTTACCAAGGGTTTGGGATGGGAGATCCGGTGTTTTCTTTTCTTCTTTTTCGAGAATCACGTTTTCATGTTATTTCTGGCGTTTTCTGGGTCTGGGAGAACTAGGGAGTTTTCTTTTCGCTTCTTGATATCAATTTTTTTTTCCCTCTCCAGTTTCTTTATTCTTTATTCTATTTCATTCCCCTGTGGATCTTTTGTTTTATGCCGGGGCCTCTTCACGACCAATACACCTTGCTTGATAATCGTCTGTTGGGCTTTCTCTCTCCCTTCGGCTGCGCACAGCAATGAGGTGTCTTCTGCAAGTCTCGTATATGTACTTCTTTCTTTCGTTCGTCTGACACAATCTGCGTGGTTTGCCCTCATGCATATATTGGCTATAGGGCTATTTAGCAGTCTCTTCAATCTACCTTCTTTCATATGTTTGACGTCTAGAAAGACTATTAGAAAGACTATTAGAAAGACTACTAGAAAGACCACCTGTTATCCTTTGTTATGTCAATTATCATCTATCATATAGTTAGTATCTAGGACCCAGAGTAGAACGTATTTTTGTTGAACACACGGCGACTTGCAATTAGGTGACTACATACGTAAATCATATATACCCACATGGGCAGGTACCTAGGTGAGTCGTCGCTACCTACCTACCTAAGTAGATCGTGAAAGTAAACATCTCCTTCCTTCCTTTCTTTCTTCTTCCTTTCCTTCTCCCGCGCAACATGTCTTCTAATTTTGCAGAAGAGCGCAAATGAAAGGTATGTCAAGATTTTCTCTATCTCTACACGATCTCTCATGATGATGTGGATCTCGACCTCGATGGATTCCATCCCATCTCATCTCGTCTCATCGCGACCCCCATCAACCCCATTCGATTCCCGTCATATCTGATCGGTCAGCTTATTTTGCTACCACCTCGATTCTTTCGAGGCAGCCTGTTCGGTAGGTTCTCATTTACGCTATCATGAGCATGCTAACTATAAGTAGGAGGAAAAACAACGGCGTCGTGATGAGGAATACCGGGCCTTTATGGCAGACTTTGGGCAGGTACGAGGTTCTTATTCCCTCCATCAAGCTGTTACTGATCAAGATGTCAGCGGGCCTATCAACCCCAACAGCGTGGTGACCAAGGCTACCTGGCCTTTATGGCCGACTTCGGGAAGGTATGAGGTTCTTGTTCCCTCAATGAAGCTGTTACTAATTAAGATTATAGCGGGCGTACGACCTGCAACGGCGCTCGGCATCTCCGGCGCGGGCCAGCCATACCCTCCCCGCGTCGGAGGTCGCCCCGTCAAGGCCCCCCCTCCCGCCGCCGCCCCCGCCATCAACAACAGGCCTGTGGACACCCGGGCAGCCCAACTCGCCGAGAGGGGCCTGCCTGCCAATACCCCATCAGGCCGGGCTGCTCAAGATGCCCCCCGGTCTCTCAAAACTCGCCCTGGGCTACACAAGATGCCCCCCCCCACCCCTGCCCTCCTCTCAAGACCTCCAACGGTCATCGGGGGATGATGACATCCCCATGCAGCCCGCTCCGGCATGGCTTGGAGTGCCCCTGCCACCATCATCTCCTCCGAAAACACCAGAAAACTGAAAAGAAAAAGAAAAAAAGACACGGCATGAGACCACGGAGTCAATTTTTTTGTTTTTATTAGTACCATTATGTATCAGGTCCTTATCAAATTCTATCATCCTTAAGAGGAGCATTACAAGTAACCTCGTTGAAATGTTCTAACACTCTTTTCTGTTCTTTTGATTCATCAAGGGCTAGTTCAACACAGATACTGTCGTCGGCTCAGCAGTCCGCAGCACTACCGGTATAGTATCCGTCATGGCCTCAGCCGAGCTACTCCAAAGCAGAGAGTACAAGCCGTCCGTAACAGTTTGCCTCGCGTAAAAGTTGGCCCCGCTCACGGTGACGAGGACATAGCCTCCGTACGTGGACCAGACGTTGCTGAGCTTGGTTGAGTTCGACTTTCCCGTAGCAGGTACGGCTGTGAATGAGACTGGATTGGAATCCGCATCACCTTGGTCCAGACACAGCATATTGGTATTAGTCGACAGGGTGGTGAAGCCCTCGTTCGAACGGGAGCTAGAACTAGGGTGGGCAACCCAAGTATTTTCAGCGGCGGTGACTGGATTCTCGTGAGTGTCATATAGTAAGTAGGGACCTTGGGTTCTTACAGTTGATTGGGGTCATTGCGGCCATTGTGGTTGTGTCTACTTTGGATGCATCCGCAACTTCGGCACTGCCTGTTGTCAAGGTGATATGGATTAGTCAATAGTGTTGTGCTGGGGGTTTGAGAGGGCTGAGATACCATTTCTGTAGAAGACGGGCAGTCCGCTGATGCCTGGGCCATAGGCATACAGCTTGAATGAATCGGTTGGCCTTGACTGTCGCTTTTCAAATGGGTGCGCAGAGCAGACTAGCCCAAAGACTAGAAGGGGAAGAATAGATAGAGATAGCATCTTGCAACGAGTAAGTCATACAATATGTTGGAAGGGGGTGTGCACTGTAGTGCGATCAGGATGAAGCAAAACTTATAGCCCTGAAACAAAAAGAGTCACGAGGATATAGTCCATGGGATACCGATCGATGTAATCAGGATCAGGCAGCGCACTAGGAGCTATCCAATGACATGTGTAGTGTTGATTAATTCTTCTCTCTATTTCCCAACATTGTGGTCCAAGCCTCCTTTTGTGATTTGGACTGACACGAGCTGACGATGACACGTAATTTGCAGCTCCATTCCCGGGATCGTGGTAAAAGAGAAACACCTCGTCGTCATCATCTGGCTGTGTTCCATATCGAAATCCAGGTCCTGGCCGTTACAACCCCAATGGTCAGATCAATGATCAACTCACCATACATGGCAGACTATCGCAACGATCAACCATCCAGGACAAAGCAGCTGATATCTCAAAAAAGTAAACATCAAAGTATGCGAGATGGCAAAATTAATTTCCGAGCCTTGCTTACTCTCGTATACACTAAGGCTGAAACGGTTACACAGAGACAGCATACCCCCAATCCAAGCCCTACACGCCAATCTGACTACGATCGAAACTAGAGAATGATGTCCCTGATGCTCAATCTCCGTCATTAGCTCTCTTTGTAAGTTTTATCTTTGTTAATTTGAGACACACGGCCCTAGTTGCATGGGATACCCCGGCTCTCCATTCATAGTACTATCACGAGAGAACGGGCTGTAGAGAACAGTCTGCGGACTCAAAACGACCAATGCGCACTTCTCTGATAGACAGCCCATTGTCCAGCTGCTGGGCAGGCCCCCAAGCTGATGATCTTCTTGCAGTTTGAATGGCAAACGGTCCTAGGCATGGATACGGGGCTCCTCGATCTTACTATTCCGCTATCCACTAACGCATAGCATCAACACCCGAGCTGGACGATGACGTTGATGCTTCGCCATAGAAATCTGTCCGCTGCGTCGTCTCGCGCATCACAAGATCATGTTTCGCGCGGCATCGCCGGTAGGGCTGCCCGGTATATCCTAGTTAGGAGGTACAAATGCAGGACACCTCCTAAAAAGAGACATGACGTTCTTGGTCCTGGTCGTACACCCTCGTGTTGTGCTGTACGATTCCGATCCATAAGATAGTGGCTTAAATAGAGGAGAATTTTCTTAGTCGTGTATCAGCAGCAAGCCTCATTCGCTTTCTTATACTCAAAGTTTTGCTTTCTCAATATTTTCTAGATGCGTTGAGAGCTCTATATAGAGCTACAAGTAGATTGAGCATTATATAAGTGCCCTGCCTGGGTAGGATTCACAGCTATGAAACTCCGATCTCTTCTCCTCCTGGCATATAGCATGAGTGCTTCTGTCGCGGCCATTTCACAAAATCCAGTCAATTCAGTGAATGTCCCATCGCAAACCCAACACCTGACAACGAAGACAAAGCACACGACAGTCGGTACCAGTGCCAAAACCAAAACCAAAACCACCACCAAGATAAAGCACACGAAAACCACCACCACGACCAACAAGCCAACAGGAAGACCCTGTGCGGGCAACACGCCCCGAACACGGTCCCAGTGGTGCCAATTTAACGCCGATACCGACTACACGAAGATAGTACCAAACACAGGCGTAACACGGGAGTACTGGCTCAACGTCGAAGAGCTAGTAGCAGCACCAGATGGTTTCAGCCGTCCAGTAATGGCCATGAACGGCACGATTCCCGGCCCAACAATCTTCGCAGACTGGGGCGACTGGGCCGTGATCCACGTCACGAACAACCTACACAACTCGCAGAATGGGACGAGCGTTCACTGGCACGGGGTCAGACAGAACCACACGAACGGCAACGACGGCGTCGTCTCCATCACGCAATGTCCCACCGCACCAGGCTCAACAATAACATACAAATGGCGCGCCGAGCAGTACGGTTCGTCGTGGTACCATTCGCACATTGGACTACAGGCATGGGAGGGTGTGTTTGGCGGGATAGTTATCAATGGCCCTGCTACGGCGAACTACGAGGTCGATAAGGGCAGTCTGTTCCTGACGGATTGGTCCCATCGCACTGCTGATCAGCTGTACTCGGAGGCTCAGACGATTGGACCCCCGACGTTGGATACGGGCTTGATTAACGGGACCAATGTCTTTGGTAATGGGACCAATTCTACCGGCCAGCGGTTCCAGATGAAGGTTGATCAGGGGTCTTCGTATCGGCTGAGGATTGTTAACTCGGCTGTTGATACGCACTGGAAGTTCATGATTGATAATCATACGCTTACTGTTATTGCGGCGGACTTTGTGCCGATCAGGCCGTATACGGCAAATTATATCGATATCGGAATGGGTATGTGATGTTTTCCTTTTGATATCAAACTCCTCCTCGAAAGCCAACAACTAACAAAAGCACCCACAGGCCAACGCTATGATGTGATCGTAACCGCAGACCAACGCCAAATCTCCGACTCATTTTGGATCCGCGCAATCCCACAAGAAGCATGCTCAGAAAACGCAAACCCAGACAACATAAGAGGGATCCTTTACTATGGAAACCGACCCGGTACACCCGCAACAAGACCGTACACCTTCCCAGACGAATGTATTGACGAATCTGCCTCCAAAATAGTCCCCCGAGTCCCAAAAACAGTCTCAGCCGCAGAATGGAATAACCTAACTGACGTGAAACTGCGCCGGAACAATGCCAACCTATTTCGCTGGTACCTCAACAGCACAACGATGCAAGTTCTTTGGGAGGATCCCACGTTACTACAGCTCTTCAACAAGGAAATTACGCCGAACTTCACAGCGTCGAGCGGAGTCATTGAGCTGCCGCGGGAGAACGAGTGGGTATCCTCATGATCAACACTAGCTTTCCAATCTCGCATCCTATCCATTTACACGGACATGATTTCTTTGTGCTGGCGCAGGGGTCGAATCCGTGGAATGGGAGTGTTGTGACTAATAACCCGCCGCGGAGGGATACGGCGATGTTGAATGGGAATGGGTTTTTGCTTATTGCGTTTGAGACGGATAATCCCGGGGCGTGGCTTATGCATTGTCATATTGGGTGGCATACGGATGAGGGCTTTGCGTTGCAGTTTTTGGAGAGGGAGAGGGAGATTGAGCCGTTGATTGATCGGAAGGCGCTTGGGGATAATTGTGCTTCTTGGAATGCTTATGATAGGGCGTTTGATATTGATCAGGAGGATTCGGGGGTTTAGGAATATGGGTTTATGATTTTAGATGGGTTTGATCTTTATATACATGTTGGCGAATTTCGTATGTTGTACATGTAGGTAGATCGGCATGGCCTCCAGACCGTCTTCCTACCATCTTGTGATGTTATATTGAGTTATACATGACTGCCCATAGATAGTTCTACCAAGTAGACCTGGCAGTGACCCACCGGGTGGTCCATGATCTTGGACTCCCCACCCGCCTCGGATGCATAAATTCATAGAGCTAAGCCCAATTAGGCTATATAAATCTGCTTATATAATCAAATATACACCTCCAGGTAGAATTATTTACATAACGTCAATTTATGTCATAAAATTTGCTTGTTTGTCTTGTTTTACGACCCTCAGGGTCACCCGCGGGTCATTGCCAGGTCTAGTGATAAGCTATTTCTGAACTAGTGGTGGACTATCATGTAACCCACCATCAACTCGAATGAAAATCCAGGAAGATGACTTAAGAGCACGAGGATTGATCTATCTACCATTCCCAGCCATTGTCGTCTCGGTACAAGTCGGTGCTCTCAATGGGGAAATACCACTTGATAGACGGATCCGCTAAAACAAGATCGTGCGAGACATAGTGAGCGTCGCTCCAAACCTTATCAAGAAAGCGGTTGGTCGCATCTTTGAAACCGGATATGTGCCTGAAATAAACAGTCAGCTATCTCATCATCATCGAGGATAACCAGAGAGAAAGAATCACACGTACATCTCTCTGGTAGACCATTCGTATATGATTTTAGTGGAACTAGGTACCCTGACTTGGTAGTCAAACGGCAAAAGCTTCCTAGTTCATGTTAGCCCTAGGTACTTTTGCAATCGCGTAGGCAACGTACTCGTAAATCTGTCGGAACTTGGCGCGAATGTTTTGCCGCTCCGAGAGAGTGCAATTCCAGAACCGGGTGAAATCCAAGGGCTCGCCAGGCACCTTCTTCCATATCACATATGTGACAAATCCGCCCGGTATGATATCTTCCTTATCCTGCTTCTCAAACTGATATCCAAGAAGCTCGGGAACAACCTTGCAGCCTTGCTGCGTGAAGTGCTTCAGGGCTTGGAGCTCTGGGGGCTCGAAAGGCCCTGTAGCCTGGGCAGCTCGGACTGAAGCTTTTCGCAATTCTGTTCCAAGCCAGGGTATCTGATGGTAGATACGCAAGAACGCGAGGGGCCCTTGCGCACCGGACGGGCGACACAAAAACTTTCCAGCAACGTATGCAGGACCCCGACCATCAATGAAATTTTGCTCGGACTGGGTCACGGTATCCTCTTCAAGCTTTTCGACTATCTCCCAGGTCTCAGGCATAAAGTTAATCGGGGGCTGGGGCGGAAAGTTCATCAGAACTTGTGTGCCTTCGAGGCCAGAGAGGACTTGACCAGAGTTAAAAGAGTTAGACATGATAGGTTAGGGATTAATGATGTTGCCAATGATGCGATTGGAGTGAACTGATAGAAAGAGAGGACTTGAGAGGGGAATGGACGCGAATGCGAGAAGTTGAGAAAGTTGCCCAGGTGAGAGAGAAAACAAAAAAGGAAGAGAGAGCTCGTCAACTATGGGTAATATGCAAACCCCGGATGTAAAACATGCATACAACCCCAACATTCCCTGACCTAACCTCGGAACCACCTTGTCATTATGTTGACCTCTTTATTTATCGACGTATGGCTTAGAGTGGATTTTTCGAATAGACCAATTTTTATTTTACACCATTGTTCATGACTATATGTGGACATGGTCATTATAATAGCACACTAGGTAATTTTGAATATATTAATCTTATCTAATAAGAATCTTCCATATATTTATATATAATCTTAGAAATATTATAGTTATATAAAGGAGAGATTTATAGACACCTGGGCATTCAGTTCCGCTTATTTATAAGCTTCCGATGATAGCTAACTTAGGCTCGAGGCCCGCTATTCACTCACCCTCCAGAGCTCTAAACGTCTGGCTTTACCGAGTCAATTATTATCCTTTTATCATATAGGTCCGTAGGATAGTGGACATATGCTTCCCTCTTGGGGCTTTCGCCCATCTCTCTCTTCCCTAGCTCTCTCTCTCACGCGTTGGCACATCCGGCTCAATAAGGGATTAAATCTCTAGTCTAGAATTGACTAGAACCATTATGGCTGCCCTCTTCCGTCTTCGTACCATCTTGTGATGTTAGATTAGTTGAGTTATACCTTACTGCCCATAGATAGTTCTACCAGCTACAGAAGTACATGTGTACTTTATTTCCTCTGCCACTTCTTGACTTTTCCTTTCCGCTTTAGTGATCAGGCCTTGTCGCTTTCTGGAGAGCCGGTTGAACGGTATCAGATGATTATATTTGACGAGCCAAATAGAAAACGAGAATCACATGTATAAAAAACAGGATAGGAAATTGTAGAATACAAGTCAACGAATCTATAGACGGTGGGTGGGAACTTCAGGCCAGGCATCGACACCGTCAAGCAAGACCATGCCCATCCCCGACATGAGATGGGTCTCCATATGGCAATGCAAGAGGAATGGCCCTGGGTTCACAACCTGGTAGCGAATAGCAATCCAGGCTTCTCCGTTCGGCGCGGTCACAAAGGTGTCGCGGTACACGGGCGTTTCAAAGAAGCTGTCTGGGCTGCTCTGTTTTGCTTCTGCGATAGAGCCCCATGTGAATTTTCCCATTGCACTACCAATCAAAAATGCCTTGTTGGAATGCTTGTGCATTGGGTGTGGTGGCTGCAGCTTGGTCGGCTCTGGGATAGCAAGCTGGAACACAATGTCGACCCAGGTGCCATTCAGTGTCTCAATCTTGAGGGCAGAATCCAGGCCGGGTGCTTTGGGGTTGAGAATAGCTGGTTCCATTTGGTTCAGGTTGGCTGGTAGGAAGGTTGTTCCATCCAGGGTCCATTCCCAGGATGAGTTGATCCGTCCAAGAGTTAGGAGATGGAAATCATCGCCATGCTCCGCAGGTAGGATGGCAGGATATGGCGGCAGGTTAGTTGTGTCCAGGTCGATCACAGAGGCTGTGGTGTTGCTACCACCATAATCGATGTATGCTGTTGATTCCCGCTTATTTTTTCTCGCCGCCCTTGTAAGCTAGAGTGGCATAGCCAGAGATAACCTGGTTGTCATGACCAGCAACACGGATGGTGTAGCTTCCAGGCTCCTTGTCCAACTTGATCATCGCAGAGTAACGCTCTCCATTGTAAATAGAGACTTTATGGGCAAGCTGGGGCTCAATGTAACGTCCATCTACCTCGTAGATGTACCATGGGTGCTCATCAATGGAGAAAATCAATGATTTGAGACTTGCTGCACTGACAAAGTTGAAACTGGCCCATCGATCGGTAGGTCTCACTTCAAAGACTGACCTCGGACCCTCACTGGGAATACATCCAGAGTTCAACCCCTCAGGAAGCTTCTCTGGGTGGTGCTCCCAGTTACCCTGAAGAACCGGCATGAATGGATGACATCTGGTGGGTGTTAGTGGCTTCCAACCCAGTGGAGCAAAGGATGGACTCACCCCTTATCCGACAAAGGCTCCGTTATGACTGCTCTGACCTTCGCCGGCTGGAGATTTGTCAGATAATCAGGGTCTTTGCAGTATACAGAGCCTGCACCATCGATGAGAATGCTATCCGAGCAACTGGTAACTGTGAGCGTCGCCCTTTAACTATCATATTTGGGCCCTTACAAGATATCATAGCCTGTGTCTCTAAGAGCATCCATATACTCATTGGCCGGCAGGTGGTCCCAGTCAGACATCATGACCAACTGGGAATCATGAGCGGCTCTGGTCATGGCCGCAATATCGGCAGGGTCATCAGAGATCATTGAGAAAGGCGATTCCCGGTCGGCAGACGGACTAGTTCTCTTATTAGAGCCGCAATAGAGACAGTGTTCTGCACACTCACCGAATACGAATGCCACCGTAGAGACCGTCCATTATTCTGTCTTTGTCGTGGGCATGGTACCAGTACGTACCATAAGTCGTGGCTTTCCACTGGTACCGATATTTGTCACCAGGCTTGATAGCCCATTGCGTTAGACCTGATACTCCGTCCGCCCATGGGGTGTTCAATTGCCTGGAGTAGTCAGTTTTGTGCAGTTCTCGGGGAGTGGTATTGTCGAAGGCCTTACTCAATGCCATGGAAATGGACCGATGTATTGAAGGGCAAATTGTTGGTCACATCTATCTATTTTTCTTAGCATGGATCGGGGGAAATGGAGGATCAGACTCACTGTGACTTCGTCTCCTTCATCCATAACCAATGGTGGGCCTGGGAAACGATCATTCACAAAAATCATCTCTCTTTCATGCCCGTTAGGTGAGCCCCTCTGCCAGGTAAGGTCGAGATCATAATGAACTTTAGCTGCCCGGCTAAGGGCAGCAGCGCTCATCAAAGTCAGGAACAGCGACTTCGCAAGTGTCATTTTCGAATTGGTGGGTGTGAACTGGGTATCGAAGCGAAAGAGTTTTCGCACCAAAGTCGCGTCTGCCACGTCCCTCCCTGTCAATCTTATAACCAGATTGCGTTAAGCTCCTGCATACCTGCCAAGCCACGCAATCCTCGCATTCCTCCCGTGTTGAAAACAGCAGGCCCTTGCATTAAGCATTGTTGCCAACCACGAGGACTTGATTTCAGTTTCAATTCCGGTGCATGACACTGGTCGTGTTCAATATAATTCCATACAAATTGTTATATGCGGGCAGTAGTAGTCGTATGACTGAAATGCGCCAGAACTTTCAGTCTTGAATGGAACAACAGTCGAAGAGGTCATGGTGATTCCTGAGGTCACTGCAAATATCTCATGGAACCAGAGGGGCCGGAATCTGCCAATGAGCATAAATCTAGCTTTTACGGAGTATTTGTTGTCTTGCTGAAAGCAACGTAGGCGTAGTAACAGGTATGTATCTGGCCAGGTCCCTGTTCGTTTCGACTGAATTCACCGATGGGCAAGGGGCATAACAATAGCAATAGCATTTTATGGTCATTCTGCATCATTCGTAGCTCTTGTTACCAAGAAATGTCAACAAATGAGAATCATCCCGTTCCCGTTTGTTTACCGGAGAAATACAACATTGTATAAGCTTTGTACCCAGATATACCGCCCTCCAAATTCTGCCAGTTCTGCCAGTCTAAAACTCCTAATATAGTTATCGTGTGGGCACGTGATTCAGCACTAACTGTTAGCAGTCAAAGGTTTGTACCGAAGGAGACTAACTAAAAAGACTACTAGAAATACACTTGAAAAAACTACCGGAGAAGACTACCTAAGGAACCGTTAAGAAGACTACGCCCGGATAAGCGGCTGACTGTATATTCCTGTGGTCCGGGTAATATGTTTGAAAGGAAGGGAGGCGGTATTCACTACAGTATATAACGGGTAGGCGGTATATATGGTGGTAATATGTAGGCAGACTATATAAAGAAGGGCTCTTAGCTCTCATCTCATTTTTAATCTCATTTTCTATTATTTGGAGCCCTTACTATCTGATTTTAAACTCATACGGAGTATGTATTTCACTATATTACTGGTGGGTAATGTATGTAGTATGTAGTGTAGATAGAAAGATGGTTATATATAAGAAAGCAGTATGATGCTGGTAAGGAGCTTGGTAAGACAAGGGTGAGAGGTGCAGACGACTTGACTTGTAAGGTAATGAAAGAAATAAGGCACACATGAATTCTTGGCAGATGTCTGGTTTTGGGGGCCCTACTGAACAGGCCCGCCTGACATGTGATCACGAACCCTGAGCGCTATACACCTTCGTACCTTAAGCCTGCTGTACGCTTCTTGCATTGCTGAGCATAGTGAATAGCGTCGGCGATTTGATCTTGATGTGCCCAAATGTCTACATTATCATAGGTCATTGTCTCGGTTGTTCTTCTACTCATTCTGGATGGTACATTATTCATGCTATCATACTATACACTGGTGGATGACGCATAAATAGTACTCAAAACATGCGTGTTCAGAACAAAATGAATATCTCGGGAGCCGGCGACGCAAAGCAGCACCACACATACGGCATGCTCAAGCCAAGATATCAGAAATTTATTGACCCTGAGCCACGAGAGTCGCCTGCGCTGGGTTCCAGAATTTGCGAGCAGCCGCAAATATCATATCAACCATTCCCTGGACCTGCTTACCATCCATATCACAGTCTTTCTTGTGTTCCACTTCCTCCTCCTCTTCGGTGAAATAGCTCAAGGGGAAGTCCAATTCGACTTTGACGGTAGCAGCCTTGCTAGGGACGCCAGCGGAGTTCATGACGAAAAGCATGTAGTATCCGGGGAGAACAACACCGGGGTCCGGATAGATCTGGGCCTTGCAGTATTTGTAACCGTCCTCGTCATCACCACACGTGTAATCAAGGGGCACGCGTCTCTGGTCGGTGTTGACAGTGTGCGAGACAGTTCCGAGACGGACAAGAGATGCACTCTTGATATCAGCGTCAGCGAAGAAACGAAGTGTTTTGCCCACGGTGACCTTGTTGCTTCTGTTCTCCACGGTGGGAGTCTTAGGCTGGGTTGCTGGCGTTCCGTCTTTGTTGTATAGGTATGGGGGCCGGAAGATCTGGGCGTCGTAGTGATTGACGGTGCAGTTACCACAGAGACCGCCACCTCCGTTGAGCACGGTAGCGTCAGGGAGGAGAATTGAGAGACTGTGGTAGACACGAACGACGTTGTTCCTCTGGAGGGGAACGAAAATGTCTCTGTCCGGGTAGTAAATTTCCGGGGTCAATTGGATATCCCTGTCTGCTTCATTGAAGGGTTGGCCCCAGATCTCGCCACCAGCGATGAAGACAGATCCATCAGGGAGAACAACAGAGGTGTGGAAGACACGCTGATAAAACATGCCGCCAGGGTTGTTCTCGCTCTTACTTCCATTCAGACCGGCCACCTCCACCTTGGCCTTCTTGTAGGGCTTATCGATGGTGATGATGTGGGCATTTCGGGTACCGAAAGATCCATCATAGCGCTCCTGGCCTCCGAAGGTGAGGATCTTACCACGAACAGCATCGAACATGACGTTATTCCCAGACATTGAGTGTTGATCGTCACGGCGATAACCGGCAGACACATAACTGCCTCCCTTCGTACGAGTGTTGAACCAGTGCATCTTGTAGCTGGGACCGGCATGGAAGACACTGCCGTTCTTCCAGCCGAACAGCCATGCGTGATTATCGGCCCGGAGCGGTCTGTCATCAGTTTCAATGATCTCACGCTGGAGGTTGTAGAGTCTCTTCCAGGTTCGCGTCCAGGGATCGTAGAGCTCGCCGTCCTTGGGGTTATTCGGCCCTCCGCTCCACGAACCACCAATAGCAAATATCCGCCCATCGGAGAGGGTCGTAGTGGAATGGTATCCACGGTGAAGCACCATGCTCTCACCGCGCTCCCAGCCAGTGCCGTTGAAGATGCTGGTCTTGTCCGAGTCGGCTCCACCAGACACGACAATTCGTCCGTCAAAGTCCATGGAGATTCCGGGACAGAACATATCGTGCTCATTGTTGGCAACACTGGCCTGGTAAACATCCTCCTTGATAGGATCCCAGGTAGTCGTGAAGGTTTCGCCACCAGGGGAAGCAAAGAATTGGTTGTCAGCCCAGGCGGACCAGAGGATGATATCGCCGTTGTCCACACGGTTAATTGCAGTATGGGCTCCTGCTACAGGCACAATGGGCAAGTCGAGTGTTGGGCCCCAGGTACCGCGGGATGGATCCCGGGGGATAATGAAGTCGACGGCGTAGATGGCGATGTCGACAATACTGGTCCATGTCTCCGAGTACTTGGTATCGGGAGATTTACTGAGAGGCGCTTCACTCTTCGCAACGAGCTGCACGTATTTGGCAACTTCCGGTTCGAAGACAGCGAGCTTCACGCTCTTGTTCCATCCCCAGAGCCCGTAGGCAACTCTTTTCCAGTCGCGTTTATCTTTGCTGAGATAAACTTCGTGCTTGGCAATCTGTCCACGAGCATCCTTGTCCATGAGAGGCAGCATGCTGAGACCGTTCACTTTTTGCTCCGAGCCAAGGTCGATAATGATGGAGTTATTCTGGGACTCAGTGCTGGATTCGCTGCGCCAGTACGTGTGGACCTGGCCGTCCAAAACATTCTCGCATTGATTTTCATAATTTTCCTGACTAGAGCACTCCACGGTGAAGTTGGTTCGGTCGAGGCGGCTGCCACCCCTAGGCTTTGCTTGCCAGCAGTATTTTTCGGGGTCAATGGCACCGTACGTAGGAACAACGACATCACTCGAATCCGTAGTAAAATGCGACGGAATATGGGAAGAGGCAGAGGCGTCAACGTAATTGACGACAGCCCCGAGAAAGAGGCCGGAGGCCCATTGGAGCTTCATCGTTGAAGATAAATGACTATTGAGGTGCGCTGGTGTCCGGAGAAGACAGACAGACAGAAAGGATTCCCGGGGTGGGCTGGAGAGGAAATATCAGAGCCAGCATGGGTGATTTCGCCGGCACGGACGATCGGCATTATGACGAGACTAGACAATTGCACAGGACAGGGCTCCATCCGAGCTGAAACTCGCATTCAGTCAGCCACCTGTTGATCTGTGCCGTTGCGCGGGTGAACTGGGCCAACGACGTCTTCGATATTTGCCCACTAACTCTATCCCATTCGATCGTCGTCAAGGGCAGAGCTGCCAAGAGAGGCCTGCGATCTATCACATGGACTTCTGTCTCCCTATATCTCCACATATTTTAGTTCGGGTGGAGATCAGAGACTCTTCACCCCGTCCGAAGGAACTCATTTGCCGATGTTTGCCGATCAGAGTTCGCAATCCCGTGTCGGTGGATCCCCTTCTTGATGTCGGTGGGACCTGCAAGCTCGAGTTGCCACTATCGTAGGCACGGCCCTTAAGGTTCCTGACAATGTCCCGGCCCGCAGGCCCGAACCACGGTACGTCTAGGGCTGATATTTCCAAGCAACCTTGGAACATCATAGACTCCCTATATCGGGTGAGCATGACAGGAGCAATGCAATTCCAAACTCTTATTGCCCGGATTGTAACATCTGTTTCGGGCCACAGGGCAACTTCCTCGCTAAGGCCCATGCAGAGCCTGCTCCACTACGGTCTCCACTTTAACTTCAGCTGTGAAGAATTCCTGCGCAGACTACTGAACATTGTATATTGATCGGCTAGGGAAAGTGGATGACACGTCTGTAGCGCTTGGGCGAACGATTGACCGGCTGACGACTTCGGAGGGTCAATTATTACGAAACCAGGACCTTGCGATGGAGATCATCAAGATCAGCACTGCCACTAAACAACTCGGAATAACAAATCTGTCATGCATGGTGATGTCATCTCGGGACTTTACTTGAACCCCTTTCAGGTATTAGCAACAGAAGTACCTGATTGGTGGTGAAGCTGGTTGTCAATCACGGCATGGTGGGTGGCATCCCTATAAGAAGCCATGCACCCTATTCAGATATCGAAAGTGCCCTTGGACAATTGGTCTTTGCAGTTTAACTAAACTCTTCTTTTCCCTGAGATTCATCGTCAAAATGGAGAAGAAATCGGAGGTTAACATTAAAAATATTCAGGGTAGCATTTGGTAAATAGATATCGAGATTATAACTTCGAATCCTAGATTCAATGCTGACAATTGGTACACTCAGGCCCCGTCTGCCAAAATACTACGAAACGTTCCTGTTCTTCAAGATTAGGGACACGGATGAATTCAAAACACATCTCAGAAGCTTTGCCGACAAGATCACCACCGGTGAGCAATGCAAGGCATATTTCGTGGAGACGAACGATCTCCCTCAAGCCACCCCGGGCAAGCCGAGGACGGACACTCCGCCAGAGCAGCGCAAACCCTTCGAGGCTGTGAACATTTCTTTCAGCTACAAGGGTATTGAGAAGGTGAGGAATCCGCTCCCATCAAAACCGTCGCAATACCTTTCCTCTTCACCCGCGGTAATATTAACTTGGAAATTGCAGTTAGTTGAACAACGCCGGGATGACAAGCTTGATGATGAATTGCACATCAGGGGAATGTACAAGGATATGGTCTATGAGGGGCCGGATGAGCCTAGCAGTTTGTCTGATGAATATAAGCCTCCTAAAGGCTCTCGTGCCGATAATGATGACTGGAGAGTCGATGGGCTGTTCATTGTCACCGCCCAAACCAAAGACAAGCTGGGAGAGAAGATAAAGGAGCTTGAAACTGGCTTCAATGTTGGCCCTTCGTCGGCCAGTGTTGAGATTGCTTTCCGGAAGGAGGGTAACCTCCGAAATGCTGATGGAAAAGCCGAGAAAGCCCAGGGTGGCACATTTAGTCTCCACGGCAAAGAACAGTCAGTATTATCCCGGTCTTTTGATTTTTTCCTTCTCTTTTTTCCGCATTTGTCCTAAAGGGACTGAAGGACGCCTCATAGCTAACTTTCGTTCACTCGCTCAGCTTTGGATTCGAGGATGAGATATCTCAGCCTCAGATCAGAGGCCTCGACCCGGAGCCCGGACCAGGTGAACAGAGGAGTATTCCCCCAGGGTAAGAAAGAACCAACTTTCTTTTAACAACGGCACTTGCTGATGTTTAAAAGTTTGATCTTCACTGGTCTTGATGGTGACAAAGCAAAACAACCAAGCTGGGCCACGGAAGGCAGTTTCCTTGTTTTCCGTGAAATCGTGGAAAAGGTCCCGGAGTTCAACAAGTATGTTATCATCCCATTGGTCTCGATAAACTAAACCACAGGGCTTATGTATCTGTCCAGGTACGTGAGAGAGAGTTCCAAGAAAATACCATCCTTTGACGATGGTACGGGTGAGAAGCTTGCAGCTTATCTGATGGGAAGATGGAAGAATGGTATGTTAAACCTATTCCTCCGTCTCTGGGTTTTTATGTATCGCCAGCGAGGGACTAACTGACCGGATTATCCGTAGGCTCCCCAGTTGAGCTCGACCCTGAGGGCAATAAGCCAGAATGTGTCTTTGCAAACAACTTTGACTTTAAAAAAGGACATACCCTGCGGAAGAACACAAAGTGTCCCTTCGCAGCTCATATTCGCAAGATGCGTCCTCGGGCAGACCTCTATGTAGGAAACGACGATTCGGATGACATGGACGCTGAGGAAGTTTCCGCCAATCACAAGGTGACAAACACCAACGTTATCCTTCGTCGTAGTATCACGTTTGGACCCGAAGTCGATGAAGATGAAGAGGCGGAAGAGACGAAAAAGAACCGCGGCATCTACTTCCTCTGTTACCAGAGTGACATTCGCAATGGGTTTAACATGCTGATTGCCCGTAAGCCTTTCCTTCCCCGCTTCGCGACCCCCAAGCAAGACAAGGTCAACTAATAATGTTCTTTTCCTTTTTATTTTAGGCTGGGCAAGCAACAGAACCTTTGCTCCCAACACTGGTATTGAAGGAGGCCCTGGTGTTGATCCTATCATTAGCCAGAGAAACCGACCAGACCATCCGGAGGGGTATGTCAATATCTACGAAAAGCCTGACGATAAAACTCCCTACAAGCTCCCACTCAAATTCGTTGCATGGACTGATCAGCGAGGCGGTGAATATTTCTTCACCCCGTCTATCGAGGCATTGAAGACCAAGCTAACGGAGGAGTAACTGTACCATTCCCCCTTTCTGTTACGGTGCAAAGTACATACCAGATACATTTGTTTTTAGGAATGATATTTTTTACATTTCTATTAGGAATTGGAAACTTGGGCTGAAAAATATTCATAAGATAACGCTAATACTGTCCTCTTATCATAAGGCTTATTCGATCACCTGGTGGCCAACAAAATATATATAGCGATTTTGAAGGTAGGTAGTATTACAAGAGGTGCTGATGAATTTCGAATTGTATACGTAGAAAGTAACAATCAGGACTGTATAATCTCTTCCTACATGGAAGGAACCCCTGCTTTATGTGCTTCTTTGTATTTCCTCCATTATGACAGATGTAAGAAACAGCGAGAACCGATGGTAAAAGGCAAGAATTACAACATCAAAGCGCTCATATAGAGTGATAACCATTTGCATACTGACAACAGCATGAATATGATCGATCTGCGTATAGCCGAGGGGCCTTCTGGGATGCCTTCGAACCAGTAGTGGACGCGGTGTCCGCATCCCTGTCCTCGACAGGAGCTGCAGACGGAGCATGTGAAGTTGAGGCATGATGGGGCACCCTTGTACCCCGGGTTCCAAACAAAGTCAACAATGCCAATACTCGACTCTCCAGTAGGCCAGGGGAAATTGCCAGTGAATTCAACGTAGTCGGCCCGTCAAATATGGATAATAGTCTCGGAGGTGAGGAATTGCTTCGTTCAGCCGATCCATACCAATATGGTCGTCTGAAAATAATGAAAGCTGAGTTTATCAAACGGGACGCAAAGGGTTCACAGCCAGCATGCTGTCTGTTTAGCGGCGCTTGGTTTATGGGAGGAGTCGAATCCGGCATCTTACAACAACGCAAGCGCAGGTGAACCGGTGATCGAACGAATCCCTGAGCAAGGGCAGTAATGTAGTCGTACACTCACTCTTTGATGCTTTTGTAAAGGTCCTGAGCGTCATGAAGGTTGTAGAAGGAGATATAGATATCAATACCAGACTTCGAAAGACAAGTTAGTAGGGACTCAAAACATAGAAATACTAGCATGCAAACTTACCTCAAGCCTACTTGATTAGAATACGCTTAAAAGCTCCTCCCACCACAGACTGGTTCAGCGGCAATGTCCAAGACGCTTTCATTATTGGTAGTCTTGAAGCCAGTTAGAAGACATGAGAGACAAACGATGCGGCAAGCTTATAGGCTGCGGTTTAGCAGGGTTTCTATTAGCTGGCCGAGGAGTGTGTGGATGGTTGAATATGTAGGATCGGATGCTTCGAATTGAATATTTTGGATTGGGTGCTTGAAAAAATAGTATTGAATCTGAGGAGCTTGCGATTGAATTGTAAGCCGATGGAACTATGAATACTCTAATCGGAGTAGTATTTGCGGTATTGGATGGTTGCGAGTGATAGGGACTTCAAATGTTGATAGTTATGGTACTGAATTTAATACTTATGATTTGATGTACTGGATAGTTGCGAGTGAAAGGGGGCTGACAGCTTTGATTGAGTTGGTTTGGTTTGGTTTGAGTGAATAGGATTGCCTTTACCATGCTCAGTTAGGCTATCCATGAAAGGCTCTGCCCGGGGCCTGTCCAGATCTGGAACCAGGGGTTGACTCAAAAATCACACTGATCTGTGAGGTTATCACGTCACGTATATTCGTGCCGAGACATCTCGGTGCCTCTAGAGGTGGAGTGTCGCGGAAAATGGGGCTGATGATGACAGAAACACGATCTACCTTTCCTTATCTTTCGTATTCAAGCTCACCAACTCCCATGCACCCTCTTGGAGACAAAGAAGTGGTCACTGGATTGATATCATGTCCACTGAAACGTGCTAGATAAGTCTGTTAATGTTGAGTATTATGATAGAACGATTTGGAAAGTGAAAGTTTAGCTTATAAGAGGACGAAGACTTTTCGACGCTCTCCAGGTGCATGAGATGCAATATAGGTCACGCTCCTTCTTTGTCCAGGTTTATCATCCGGCCTTCCTCGTTACCATATCTCTTATCCAATATACAATCCGCGCTAGCAACCAACCCGGCCAGACGACCCTCATTGGCAACCAAGAAACCCGGTTCCCGAGCCAGTCTCGCCAGAACCCGATCTGCTCTGTGTTACGACCTTCACCGGTACCACATTCCTCATCCATCACTCAATCTGCACCTCCATGTAACAACCTTCGTCGCATATCTCACAGTGATTCTAGGGCCGGTGTTGCTAGATCCCTCACCCTCCTCCGAGTCACGGCCCTTGGTTATTACAGTTGCCCACTGATTCAGCACCCATACTAGTCTCCCCGGCGCCTCTCACCCTCAACATAATGAGCCATCTACGATCATATAATACGGGGCCCTATCAGACCAGAACGAAATTGCACTGCTTCTGTTCAGAACGTCATTGGCCGAGAGAGCGCGTCCAATGCCATTCCGGCAGTTCAACAGGCATCGAGGCTATAATGCCTATCACTGCCCTCGTCACATCTAAGCTTTTAACGGTTCCGAAGAGAGTCTCCGGTCAATGGATAACCGGCGAGCCGAGTGGGGCCAGCCACTGGACCTGGAATATCAATTACCGAGGGAAGGGAAGCAATGAGGATCTCTCAATAACGGGCAATGAAGAAATAAGAGCTCAAACTTGTCGGCATGCTCATGCTTGGTTCTGTTTGTGTTGCAGGGGATGAATTTGGAGTGGTCCCATCTGAGAGCTCCTGACACGCCGTCATTGAGGGTAAAAATACCGTATAAGGAATATCCGGGATCCGAGCGGTGGTTGAGACCAAGGACAAAGAAGCAGCCCGGTTTTCGTCACAGGGCCAGCTGCGAGAATAACGGGTTTAAGGGCGGATTTCGACAAACTTGGCCCTTTTTTGACCAGCCACGTGTGGTTCCTTTCCAGAACTGGGTGAAGGCCGTTAAGACCTTACCAACCCTCAGGCTTTTCCAAGTTGCCGCGCTCCTGTCAACGCTGAAGGCTCATGTTGACACAACACTATACCACTTCAACCGTGATCTGATACCGTTGTACCCAATCAAACCTGGAGGGGCTAGGACTACGGCGGTGTAAAGCTGCTAGTGCGCCATATCATATTTCTCTCCAGGGCTATATTAAAGCCTGACTGTTATAACCGCTAGTGCGGCATATTAGATTTTGCCTGTCGTATACTTTGTAATATAAGTATTTTATGCGTCTGGATACACTAACGTTACACCAACTCTCTGTATAAGTTCAAAAGTAGAGGCAAATTCTCGCGTGTAGAACCCTTGATGATTACATTCTTAACGATATGTATACGGTCTTGATGGCGGAGCAACATGAGACTGAAAAGTATTTGTTTGCTTCCAAAGTTACTATATTAGTTACCGTAGTAATTTGGTCAGCACAGATTGTCAAATTCGGACAGTTTTCATTTTCGCTTAGAGAATTTTACTATGATTTTTACTAGTACGCTTGAGACAGAATCCAGAAACCTACTATGAACTGCCTACTACATATATGATATGGAATATTCCAGTTAGTAACTCTGGAAAGCCCTGGAGGACCAGGGGAAGTTACTAATGCTTCATGTGACCCTATGACCCGTGGACTTCCTAGCCTCGAATTAGAATAGCCACTCGAACTAGTATGGGCTGGTATGTACTCCGTACTTGCATATGTATGTAGGAAGATACATATGTGCATTGACTGTTTGTAGAAGGCTCTTTTACCAACAACCCGAATGGGATTAGAGTACCTAGGAAATATTTGTATAACCATAGATGGGTACGTTCCAAGGTTGCTCGTATGTACAATCGAGCCCTTGGAGTGATTGAGCAGCCCACGTGCTCCATCCCCTGGCATTTCTTGGCGCCATGCTTGATCAATGCCCAGGTGTCTTATGGAAGCTTGTAATAAATGGAACCATGGATTACCATGACTCGTGCGGGAATGATTGGATCACATCTATTGCAAGGTATGACTTAACCTAATTTGTCTAGCTTCGGACCAAGGGCCGAGTACATATCCACATAGGTACCTGGGTACTGATTTGTCCTTCTTCTGCGCAAGGACAGCCCTGGAGATTACGCCAAGATCATAGCTTTGCGGCCCATGCGTTTAGCTACATAGTAGACGATACTACCTAGGTATCTGACCATCAATGAGATTCAATTCTGGAAGCACTCTTGACTGGGGCTGCTCTATGATTGGGTTTCTCTTTATCGTGTATTGTGAACAGTGAAATGAGAGATGACATTAGCCTTCCCCTGGTCTGAGACATCCATGGGATGACCTGAGGTTAACCTAAGGTTAACCTACTATAGAAAAATGTCATATTGAGGTTACGCCTTCCTCGACGGATAAGATAGGTACCTAGGTAGCATATTAAAAGGACTCTCTCTCTCTCATTTTTCTTTTCCTTTTCTCCTTCTCTCCTCTGTCAGAGGCCCGACCAGGAAGCGAAGTAAACAACTGATCTTCCTTCTGGAACCCAAAATGGCTGTCTATCACGATCTCGACTGGCTCTTCGCCGTCGGTACCCTCTTCTTCATTCTCTCTGTTTGGGGAATCGGTGCCAACGTATGTTCCTTGCCTTGGGCCTCAACTGATCATGCACTCATCTAATTTTCCTTTGCACAGGATGTAGCCAACTCCTACGCGACCTCGGTCAGCTCCAGATCCCTGACCTTGATCCAAGCTGGTATCCTCGCGACTATCACCGAGTTCATCGGTGCCATCGCCCTTGGACAACAGGTTACCTCGACCATTCGCAGTGGTGTCTTCTCTGTCGACCGCTTCTTGGACTCTCCAGGAGTGCTGATCATGGCCATGGTGGTTGCTGAAGTCGGTATGTTTCTTTTTGCTTTCTCTCTTTGCCTTCTCTTTGCAACTTCCAAGCCAGAGGTCTCAATTACTCACTCATTTGTCTAATGATGCAGGCTCCTCGATCTGGCTTACCGTCTGCACGTACCTCGGATTCCCAGTGTCCACCACTCAATCCATTGTCGGTGCCCTCATCGGTGTCGCCATTGCGGCAGAGCTCCCTGTCCACTGGGGTTGGAAGTCGCAGAGCGTTTCCCAAATCGCTGCCTCTTGGGGCATTGCACCCCTCATCTCAGCCGCATTCGGGGCTATCATCTTCACCAGTATCCGGCTGCTGGTGCACTCGCGTGAGGATCCCATGAAGTGGGCGTTGCGCGTGCTTCCATTCTATTACGCCTTTACTGCTGCTATTCTAGGCATTGTTCATCGTCGTCAGCGGTGGTCACGGAATCCCAAAGCTCGAGGATTTGGGTGCAGGCAAGGCTTGTGGAATTGTCATTGGCGTCTTTGCTGGTGTCTGGGTTATCAGTGCGGTCTTCTTTGTCCCTTACTATTGGCGCAGCCTTGTGAAGGGTGACTCCCGCCTGCGCTTCTGGCACATCCCCATGGGTCCTCTTCTCTGGAAGGACAACTACACCTTGTACTTCCCCGGCAACCCGGACAAGAACATTGTGCCCAACTACTATGAGAGCGATATGAAGGGCGAGACGGACACTCTTCGCTCTGGCTCTGCCACCGAGGGACAAGAGTCCACCCTCGCCACTCCAGAAATTGAGCCCCTCAAGGGTGATCCCAGCGCTGCCGAGAACGACACTCGCAGGGCTGATGCCAGCATTGCAGAGAAACATCAAAAGGAGCTTCAGGCTTTGGACACACTGCCCTGGATTCACCCCAAGCGGATCTTTGCCACCCTCAAGCTTGTTTTCACATATGGTATTACCCGCGATGTCATTCACCACCAGTCAATGGGTCTTGATCATATTCATCAGCGTGCCCCTGTCTTTGACAACAAGGTTGAGCATCTGTGGACCACTGCCCAGGTTTGCTCTGCTATGGTACGCTCCACTCACCTCCCCCTCTGTAAAACCCAGCTAACAGTCCAACTAGATCATGTCTATCTCCCACGGCGCCAACGATGTCTCGAACGCTATTGGTCCATTCACAACCGAGTACATGACCTGGCACTCCGGCAAGACTTCCACCAAGACTGACACCCCGATCTGGATCAAGGCGGTGGGTGGTCTTGGCCTCGGCTTTGGTAAGTCTTCTTTCTCCCCCACCTCCCGTCCCGTCCATACATTTACTAATGAACGACAGGCTTCTGGACTTTCGGCTACCACATCATGCGCAGTCTCGGCAACCGCATCACCAAGCACTCACCTACTAGAGGTTTTAGTATGGAATTATCTGCTGCCTTAACGGTGTTATTGGCTTCACGGCTCGGACTTCCAGTAAGCACGACGCAATGCATCACTGGTGCCGTGCTGGGCGTTGCGTTGGTCAACATGGACCTCAGGAGTATCAACTGGAAGCAGCTCGGCAAGATTTTCTTCGGCTGGGTCCTGACTCTCCCATGTGCCGGTCTGATCAGTGGAATCATTATGGGAATGGCTCTGAACGTTCCCACATGGGGTCGTTGAATGGTTGAATAGATTGAAAGGGTTGCAAAGCAGTGGATGTTGTATGTGGTTTTCCATCTACCTCCACTTCGTGCTTGCTTTTATCCCTGTTTTAATATTCTGAATTTTGAACTGGACGCTTTGTTCTAGAACAGGGTCTCTAGTAATCTTAATTGAACTGAATTTTATTGCTAAAGAACTGACGCGTAAAGGTGTTGAGATACATATCACGTGTATCTCTGTTTGACCGCCCTGGAGGACTTTTAGTAGCTAGTGTTAGCCGGAATTACACCTGTTCCGTTCCGTCATTTATGTATAAGGTTTGCTTGAGGCCCCATGGGTTCCAGGGTTAAATAGCTGAGCAGCTTCCTGCTTTTTACAGATCACACTCATTTTACTATTCAATCTTCTACCTACAACGGTGCAGTATGAGTTCACCTCAGTTCCTATCGTTCAACAGCTAGCTTTGTCTCTCTTCTCCTTTTCTCCCATCAAGTGGGAGTTCCCAGATAAAGAATACAGTCGTATTGCTCCCTCTTCTCTTCGCCTTAGAATAATTTTGCGCTTTTGCTAGCCCTGAGTAATTGAGACTATAGTACTGGCTCCAGGACTACAGAAAATACTAGGAATAATAGCACTATGGATATTCTATTCACGAGCCTTCCAAGGCTAACATACACAGAATCGATATATCGTTAAATCTTTCATCAAACCCGCACCAGATGGCATAAACCTCAATTTCAAAATATACTCCAACCCATCGGTACATAGGGTTTGTCTTGTGAGATGATAATGATAGTCATCACCACTAGACCAATCCCACTAAAGCAGGGTCTTCATGTCGTCCATGTTACGGACACCATAGAGGTTACCAGCCTTAACACGCTTGAGCGTCAGGGCCGCAATCAGCGCAGCACCAACACCAGAACCATCCTCAGCAGCCATGATGGACACCTTGTCCTTCTCGGTAGGAGCCCAGTCGAGGATCTCGCGGAGGGCCTGGGCACCGCGCTCCTTGAAGTGGGGGTACTTAGTGAAGACGGAGCCGTCCGCACCGACGTGGCAGGAGTCGATCTTCTTCTTGGTGCAGATGGCGGCGACACCGCAGGCGGACAGACGAGCGGCACGGGTACCGATCAGCTCGGCGAGACGGCGGATCAGCTCCAGCTCTGGCTGGGTGGGGCGGATGTTCAGAGTGCGTTCGAAGAGATCGAGTGTCTCTGTCAGGTTCTCGTAGGGGTCTTCTTCGATGTTGGCGAGGAAGGAGGCGTCGAGGAGGTAGGGCTTGCGCAGCTTGGAGACGTCCTGGCCGTTGAAGATCAGACCGGCGCGGTTGTCAATCAGGTCGAGGAGGGCGAGACGGAAGATTTCGCCCAGGTAGAGTCCTGCGGTCATCTTCTCGAAGGCTTGTTGGCCAGGGCGGGGGGAGTCGCGATCGATGATGTCATCGTATTTGGTGAGGGGGAGGACCACGTGCTCGTTGTCAAAGGCACCGTATTCGCAGTTGATGGCGACGGGCATGTCGGCGGGCAGGTTCATGTGGGCGATCTTGGGTATCGACCCTGCGTTCTCCATGTATGCGGCGTTCACGCCGGTGCCGAAGATGCAGCCGATCTTCATGGCGGAGTCGGTGTAAGAGGAGGCAATGAGGGTACCGGTGGTGTCGTTAATCAGGGCTGCGACTTTAATGGGAAGACCCTGTAGACTTGTCAGTGTTTTGATCCTGTGTAGAAAGGATAGCATCATCTCAAGAAATGTCATACCCGCTTCTTCAGGATCTCCTCCAGAGGGGGGACAACATCCTGACCCTCGACACCGTCAATGTCGAAGCCCTTGGTCCAGCGCTGCAGAATACCGTGATCGATGTACTCCTGGGTGGCGGGGTAGGAGAAAGTGAAACCGAGAGGCAGCTTGGCGAGGTTTGCTTCCTCGTGGTGGGCCTCAATGAACTGCTGCAAGCAGTCGGCGATGTACTCCCACAATTCCTCGGCTGTTCCAGTCCGCAGCTCCTCGGGCATCTTATACTTGGATTGTGTGATATCGAAGGCGCCCTTCTCCTCGGTCAAGGTAATTTCGCAAACACGTAGGTTGGTGCCGCCCATGTCGAGGGCCAGGTAGGTTCCCCGTTCGTGTCCATCGGGGAAGTCCAAGACCCAGGTGACGTTCATGGGCTATTTTTCTATGGTCAGTCTAGGTTCAGTTCGGAGGAATAGGTCGTTCTCACAATGTTGCCGCCCTCAACGGAGAGGCCTATTTTTGTTAGCGGCTTGTAGAATCGGAGAGCTGCGGGATAAGTCACCTTTCTCGAGCTCCTTGACGAAGTGGTTCACAATCTCCTTGAGCTTGGAGCGATCGACTGTGAAAGCCTTCTCGAAGTCCTGAATGGGCCCCAATAGGTTCTGGGGCAGTTCGTGCATGGACCCTATGCCACATTAGTTTAATAAGGGCAGGGGTAGCTTGAAGAGCCTCACCCTTGCGGGACTGCGGGTGCTTAGGGCCAATTCCAACCATGGTGATATGTAGTGAAGAAAATAGAGGAAAAAGAAAAGGAGGGAAAGAGAAGGAAAAAGTTGGGAGGGGAAGAATGACGATATGGAAATCAACGTGGGGCAACTTGTAGATGTCTTGTTTTGGCTGTCGGAGAGAAACGAGAAAGTCAATTGGGGACTGGAGGGGCTAATGGGGGGGGGGAATCTGGTCATTTTATAGACAGTCGGACCATAAATATTCTAAATATAATTATAAATAGTCTTAGACTATCTAAATAACCTTGCCAAATTAGTTGTTTACCGAAATCAAGGGCATCAAGGGCATGTTTTTTTGACTGCAAACGTTATGATCGACCGAGATCATCTCTTGGCACGATTATCCACGTTATACTACGAAGTACTTACTTAGTACGTACTATGTTACCTACGTAGATATCTACATACATTTATAACATACTAATCAGAACAAATTTATCTCCTATTTCTGCTTAAGGACATTTCATGAAAATCATAATCTCAATGTGACAGCTTACGCGCCAAATGGGGGAAAACATGGTCCAGACCCCCAGACTGGCGGTGTGCCTCGTCGTGTGACAGCTTCTCGCGTACTTTATTCTGATACGCATCTGTCAACCCCAGAGTCCGATCGACTTCCTCCGTTAGTCGGTCCACTTCGTCCTGCAGCCGTTCATCGCGGGTCTGTAGCGGGGCATTCTCCTCCGCCCGTTTCTGCGGGTCGGGGTTGGTTTCCTCCCATAGCGCCTCCAATTCCTCTCCCCATCCCATAGCCTTTGCGAACTTGCGCACTCCAGCATCACAGTCCCCAATCAGCAACACATCATCACTCCGCGATCCAAGGCCACCGACACGCTCCATGTTGATGAGCACGCGAGGCACGCCCGGACTAACCATCGAGGGCAGACTGGCAAACGGCTGGACGGACAGACTAGTTCCCATGACAATGCAAAGGTCAGCCTCTCCTGGAAGAGAGCGGCTGTCAAAGAAGTCAGATGGTAGAGATTCGCCGAAGAAGACAATGTCCGGCTTGACCAGGCCGTTGCACTTGTGGCAGTGGGGTACATCGCCCTTGGATACCATCTGGTGCATCTCATCGTCTGGGAAGGTCTCCTTGCATTCAATGCAGCGCTGTGTCGCGAAACTGCCGTGGGCCTCGACGATCTTTTCGCCTGGCACGCCTGCCTGGCGCTCGAGGCAGTCAATGTTTTGAGTAAAGTGCTTCAGGAGCATCCCTTTGTCATAGAGCAGTTTGATAAATGAGTGCACAATGGTTGGGCGATAGCGTCCTGGGTACAGCTCGTGCGCCAGTGCATAGAAAGGCTTGGGGTTATGCCGGAAGAAGCCAATGTCAAAGACGGCCTCGGGCTCTGGTAGATCTAGACTTGCCAGGTTGGCGTAGATTCCCGTGTCAGGTGAGCGAAAGTCCGGGATGCCTGCTGAAGTGCTGATGCCCGCTCCCACCTATATGCTTGGTTAGCTTGGATACACTATTTCATGGGGATTCACGCGTACCATCACCACAATTTTCTTCACATTGTGCTGCTTAACATATTTGGCCACCGCCTCGATGTTGCGCGCCTCAAGAGTCAAGGGGATGCGAATTCATCCACCTGGGTCGATGATTCGTTGCCCATGATGCGCCGGGTTGGACGTCTGGGTTTGCGAACGTCCGATGATGGCGGTTGAGGACTTGACGGGTAAAAAGGCAAGTCTTGAGACTTCTAGAGAAAAGCAGTCAAGAGATCAACAGAGAGAAGGGAAATAGGAAAAGAAAGAAGAGAAACAGAAAAAGAGCAACTGATATGGAATCGTGAGCGTGGGAGAAAATGACGTCGAGTTGATTCACCACATTAAGACGCGCGAGGTAAAACAACAAACAAAGTCCAAGGGAAAAAACAGTTCGCACACGTCTGGCAAATTCTATTTGATTTAATTTGGAGTCTCTCAACCCCCCGTTTTGATCTTTTGACGTAGCACAGCTTTGAAGCTGTAAAACCCACTCTCACCGCCCGCAATTCACCCGTTCCCCCTACTGGCATCAACAATCAACTTGCGACGACAATGGCGCCCAGAATGGCTGTAACCGCCAATGGGCATAATGCCATGCCCCAGAGCCCTTCAAATACCAATTTCTCACCAACAGAGACATCTCCCCAGCCTGACATCTTCAACGCCAGCTCCGTCGCCGAGATCAAAGCCACGTTGTCCCACCTGCATACGCAAGAAGCGTCTGTGACCGCCCGCCTCGATGCCCTGGTAACATCCCAGAAAGACCTCTCCCGTGAGCTGGGTCGACTGGACCTGATGCGCGCCAGCATCGGTGCCCACGCCAGCACGACCCGCTCCATCAGCCACGGAATGCTCTCCGAAGCCGCCGGCACCGCCGACCGGATCTCCAGTGCAGTCCGCCGGCTGGATCTCGAGCAAGCACGGGTAAAAGCCACGCTTGAGGTTGTCGAGCAGGTTGCCGAGCTTAAGGCATGTGCGCTGGGGGTGGCGGGATCGATGGGGGCG